ATTAATTTAATTAAATCTCAATCTGATTTGCAAACAACTCATTATGGCATCTTGGAACCCGCTCATTCGTGAAAAAGGTACGTGGACAAAGAAAGACAACGCATACAGTATGTATTGTCCAACTCTTGTCATAAATTTCGGAATTCATGTGTGTGTATTAACACGCAAGCTAGGGGAAGAGAGCAATAATAAATAAATTAAGCGTGCTTTGGTAATTGCTGGTAATTGCTTACTAATGATGATTAACAATGGCCCATTGATAGTTTTAGCTACCACAGTTTTAGGTAATAGCATGCGCAATGAGTATCGATCGGAATTGAATTTTCTTTTCATTCATACATTCATACTAGTATGTATCCCGTATTTTGCGCGAGTTTGTCAATGTTGAAAACTTATCTTTCAAAAAAATTAATTAAATAATGTAGTTATTAATATTTCTTAAAACCATAATATTTTTTTGATTAATCAATTTTAGATCAATACAAGAGATATTTTGATATTATTTATGACATGTATATTTGTAAAATCTGGTTTAAAATATTACAACAAAGATTTTCAAAAATTTTATAATAAAAATTGTCACCACTAACTAATAATGTTATGTTTGGATTAAAAATTATATTTAAAAAATGTGTAGATTATGTCTAGATGCCTATGACCTATTTATAGGCAAGGGGACTTTGGGGGATTAGATGTAGTTCTAATAAAATATGAGACACAATTAATCGTCCTTGAAAATATAAAATCGATAAACTTGAATACTAAGTAACACACAAATGAAATTTTAAGGGCTAAAATGACAATACGTTGAATGTTTTAACTCGTAAACAAAAGGACCTCTAAAGTTGGGAGTTTCTCAGCAATTTTTGAAAATATTCATTTTTAAACTCACATTCAGGAATTTGTAATATCTGTAAAAATCTTATATAATAAATAATTTATTAACTGTTTACATAAAATTTTAACTAATTAATGATCAACCAATTAGCAAATGATACGTGTTAATTGAGGCCAGATAGTCTCAATGAGCGACAGGTGTCGATTATCTTTCTTTCCTTTAATATATATAATGATTTAAAGCAGCAGCGAGTTTTTATCTTGCTTTAACTAAGTATTACTCCTTCTGTACCAAAAAAATAGTCCATATTGAGTTTTGAGTTTTGTACTGTTTTTAGTACAAATTTGAAAACTCAATATGTACTATTTTTTTTTGGGACGGAGGTAGTATACGGTAGAATAAGCGTCTGTCCCCCTCAATAGAGATTTCTGATTTGAATTTGTAGGTCATAACTTATCCCAGATTTTATAGATTTAATAATAAAAGTGTGTGCTACGTTATTGTTGGAAACTAGAAATGGAAATTTTTTATTTTTTATTTTATTTTATTTTTTATTTTTTGCATTTGCACACTGATGTGAAAATAAAAGACAAAAGAAGCAAAATTAGTACTCCAAAATGAGCTGTGTTTACAACTTGTAGAAATTAAAGTTCTGAGGATAGAGTTCCTATCTGAATGCGAATGCAGATGTCAAATTTGACTTCTTACACAACTCTCATCCGGTGAAGATATCTTATTTGACTTCATACATAGTATGTTTTAAAGTGATGAGTTCGGAAGTTGGACTTGGAAGGTGACGGGCACTCTGGTCAAACTTTCACTGTCATTTATTTTTATTTTTTAATCCTTCAGCAATTTTTTCTTCTTTTTGGGACCATGGACCATTTTTAAATGGTTATATTCTTAGCATTTTTAAGCCATTTCTATTTTAGTTTGGGTTAATCAATCAAGAAATTAAGATAGAAGTCAAATCTTTTAAGTGATAAAATCGGACATTCATCACCGATATGGTTGGTGAATATATGAATGTGACACCAAATATTGGCATAACTAGCTAGAATATTTAATAATGTCTAACCCCATATTATCCACGTCAATTTGGTTATTAATTTATGAACATCCATGCTGCCATGCATATGGTTTCATTGTTCCTGGAAACTGGAAAGTACTTTGAGAAATCTACAAATGATAAATAAAAAAAAATTGAGGAAGCAATATCGGTTAGATGAGATGAAATGCTACTGAAAGGGAGAATCACAGTGAGATTGAGGTAGAGGAAGGGAGAGATACAGGGAGAAGGGGAAAGTTGAGAAGACAATAGTGATTTGGGTTTCCACAACATATAAAGAAAAGTAGAAACTGCCATACAGGTGATCATACAAATGATAATCACAGAACTCCCTTTCTTAACATAAATCTAACTGGCCTTTCTATTGTTAAAAACTTAAATACTACTTTTTAGACAAAAACATGGGAATTGTCCAATTACGGATAAAGGGCTTAAAAATATTGTTGGTTTTAGATGTTTGATTTATGTATATGAAACGATAATGGTCACAATAAAATACTATTCCCTGTATCGCAAAAAAAGTCCACCATTAAGTTTTTAGAATTGTATTAAAAGTAGTATAAATTTCAAAACTCAATATTAACTTTTTTTTTTCTTTTAGTACAAAGGGAGTACTAAACTGGGAGCAATTGCCACAGTATGTAGTGGTTTTTATGGCTTTCCATTTTTTTTGTTTATTGAGAAATCAAAATATTAGGATCAGCTGATGATCAAAACAATTAGCGTTGCCAACGATAATTCTCACGAACATAACTGTAAGATGAGAAGTCGTCACGGTAATAGTCGCGTGACCGTCTATGGACGTCAACGTTCCTGTGCGACGAAAGGTCGTCGCGGTGATACTTGCGTCATGACCGTCTATGGATGTCAACGTTTCTGTAGGAAGGAAAGTCATCACGGTAATAATACTTGCGTCGTGACCGTCTATGAATGACATTCCTGTATGAGTTAGCTGACCGGACGGTGGGATCAAATAAAGTGTCGACAAATGTACAAAAGATTTGTCGAGAGGTGACGTAGAATAATTATTCTGTAATTCTGCCTCTCTACCGCTCCAATGGTAGTTGTTTTTTATTGCACCCTGGATGAATTGTTCCTGGGTCAATTCCTGCGTCGAGAGACGATGTTGAATAAGGCTTGTTGGCCAAGTTTTTAAAATTTATCATTCTGTGCCAGTAGAACCCTTTTTCAAGATTGATTGTCTCCCATTCCCCTTCTTCGTGACCCGCTTCACGACTAATAGTAGTACCACCGCTACTTGTGATCAACCTCCAAATATGAGTTCGTTTGTATTCATGTTTCATCAAAGCCACACATTCTCCTAGTTCAAGCATATCCCACTCATATGCTGCTTCTTCTACTCTTGTCCGGCATCAGGGGAAACACGTATAAATCTAAATCTTTCTTGGCCGAGTGCTAAATATTTTGGAAAACCCACCAAAATGTAAATCTCATTCTTAAAGTGAAGGCAAGGGCTAGGGGTACCACACTTAACCAACTCATGCCCTTGATAGCATCTTGCGAGACAATATGAGTAATATCTCTCCATATTCCTCCTCCCCCTCTTCCTAGGATGATAACTTGTATTTGGCATTTCTCAAGAGGAATACATATATCCATTATTATTGACAACATTCTTGCTGTTGTAATTACTTTCTTTTGCCTTTGACATTTTCCCGCAGGAACCATCCTAATAATGCTTAATACCTTGTATTCTTTAGTGACCGAATCAAACCCTAAGTAGCAAGGATTGCCAACCTCAAACCTATCCTCAATATCTCCAGTTCCTGTGCCAAAACCAATCCGAATAGTCATGTTTCTCGTGTACTGACGAGGAAGAACATAATGTTTTCTTGTTGTGGGATTCCATATCTCCCTTCCGGCGCGTATTAAGCCTTCCACAACATCGAAACGGTACAAGGCCTTGGGCTTGCCGTGTAGGCGCCTCACGCGCATTTCATAATCGACTAATAAGAAATCATGCTGATCATATTCAACATATCTCATGGCCTTGCCAGGAATTCTCTCAGTCCTAAATGGGCATGCCAGAAGCTTTTTTCCGCCGGGACGTCCTCCATGTGACCGGAGAAGGTGCAAATCCACAAAATCAGGGCCTGTCTATTATGGATCGCCAGTCTTTGGACACACATCTTAACCTCAACAAAGTTTTTGCCGGAAGTTCTCTAAGTATGAGTATAATAATTTCGGCTGGAAGATTGACTAAGAATATCTCATCTTCTTCCTCGACGTAGGAATCTCAGCATCCAAATATCTCCTATATATTCTTCTTCAAAGGAGCAATATCATCATAGCATGAATACCTCATCTTTTTTTTCCTTTGTGTTTTGGTTACGTACGTGCTGGATGGATTACTATATCTGCGTTATTATGTTAAATATTGGCTACAAGAATATTTGTAATTATTGATAGCTTTGTGTTGGTGATTAATTTATAGATACAGGGCTCCAGAGTCGAGCATTTACCAATTCTAAATAGGAAAATGTTTTTTTTTTCTTTTTCCCAGTTTCCTTTTTCCTTTCGAGCAATATTTTAAACTTTTCACCGCATATGCAAATTCCAATTTTTTAGGCAACCTGTGGGATTTAATAGTATTTCCTTGCAACAAATATTTTATTCAAACCCCCATTCCCAAGACAATAAAATTAGTAAATTCCTTTCTTTTTTACATGGGGCAATTAAGATCCATTTTTTTTTTTTTAACATGACGAACTAGAGGTGTCCAATGACATATGTAACTTTCTATTATTATATAATTGGACGTAGGATTGATTAATTTATTACTGTTATCTCAAAATTTCCTTGGTTTGTTTTTTTAAAACTAAATCTTATTTTTTTTTGTAAGTATTTGTAGTGTTAACGACAATGAATTTCTCTTTAGTTGTTGATAATTGAATTAGTACGAACATTATTTATTGTAATGTATAATATTAGTTCAATAAATGAGACTTTTTTTCTCCCCTCCTTTTTCATTTGCCCAGTCTACATACAAAGTGTGCTGGTTTTACTGCCATTGCTGCAGAAATGCATGATTCTTTAGCTTTACTGCTTCTGGAAAGGAGCTCTGTAGCAAACGCGAAAAGAAGTTTTTGATTCAATCGTTCCATGAACCTCTCAAAATTTTTGGTCGTCTCAAAACCAACAAGTAAAGTAAATATACATACATAAAACTACCTATATCAATTAACCAAAGCCAAAGTACATAGAAGAACAACATAGAACCTTTGCTGACTGCCCCCTTGGGGTTCAACATCTGTTACACACATTTCATACCTCTATACACAATTTCGTCGAATAATTGGGCAATAAGATTCAAAGAATGACACAACAGATCAGGAGAAAAGTATATGGTCAGTTCAGGATTTTGTTGGAGCAAATGTGAGAGATATTTCGATCTGTGTTAGCACAAGGTAACATGTAACACATACCATATAATTTTTTTTGTCAATAGTTGTATTATTATCATTAAGCTGCCTCGGAAGATAAAATCTCAAGTTCAGCCCACCAGAGTGGAGATAGTCGTGGGGTTGCAGACTCCGGTGATATATCAAGGACTTCTCTCAGTTTTGACACTACTTCCTTCATGGTAGGTCTTTTCCTTGGATCCTTTTGAGTGCATTCTTGAATAGCTTCCCCTATGATCTCAAGCTCTCCATGTTTGAAGGATTTGAGTGATGGATCTATAAGGGATCCAATGCGACTATTATCATTCAGGTATTCCTGAGCCTGAAAATTGTTATCAATGTGTTTGGTTCAGTGCATAATTTATTGGATGGAATATATTCAAGTATGAAAATGTACTGAATTTCAATGAAGTGAGGATTTTCGGCTTAGAATTACCCATTGTAGCAGAGATCCATATTCATCTGAATGAGGAAGCTTCCCTGTGACTGTTTCAAGCAATAAAACTCCAAAAGAGTATACATCATTGTCAACATCATCAAGCGGTGGCAATTCATTTTGCTCCCCATCAATATCCCCCGAGTTTTTTGATGTTCTCACAAGATTTGCCCAGAAGGCAACATCTGCAATCTGGGAAAGCAGAAGTTACATTTGGTTTAACAACTCCAAATATTTGGATTAATTAAACATAAACCAGAGGAATTATCTATATACTATATAAGGTAGTGTATAAGTCAAGACGATATCTAGCTGAACCTACCTTAGCAGCATAATCATCTGTCATATATATATTTTTTGTACTCAAACACGAATGGACCAGTGGAGGGTTTAACGAATGCAAGTGCTGTAGACAGTAACCTATGCCCATTATGATCCTCATCCTGGTACTCCAGTCCAGATGTTCAAGTTCTTTCACTGGAAAAATAAATCAAAGCATCCATAATTATCTCCACAAACAAAATCATTGTCTGGTAAACATCAAACATGTTATCAATAATCCTGTTACCATGAAGATGCTCAAAAAGAGATCCATTTGGGGCGTACTCGAACACCATCATCCTAACAAAAGGTTCATCCTCCTCACAGTACCCAATAAGATTTACGAAATTCTTGTGATTCACTCTTGATAATGCAGCAATCTACAAGATAAAGCACCAGAGAATACATTAAATCGTTAAGGATGACTACAGGTTAGGCTTCACAGAAGGAAAATGCTTATAGCCCTGGTTTTGTAAGCTACAATCCCTGACACCACAAGAAACTAACCTTCTTCCTAAAAGCAACTTCTGCATACTTTGTCCAGTCTTTTATTGAAGAAACGGCTGTGGAGGCAACAGCAATCTCCACGCCACTTGATAGAGTTCCTTTGTACACTGTGACCACATCTTGCACATTAATGATATTGCTAAAGTCTTCACATGCGGTTTCCAATTCTGCGCTATTCAACTTCGGGACCCCTGCAATTAGACATACAGTTAATTGTTTGAGTTCATACAATACTTATCTCAGGTCATTTCTCTATCTGCATTTAACCAAAGGAAGGGCAAAAGCTCAATGTGAGATGATCACACTGCCAAGAATAACAAACAAGGATGAATATATCTTTTGACTTAAGGCACTAATTGATGCAGCTGCTGAAGCTACTACGAGTAGAAATTTGAGGAAAGAATATCAAAAGCATAAAAATTTCATGTTGATGTTTGATGCATTGTTAAAAGATAAACCAGCAGTGCATATTCCAAAAATATCCAAAGAGCAAAAACTGATAAGTTCGGAAGTAATGAGAAAACAGCAAATGTTGAGACAGGATGGGGCCTACGATCTTAAGTAAACAAATAAACAAGAACCCTATTATGTGGCTGTCATGAATGCTAACTTGAGGCACGACTTATGCAAATTTCTTTGCACATTAACAAAAACAGAGAAATCAACAAAACATTTATGCATAATGTGATGGAAGGACAAATCAATAAAATACTACTAATCCTAATCTTTAAGCAGGACTAGATGCACATTCTCCCTCATCACACTACTACAACTATCACAGGAATTCAGAATACTCCTATGAAATACTTCCCTCTCCCAAGAGAATTGTACACTTCTTAAAAATGTGCACCATGAGTCCGAATCATTATACTACCCTTTTTATGCCACTATAACCTCTTCACTGTTAAATACACAAGATCATAGAGGAAAAAGGCTGAATGTAGTCTCAACTTTTGAAACGAAAAATAAACATTACAAACAGCACTCGTTTTGGGTTTATGGAAGGATTAATAAAGTTAAGAGTCCAGTTAAGCTGCAGACATCTACTGATCCATTGAAATTTCATGTTCAAATGGAAAGTTAGAGAACAGAAATTTGCTAAATAAGAGCATGCCATGAATCTAAACAACCCAGTGGAGTTACCTGTAACAAATGCTTTCTGCAGCTGTCCACTCAATCCACTCTTCCAAGGGCGTATATCCCTTGCAGCTCTGCCGTACACAACAACTAGCATGGCTGCTGCAGCAAACAACAATATACCTCCACCTGAAAAGCCAACAACATACTTCCACGTATGTTCAGAGCTACCAGAAGCAGGATTCGGTTTATCCATCGGTTGGTTGCCGAAAGATGCTCCAGAACTGGACATGGTGTTGGATGGAGGGTGCAAAGGGCCAGAAGTTGGTACTCCAGACAAAGGGGCAGAAATGTTCTTCTGCTTTGGCACAGCAGGGAACGACCCACTCCCCATGCTGCTCGGAGCAGAGAAGAAATCACCCAATGATATCCCCTCATTGTAAGGATAAGCGGCAATATTGCTTGATTGCTCGACCAGTATACGGCGTGTATGATCTGCTACATGATGTTCATGCTTTGTGGAATGTTGCTCTGATGGACCTATTACATTTATGAGCAATTTTCATATTTGAGAAACCAAAAACTATACACAAAAGTAGCACCTTAATAATATATCACCACTCACCAGGCTGATCAGCTCCATCCCTCAATGAGCCCTTTCCAAATCTGTAACTGTCGAAAAGATGGTCCACGGTTTTAGTAAGTTGATGAAATCTTGATGAGCTACCATTACAGTTAATATCAACTAAGAATCTTGGTTACATACATGGAGAATAGATCAAAGTAGTGATTAATTGTTTCCTTTAAAGGTGTCAAAATGGAATCAGCTTTCCTCAGGGATTTCAAATTGCTCGACCACTCACTGCCAGGAAAATTAACATGATTAACCAAGAAATAATGCAGTACCTACTAGCCAATAATGATGATTAATGCAAGTGAACATGCTTCGTTCGCATATATTTTGTATTTAGTTACGTTACATTCGCCAATAAGAAAAGGTACTCAGAATCTTTCTTATACAACTGAGATGCTCATATGGAAATGCATTATCTCTTTTCTTTCTTTCTTTTTCTTTTTTTTTTTTTCCTTTTGGGGTGGGGGAAGGAGGGGAGGCGTTTAACTGTAGAATTAGGTTTCTTTTCTTAATTGTGTCTTCCCTTCTCTGAAGATGTTGTCCAGGTTTAAACATAGAATATATCTTATCTTTCTTATTATTACATAATGATTGACATTCTACCACCTCAGTAAGTTTTCAAACTTTTGGCAGACTTCCAAACTCCTAGATGGATCTATAAAATCATAGATTCCTAGTTGCTATTCCATTCAGATAACTTGCTCAAAACATCAAAACAGGGACATAGATCTAAGCATTTATTGCAATTTCTGATCAAAATATAAACAGAGCCATCAAATTAATATCTTCAAACTGGCAAATGACATATAAGAAGGAAGCCACACATTGCCCGAGATATGTCAATACAAGAAATCGAGGGAATCATCATTTGAAGAAGACTACTAACAGAGAAAGTCCAATGCATCTTTTCTCAAACTAGTGGCTTTCTATAGTATTAAGATTAGAACTTAAAAGCAAAATAAAATACTTAGTAATGCTCGGACAGAAAGAGTAAGGAACCATCAGAAGCAATTTCTTCGATCCCTCAGAATCATTAATTTCTTACCAGTGCCCAACTTTCCTATTCACGCAACCAACTTCTGCTGCAGTTGCAAGGGTAAGGTTCATATCAAACTGCATCTCTGTGATTCCATCAAGCTTTACAATCTCCAAGGGGATACTTCCTTTAAATTTATTACTGCTTAGCAACCTGCAATCAAGATTCAGAAATTTTACGAACTCGTCGATCCAGATTTGAAGAGTCTGCAATAAAGAACATTCAGCAACTCACAAGCGCTTCAGGGAACGAATGCGTGCAATTTCTGATGGAATGGTCCCACTCAAATTGTTGTTCCTCAAATCCAGAACTTCTAAGGAAGCAAGCTGTCCAAACTGCTCGGGGATAACTCCACAAAATTGGTTCTTCGACAGTACACTGATGACAAATTCGGGGAAAAGTCAAAAAAAAAAAAACAAAGAAGAAAGTTTATAGTACATGGGAAATTAGATAGTACTTCGAATACATCAGATTGTAAAATAGTATTTCAAAAGTGTAATGATAAAAAATCAAAACCGAGTTTCCTATCATGAAGATGGAAAAAGGCACAGGCTGGATTTGCCAACTTACAGAGATTTCAAGTGACTGAGATTCCCGAGTTCTGGTGCCAGAACTCCTCCCAAGTGAAGTCCATTCAGATCCCTATTGGCCAAAAACATCAACATATCAAGCAATGAAGAATTCGTTCCTCAGAGTGGAAAACAAGACAGATTTTGGTTGCACATTTTGTGAAGGCGATAAATTCATGTGGCGATCACGTGATTTTCGCATGTAGAAATATTAACTTCAACATAGTTCACAAAATACCAAAACGGAAAGATAATAGATATGCCATAGCTGCAGTTTCAAGAAAGAAAAAGTTATCACAATTCACAAAAAGGGCCATTTTAGGAACCGCATATGTAGCTTACAGGGTCTGCACTTCACCGTCAACACAATGAACACCGGACCACAAGCATGGATCTTTGTCACGAGCGTCCCAGTTTAGAAGAGCCCCAAGTGGATCAGAAGTTACTCTTGATCGAAATTCCAACAATGCTAGTCCTAAAATACAATTCAATCAGAAATAATGTGTTTTCTATACTACCTGGAGTGAATTTAATGAGCAGGTTTACTTAAGAAAAACGATGGTCTTTAGATCCAAATATGAAATGTACCTTCAGAATTAAGTGAGAAACATCCTTGAAATTCAGGAACAAGGATGAAAAACATGAAGCAAGATAACTTGATATTGTAGGTAGCCCATCTACCCCCCATGTCGCCTCGAACCATGCAGAGTGGTGGAGGCAGTAATGGTTTCTGCCAACAGCCAGATATACAGGAAAGAAGAGGAAATCGCCAGCTTTTTTTAACGAAATGGCTCCCCCGAGCAATATGAATTACTCGGACACTGAACTATCACACTCTCACACACAAAAACACAAACACAAAATAGGCAAACTAAAACAAGAGACGAACTCGCAATAAGTTGAATCCTAGACAAACTATATTACAATGAAAACAGAATACACTATCCCTCTTGAACCTACTGGCCAAATCACGGTCTCTCATTTTGATTTTTTCCTTAAAGTTTAGACTATGACACCTCCGTTTTCGCCTGCAAATGCTTGAAACCCTCAATGAAATTTCTCTGCAAAAAAGATCAAAGCTTCAACTGAGAGAATAGAAGAACACAAATCATTGGAGAATACAGCGATGCAGAGTCAAACGGCATAAACCAAGAGTAATTCTCAAGCCAAAAAGAACATTTAATCCAAAAAGAAAGAAATAAAAGGGTGAACCCAGGAGCAAGCAATGTATCCAGAAAGCAGAAAAGTGAATGAAATGTAAAGGCATGCAAAGTTCAAACTTACCAAAAAGGAGGAGGACAAAAAAGGGCAGTCAATTATGAAAAGATAACAAAACAAATATCTCTTGGCTCCCTTCAATGAACAAATGCAAAAAATGTCTGAGAATTTCTTTGATCGTCCCACCAAATTTTTTCTTTGCTGGAAAATGTTGTGAATTCAAAAGGGTTTGTGACAATTCGATGAATGATGAATGATGATTGGAATTACAAAGCTAATTCAGGAGGATGTCAAAGGCAGCTGAAGATAATTAAAAAAAAAATTTCCTTTTTTGACTGCCCTTTTCAGGATGATCTCAGAGGAGCAACATCTCTTCTTCGATCATCTTCTCTGAAGGAAGGGAGGAATAATGGAGGAAAAGCAAAAAAACAAAAAGAAAAAAAACCTATAATTTTCTCTCTCTGTAAAAAATAAAATAAAAAAATGTGCTTTTGCAGAAAACTTCCCGTCTCACCCAGGCCCCCCTTTCTTCAAACCATATTTTTTTCCTAAAAATTTTCCTTATTTTTTTCTACCGGTGGACTCTTTTTTCTTATTTTTCCATATCATGTTTCTTCGATTATAAATTCTGTCGGTCTAATAATTATAATAAGTAAATAAGGGATAAATTTCCAATTTAATCTTTTTTAACATTTGGCGCCTCCCAAAAAAAAGTTACTCCCTCCGTCTCAAATTGGACAATACGGAGGGAATACTTGCTTACATGATAATTAATGTTCTTTACAATTTAAACTGTTCTCCTAAAATGATATCAAAACTTTTTACAGGTGATTATAAACACATGAGAAGACTAACTTTTATCATATTAAAATATTTGAATATTATTTTTGAAACACAAAGATTAGAACACACGAGAAAACAAAATTACAAACATTGATTTTTCATTATTATAAGAGTGAAATATCACAACAACTTTGTTGAATAACATAATTCAAGTTGGCGCCAGTTATAACGGTAAACCCGCCAAATAAGTTTGGTAGAGTTCATCCTCGCGGCTTTATTTTGAGTGGTGTGGGCCTACGGAGGTTTCAAGATCCAAACTATATAAACGCGGTTTTACAACTGTATGCCGGTCGGCCCGGTCCAATTCAATTTAATTAGTCACTTTGAACTTGAAAAATGATCAACGTGCTTGCCTCTCCTTTCCAAACTAAAAGATTATGGCGAGGATATATATTTATAGATATATATTTAGAGAAAATAACAATGTGGTTGATTGTTTAGCAAAATTAGGTTTTAGTAAACCAGTTGGGTTATATATTTTGGCAACTCCCACTGGTGATGTAGCGGCTAAAATAACTTTAGATATGCTTGGTATTCCTCAACTGAGAAACTGTATAGTGTAGTCAGTTTTATTATCCCAACGTATATAAAAAAAAAGATTATGGCGAGGATTAAACAATTATAACATATGTTATATATATATATATATATATATATATATAAGAATCATGGAGTATATTGAATGAAAAAGTATAAAATCTCCCATAGGTAATGTCTCCACACAGCGAAAAAATTAGTCCCTAATGTTGTGTTAATTCATTTTGAAATATTTATTTGTCGTAATTCTACTACTATATAGGTAAAATATGAAAACTAGATGAACAAAATCATGCTGTTTATTTATTGTAATCACCTTGATTGGTAAGAAATATGTTATTATAACCACTTTAATGAGCGTGACACATTAAAATTACGTTTATAACATAAAATAATTATGATATGTATAGGGAAAAAATGACAAGGAAAATGACAAGAAATTGGTAATTAATCATTTAGTTTTAATACTTTTCATTTGGAATTTAAGTATTTAAAATTAGGGTATAATTTAGACGATTGACAAATCATTTATTGTAAGTTTTTCTTATGTAATTTTTATTTCTGTATGTATCACTACTCTGATTATTTCATCCTTTATATCTATAGCGATTAAAATTTTGTTGTAGAAGATTTGTACTTAAGAACTCAATGATAGAAACATAGATTACATTCATAATTAGACAACAATATTTTGCTCATTTTGGGCCTCGGGCTATTATCCATCGAACCAGGCCCGTTAATGAAATACTACAACTAACCTTTGCCGACATATACGTTTAGGAATCGAGTCTGTCCTGATGACTAAAGACTCGAGAGTTATACGTACAACAGCAAGATTAAGGATTTAATTTGGATATCTATATTGCAGAATTATCATTTTGTACAAGATTTAGACCGTACACATCAAGCAATGGATGTAGATTGTACGTGTATAGAGTCTTCCCTGAACAATATTTGTTTCGTTTTTTTAGTGTGTGTATTTTTAGGTATTTTTTGTATTACAAATGTAAAAAAACTATTGAAAATATAAAAAAAATATGCTGGGATAGAACATTTATTATTTTATTAATCTAAAAAAATTATAAAAAAACTAAACAAACAATAACGTGTTTTAGAAGCTTAGAACAACTTCGCTTTCATTATAATAATAACTAGATGCTTGTCCCGGGCAAATGCCCGAGGGCGTCCTCCCATCTAATAAATTAATATGTAAATAATCAAAACTGATTAGGAATAAATTTAGTTTTTGATGAAGATAATTGATTGATCGAAAATTAATTTTTTCGAAAGTCCTAAATAAGTGGAGAAGGAAAATTCCATTCACAGTCAAATTCAAAATTTGAATGAACATGGCCATCTGATCTCTTCGTTAATATTGTAAATATATTTTTTGTTTTTAAAAGGGGGTGACACGTGACAGAATCGTTTATGCAATATGGTGCATTTGGAGCCAAAACCTTTTAATAAGAAATTGCTACATCAGCATCCTGTTTTCTGGTTTAATAGGGTAAAAGAGATGTACAACAGATATTCAACAGTTAACTTTTCATTTGATTCGCTGGCTTTACTCTCTTGTTCGATTTTTTTTTATTTTTTTTTTGGTTCTTCTTAAATTAAACTCGGAAATAATTTCAAAAACATCATTCAAGTAAATAAACATCGAACTATGAAGTTACATTTAGGTGTCAATCAGAGCCGCACATGAATAGCATTCAAAATCTTTCGTTTTGATTTGATTATTTAATTTATGTAAATATTTTAATTGGAACGAGAGCGAGTCCAACTTTTTAGAATTGTGAATCTTTCAAAAATTAATCCACTATACTCCTGATGGCCTGATCATCAACCTACTTCTTTTTGACCCTAAAAAAAAAAAAAAGAAAGAAAAAGAAAAACGAGAAGGGAAAAAGAAATCCTTAGTCAATACAGATCGTTGGATGCATGCTAAAAAGAATACTAGGTGTGAGCAAAGATTATTCCAAATATGATTAAATATATTCTTTGATGATTTGAACATCAACTTTTACTATAGTTAAAATCGTAATTCTAGCTAATTCCTACACACTCGTCGTATTTCTTGGGTTTACATGCTTTAATAAGAATTTTACGTTTCTTAATTTATGGATCACGACGTCTACACGTCTGCTGGTGCTAGGTTAGATGTCTATTTCCATGAAATTTATAAGGGAAAAAAAAACTGTCGAAATTATTCTTCAAAGATTCTTACATGTCGCAAAATGCTATCAAGTCAACTCTCTAGTATGCTATATTCACGAAAAGACAACAAATTTATGGATTTTCTATGGTATGTAGGGTAACCTTCTATTGCTTAGTTTCATAATTAAGGGCCTGATGTGGAAATATCACTCTTTAATTTATAGATCAAAGGACAAAAACTTGGAATTATTAACAAGTAATTTCGTGGACAGTCTAGCAAACCTAGCCATCTAATTCATTAGGCGATGTAGGAGCTGGATGATCATCATTGACTATTCTACTCTTTAATCGATCGAAAATTCAGAATTCATGCCATATAGATATTCAGTTTGAGGATTGTTTTTCTGCAGTCTAATCTTGTCACAGAATTTACTTTTAGGTCGGAAAATTGTTCTCCTGACATGCATGGAAAGATAAATGCATGAAAGAATCCACCAAATGCTGTTTGTGAGTAGGAAAAAATAAAAGGAATTAATGTATTTAGGACGACTTGTAAAGTGATCGTAATCACCATAAGTTTTGTTATAAAGATATTATGTATTCCTTCTATTCTAAAATAATTGTTTGAACTAAAACGAAAATCTAAATTAGTCAATAATTTTGGGATGAAAACAATATAATAATATAATAACTAATTAATTAATGATACGCTGTAATCATCTAGTTTACTTTTGTGTATCACTTGATACCCGCCCAACTGAAAAGACTCCAAATGAATAATACAACTTGACAAAATAGAAAAGCTTGGCATACAAAATTTATTATCAATAATAAGATGAATGTTTGAATACAAATGTCAAACAATATATTGACCAACTTACTAAAATATGTAGTATTATATATATATATATATATATATATATATTGTATCAGTGATAGAGATCGATCTTCTGAAATAATTATTTATTATGATAGAATTGCCTGCATGGTAATGTCGCATTCTACATGTATACCTCCTGTCTTCAAAATATTGCTTAATTAAGCAGGCAAAACATTTAGTCAATGCTTATCTACCTCAAGTTGATCTAGTCTTTAATTAATATAGTTCTTTGGGATTGAATCGTTTGATCCTCAGTTATAGAAGTCGTCACAACAAAGATGCGAAAAAAAAAAAATAGTGGCTGGAAATGGAAATCGTTTGTAGTTTTTAACCTTTCCAATTGACGCGAAAGATATTAACTAATGCTCTCTCCATCAAAGAACACTATGATTATATATATATATATATATATATATATATATATTGGGGGGTTGCGAAAAGAGTATTGATCTTGTGTTCAAGTAAAATTATCACCATAGAATAATATGATTGAGCAGACGTGGTCAAATGTAGAGTTGAGATCTACAGCTAAGAAAAGAGCCCATTACAAATGGTTACTTTCAAGTTTGAATGAAACAGTTCTACCATTCATTATTGACTTATTGTCCCTCTTAAAACATGCATGCATATGCTTGTCACATAATTTCGTGTTGTGAATGCAAAGGGTAGAAATGCAAATAGTTAAATTATCCTTCAATAACTTCCTACCAAATTTGTTTATGTATCAATTTTAAGGTACCACATCTCAAATCAATAAATCTTCAATTTTTTTTTTTCCCTTCTAATCAAGGGCTCCCCTTTTTCTTTCTTTACCCTATATGGTTGGGAAGAATCCATTTTGGCTCCAAATTATTTCAGAATAAGAAGTTATCCTCATAGCACCGCCCATAATTTAGACTAAACATCCGACTTTGACTAGGTCAACTGTTGTTTTTGATTGGCACCGAAAAATAACATTGATAATGCCAAACGTTTTTGGGGAAAAAAAAAAGGAAGATAGAAAAATATGAAACTGTTGAGAAATGTGGTAGTTGAGGAACTACAAATGTAACGTACGTTGTCAATCGAATTGGGTAGGTCATGACTATAGTTTTATTGCGGATGATCTGGTTCAATAGTTCAGTTCTCTTAACCGAGCTTTATTGGCCTTTTAGTGCAGTTCTCTTTTTACCCTAAAAGCGAAATAGTTCTCTTTACTCTTTCTTCTCTCAACCTTCATCTGCTTGACTCTTCACTTGTCCGGGGTGGAAAAAAAAACCCTGGATGAAGTTATCGATTACTCCAATTATATATAATTGTACAAATTAAATTAACCCTATGCAACTCACTCAAGTGGGTTATACATAGTATTTTTCAAAGTTGACTCCCCTATATAAAAGCAAAAGAAACATGGATCAGTTAATTAATTATGAACGTGGGTAGTTTCTCTTTGCTAGTTGAGAAGGTTAATAATTAGTGCTGCAAAATCATTTAATAGTGTTGAAGAAACTCCAAAATTCTTAACACAAGTATGGCTGTGGCCTGTCAAAGAAATGAAAAATAGTACCCGATATGTCCCTACAGTGGAAACAAAATGTATTAACATTAAAAATAAAAAGACAATTTTCAACCAAACAATAAACATCTATTGATGAGTTGAACAAGTCATGGAACAAAGGTCAAACAATTAGTATATTCACAAAGCAACCGAGGGAGAGGGAAAAAGAATCCTTCTTGTATTTCTTGAAACAACTGTCAAATTAAGAATGACCCCAAAAAAAAAAAAAAACGAAAAAAAATCCATTTCTTAAATTAAATATAAAAATTGATTTTTGGAAGTCACATGATGCCCCTAATCAAGCCAATAGGGACCAGTCTCCTCTGTTACGTAGTTCCATAATGTAAAAGAATTATTGCATCATTAAGAGTACAAGTGGACTATCCGTCTTTGAATTTCTTTCATTTTTTTCTTCTTACCCCCCTTTTTTATGGCTTTGGAAAATACTTGTATATGAAAATTTTGATCATTTGCAAAGTTCATATAGAATTTCTCACCTTTGATTGAACCAGAAAAGAAAAACCCTCTTGCTTCCATCGTCTTCTTTCCCCCTCCCTCTTTTCCTTAAGATACAAGACTTGGTAAATATCAGCTTTGATTATTCTAATGATCTTGGTTAGTTTTTATGGAAAATTAGGTCTAGCTATATGACTTTATGATCTTCTTCCAAAGCCCTTTAGCAGTTTAGCTCCAACCGGCTATAGATATATAGTTGCTGAAGAGAAGACTAGGAATCTAAGCAACAAGGGTTTATACATATGATCGCGTACAAGGCGCAAATCATGGTGGAAGCTTGCCGATCAGAGGTCCAGTGATTGATACTTTCAATAAATGGTTCGTAGATATTTTTTTGCCTTAAAATTCTTTTGGCGATTTTCAGTCTTTTCGTGTTCAAGTTAGGAAAGAAAAAAATCTTGGGTGATTTTTTCATTAGTAAACTTTAAAGTTCCTAGTAGGATAATCATGAGTGCTAACCATGCATCTTGCTAGCTAGATTGATCACAATCTTCCACAAACTTTTTTATTACTAGTTGAAGGAAATCAATGATCGAGTTGTCCATATAGAACAGGGGATTTCATCTTCTAGTTTGATTTCTCACATAGACCTATTGATTGCTTACCTAATCTGTTGCCTCAATCGTTTCTAAGCAAATATACTAAAAACATGAATACATGATCACTGATCATACTGAGCTTCAGACTTTAGTAATGATCGATCCAAGTGAGAACATTGCAATCAAACAGAATCTTTCATTTTTATGATGTCATTAATGTTTTCTTGGATATAGGTTATAGGTATATGTTGATTTTGTTTTATATGGGTTGGGTTCATAGATAAAATCCGATGTTTTCTGTAATAGAAAATAAGCAAACCAAAGTTTAGGCTTTCTGCATTCGGAATATCCCAAATGAATTTGGTCGATCTCACAGCTAAATATAATTATTTTATCCAAAGACGTGCCCACTGCCAGCATTAGAAAGCCTTAGATTTTGTTGCTTAGTATGTAAAACGGTAAAATATACATTTTTTTAAAAATCTGTATTACAAGTTTCAGAATTTATAATTTATTTTGTATTAATGTATATATCATATACACTTGGAAAAAGAAGGACGCCCAAGTTGAATCCTAGGCTGCCTCTTCTTCTTCTTATTATATGCATTCCATAGTTTTAACATCTTCTCTGTTGTAGGATTCCATAATTCAAAAGATCGATCTAGTACTCCAGCCTACAAGTCTGAAGATACGTATTGAATAAACATAAAAAAAATCAAATTATTTTTACAACCTAACTTCTTCCAGAGTTAGTGAGAAATACAATAAGCTATTAGTCTAACAATGATAACGGGATTGCAAATTTTGGAGTTTTGCTAAACTGCAAAAAGAAAATTTTGGAAATGCAAGGAATCGTGACCTAACTTCAAATTTTTAATGAAATGCGCGGCTGGTTGATTTCAATTGATCTAACAGGTGATTTTTTTTCTTTTTTCCTTTTTGGAAAACCTAATAAGTGGAATTTGATAAAATTAAGCGTCTTCGAAACATTAACATTATAAAGTAGATTAATTTCAGATCAGGGAGATTTATCCGTGTTTCTCATATAACAATTTCCTTTCTTCATATAAAAACAATATATATAAAAGACTATAATATTAATGCTTAAAAGGAGAAATATACAACTAATATATGCAGCCCTTTAAGCGGTTGGAAAACTGCATAGAGAAAAAGACTTACTTTGACGTCTACCGATTTTCACATCTAAAAATTATGACATCCACATTTTGTTGAATGATTCATGCAGTACTCTTCACGCCTTGATGAAGTGCGACAACATTAATAACAAGTGGAGTATACTCTCATAGTAAAGGTTGGGAAAAAATGGCTGGAGATTGCTCAGATATCCATGCAAAGGAACCCCATGAATATTCTTCTTGTTCACAGCTAGACAACATTAATAATATTTCACCCATTGATCTGAATGAAGAAGCAAGCTGCAGTGATGTTGATGATGAGGAGGAGGAGGAGATGATCAGTGCTAATAATAGTGAAGTCCCTAATAACTTCCCGGCGGCTGCTGACGGCGAAAAATCGAGCGAAGGAGGAACTTCTGATAATAACAGTAATTCCGTTGAAGGAAATGAGAGAAAAGTTCGTCAATATAATCGATCTAAATTGCCTAGGCTTCGATGGACCCCGGAACTTCATCTTTCTTTTGTGCATGCAATTGAAAGACTAGGAGGGCAAGAAAGTGAGTAACTCCGGATTTTTATTTTATTTTTTTTCCGTTCTTCAATATACATATTCTTTTTTTTAAAAAAAAAAAGAAAAATATTTGATGGCCCGATGAGAATCGAATCTCGACCTTCTGGTAATAACCATTCACATCCTAATACTTTAACCAGCCAACCTAGCTCCCTCCTTCAATTTACATATGTGTACATTATTTTTAGTTTTGTGAATGGGACTAATGTTCTCCCATGATCAGACAAGGATCCTTTGATTAGATCAAATAACTTCAGGTTCATTAGTTAAGCTCTATTAATTTGATCCAGGAGCCACTCCTAAATTGGTACTTCAGTTGATGAACGTTAGAGGGCTTAGCATTGCTCATGTAAAAAGTCACTTGCAGGTATGCCACATTGTCCTCCAAATTTAGTTTATTGATGACTCTTTAAGTTTTGATCTTTCTAATAGTGAATCATTTTTTAATCTTTTTTTTAATTTAAAAAAATCAGATGTACAGAAGCAAGAAACTAGATGCACGTGGTCAAGGTACGGATACATCAAATTTTCTTTCTCCCCTTTTTTTCTACGATTACCTGCTTGAATCTTGGTAATCAAAATAATGGGTTGTGGGTTGATAATGACAGTTCTATTAGGCCAGGCTAGCAGAGGGATGCAAAGAAAAGGTTATTTCTCAAGTAGAATGGACCCTTCTTACCACGATGGTGGACTTCTTTCAGCAACTGATCGCGGAGTGTTTAGTAACATGAGTTTTCTTGCTAGTCAGTCTCCCCAGTTTTCATATGACTTTTCCAGGTAAGTAAATGTATTCAGGAAAAGAAATATACATATTCTCTTCTTTCCGAAATTATTGTCTATTTTGAATTTTCATTGTTAATTTAAATTGTACTAAAAATGAAAATCCAAACTGAAAATAATTTTAAGATAGAGAGAGTATACCAAACCATTTTTTAAGTTTTAATTTTTAGCTCCGATCAATGATAATCTGATCTCAATTACTAATCAAAATCGGATTTTTTTAGTTTGAGTCGCGCCCATTAACTTTAACCTAGCTAATTGCACTCATTTGGAAATTAATGATACTGTAAATTTTTTTATATATTACTATAAAGGAGACGAAATTTAAAACATGACACTGCTACATTATCATGTATGTTGGAGCTAATTAATTAGAACATGATAATGTAACTTTGAATACATGTATGAATTAGCTGGAGAAAGCATGAGTTAATTTCAACTTACATAAAATTAAAGGTTCTCTTTCTATCATGTCGTCAGATACCAGCAGTGGTCTATCTATCGAGATGGCAAGAGTAATAATCACAAGATGCAACAATATAATGTTGGGAAGCCTCACAATTCGAGCGTATTATTTCACGTTATGCGTGGATATCCAAGGAATGGTCCCACTAAACCAAGCTGTTTTCTTGAAGAAAAAAGATGGCCGCCTCGTGAATTCATCTCAAATTACCCGATGATGAAAGATAGAAGGGTCCCAACGCCGATTAATCCTCAATTTCTTCATGATCAACAAGCTGATTCTGTGGGGGCTACCTACTTCATTCAGCGTTCAAATTGGAATTCCATGCACAGCTTTGATCAAACAATTTTAGAGGTCCCCAAAAGCCAAGAGGTATACACTTTACTTTGAGGTGCCTTTGAAGTACGTAGATATTGTTGTCTCCCTAGTATTCTTTCTATCTCAAAATTAGTAGTTACGTTCCTATAATTAAATAAAATAAGTCGTCCCATAAACTGGACTATTTTATTATGGGACGTGTGTATAGCGACGAGCATTATAGGGTTTACCTTACTCGATCTTTTATTTCTTTTCCCATTTTGATGAACAGATGATGAATAAGTATAAAGCAGTGGATATTAAAGATCGGTCGCCTAGCTTGCAACTTGGTTTGAGCAAAATCGCGGGACAGAAGATTCCAAGTATGGGAGATCCCTCGGATGTCAACACAAGGCTTTCGCTTTCTCTTTGAAGTTGGAACCCTTCCCTATATGCTCTCAAAAGCAGTGACTACTTTATTCATTTTCTTGAAGCTAGGTATAACTGAAACTAATGCTCAGGCATGAGATATGAAGAAAGCGTAAATCGACTAAATAGTCCCTGATTAACTTGGTGCATCAAGTACTGATTTGGTCTCTCATCTTGAAAAAGTTTCAAATCGTCTTCCTTTGAAATTTCGACAGAGATTGGGCCTAACTTGTCCTTGTACAGTTGTAACTAGAGCGAGATAATTAAAGTTTGATAACAGTTTCACTTGTTCAAGATGAAAGACCAAATTAGATTGGTTGGCCACCAAGTTAAAATCACTTTTTTTACCCGTGGGGTAAGAGAAATCAAGACGGATTGCTCGCAGGTACAATTACACGCTAATGACATATGGAGACCAGGATTAGCAAGGAAGACCGAGTACTTAAGATCTCACCTCTCACCGTATGCTTCCATAGTTGAAATTTTGCATCAGTTTATAATAGTCCTTAATTTCTATTTTCTTATCGTACAGGTCGCTCTTACAGAGTTGATCGAACATAACTGTTCAATTCGAAGGTACATGTATTAATTGGACAAATTTGAACGAAGGATATATTACATATACATATATAGGGCGAATTACATTCAACAGCCTGAGTTTTGGTAATACTACTGTAGATCCAAACAGCTTCATAAAAGTTTATGTACACACACAAAATACAAAAACAAGAAAAGAAAAGAAAAAATTTCAAGTATATAACAAATTGACGGAATATATATAGTTGTCAACTGGCTTAGTTTATTCAAATCGGATCATGACTACGGTTCCTTGGTTAGGCATGGTTGATATGGAGTCGAGCACCCAAATTCATGATATGCTTCCTAAGCCTTTCAAAGACATCAAGACCATAGCGTCGCTGGAGCCACTTGTTTATCAACCGAAATGTATTGCCTAAGAGCACGAGCGCCATCAAGACACACCAAATCATGACCACATTTTTAATACTTGAGCTCAATTGCTTCTTGTTGTCTTGTGGTGTCACCCCAACAGTTATGGTAGCATAACTTAAAGCCATGGCCGTGATTGTCATCCACATAAACACCATTAAACCCCACATAAACAACCTCTTCTTGAACGGCAAACCACTGATGAGGAACAGGGTTGTGCTGAGGGATGACACAATCGCTATTGTATTGGTCCTCATGAAAGTTCTATACTAGTTCGGATGTTTTTGCGCCAACACGGATTCTCCCGCCACGTGAGGATCTGGACCGTCTGGTTTATCATCTTGCCAAACACCCCCTACCGGAGTCAGCGCGGCTTCGAAAGCCATTGTGGCTATAAGTGAGGCAACCACCATTATCGCATCCGATCTCTTGGATAGCCACTCGCTGCTGCTGCCTATGTCCTTGCCGTTTCTCCCTCCAACGCTTTCAAAAATTCGAGCGATTTCTGAATCACGGTCTCCTTTGAAAAGGTCTAATGCGGTGTTCCCATTTGCATTCCTTGCATTCCTTGCATTCACTTGCACCACGTTGTTTTGAACCAAGTACACGATTGTCTGCATGCATATGTTCAAAAGCACTGTCACTAATTACATCAAATTTAAGGACAAGAAAACTGAAAGTCAAATTTTTTTTCCCAGTTCAGATTTTTTAATTCTACTAGTACAGATTACTAAAAGTGAAAGTTTCATTTCGAGACAGAAAGAGTACGCTTTAGGAAGCTTATAGCTATAAAGGTATATGTACCTCAGTTTGGTGACTGCAAACGGCGAGGTGTAATATGGTCATCCCAGCATCATCCTTATGATTAGCAAAATCATTATCATTTATTGCGTTGACCAATAACTGCAAAGCCTCCAGCCGGTTATACTTGACGCACAAATGAAGAACGTTTCCTCCACCGGGAGTTCTTTCTCGAGCAGCAAGTGGCGAGGGATTAACCAACTCTACAATTACCGGCATTGATGATCTTCCCATGATGACTGCGAGATGTAAAGGGATTCTTCCGAACCGGTCACCCTCCAAAGCCAACTCGGGTCTGGCTTCCAAGATTTCTGTTACAAATTCCAAATTACCCAACATTGCTGCAATATGAAGAGGATTCATATCTTGATAATTATTTAACATGGCTTTATCTAGAATAAATGAATCTTGGTGAAGTAATTGAGCAAGTGTCTCCACATCGTTTTGAACAGCAGCATCTCTAAGCCTCTGCATTTCCTCCATCTTTCTAATTGGTCTACGGTTTGCACAACCATATGTGTGATGATGGACTTTTATTTAACGTACATAGAAAGTCGATCATTAGAATAAATTCGGGAATTAATTATCTTATGATCTTTTTATATTGCCACTTTTGAAAAGAAAGAATGATCTTTGTCAAGTTTCTTTTGGGGTAGGGTTGTCAAGAAACTCCAATCACATCTTCAGAGAATATAGGATGACTTAGAGTTTGAGTATGTGTATATGACGCTACTGTGAAATATCTGGGGAAGGAGAAACGCAGTTGCGAGGGAACTCTCAGGGCTCAACTTAATAACTCCTTTGTCTCCGTTTTGGATCACAAATCTTTCGGTTTAAAATAATTATCCAGTTTATATTATCATTTTTAATATAATGTATAATTATGTTTTAAGCATTGATGATCACTTAAAACGAGTAGAATAAAAATTCTCTACATATTGTCACTAATAAAAAGTTTGTAGACACTTCCTTCTACGTATTATCAAAGGGGCAAAAATAATAAAAAACTAGATGATCTGCCCGGGCGCCCTTCTACTTTAATTTTGTGTTAATAGATAAATGAATTCTTAATTTGAAAAAAATAAAATAGCTACACATTTGTTTTTTTTTCCTTTTTTAGCCAAAAATAAAAATAAAAATAAAAAAATCATCTGTCAAAGGGAAAAAAATATTGAAAAGCACAACGATACAGAAATCATACAAAAGAATGTGGAGTAATAAAGGGGATAAGTTTATGGGCAAATTTAAATGCTATTTTAATTTGATTGATAAATGATAAATGTTAGGAATTAAAATTGTGTAGCTATTTTTGTAAAGTAGTTTTTGTTTCTCCGGATAAGAATTTTTTTTTTCTTTTAAAAAGGGATGACACGTGGCAGAATAGTTAATGCAATATGGTACATTTGGAGCCAAAAATTTTTAATAAGAAATTGCCACATCAACATCTTGTATTCTGCTTTAATAGAGTAAAAGGGATAACATTCCTTCTATCTCAAAATTATTATCCGACATAAATATTCATTTCTAATTCAATTTATATACTAACAATAAAATCTCAAACTGAAGATATGGTAATTTGTTAGTGGTCCCTTGCTGGACTGGATCCAATTTGGTTTGTTAACTTCCGGTTCTAGTTCCCACTTCCCGAGTAGCTTGTGATTTGAATTATAAATAAAGCCAGTAGAAGTTTTTTTAAAAAGAAATTAAATGTGCTTCTAATATATTTTCTGTTTTTCTCATCTTCAATTAGATTGACTTTTCACTAGTCAACTCTATTTGCTTAGCTTGTCGATTGATGCTGAGTTGTAATTTCTTTTTTTCCCCTTTTAATAAGAATAAATCTTATTCTTTTGCTGCAAAATAGTTTTATTTCAGTTTTTTTTTTAATTGAGAAACAACTGTGGAAGGTGGAACCTTGGTGGGATGGTTACCATTTTTATTAATAATAATAATAATGAGTAATTAAAAAATACACAAGAAAGGTTTTGAAGGCCAAATGCCTATATCAAACATTACAAGAAAAACAAATCTAGGAAACTCAAAGATTTCCTATACTTTGCAAACCTTAGGAGGAAGTCCGAAGAGGACAAAACTTATTATTCTCTATCATTTTTTTTTCTTTTTTAATTGATAGTATTATTGTAAATGATTATATCCACATTCAGTGTACGATGTGAAAGTCACACAAAATGAATTTGATGCTGTACACTCTATTCCCACATTGATCATTGATTTTATTACGGGCTGAGTAAAAATTAAGACGATTCAAAAAAAAAAAACAATTAATAAACACATTCGGTTTTCTAATTCATATCATGGCTTTTACGTATTCTTTTACTTATTTGTATCATTGTAAAAATCACAAAAAAAAAAAGTAAAACTCACGGAATGTTTATTTTTTAGTTTTAAGTTTTTTTTTTTTTTGTCAACTTTTCCGTCTAATTTTTAATGACGACGAGAAAGTTGCTGAAAGTTGAAATCCATTATTTTGTATCATTTTCACAATTTTCTGATAGAGTTATCGTTGGGTGATACTACTATTTGTTTTGGTGTCAACGGATAAAACTCACAAAATCATTAGTTTTTATTATTATTATTTGCGTCTTTTTCGTCTACTTTGTAAGATTAGAAGACAGACGGTGAAAGTCAAAATTCATTATTACGTATCTTTTTCCTTTTTTGAAACTAATAAAAAATGTCAGTTTTTTTTTTTTTTTTGGTTCAGAATGTAAACTTGGGTTGGTAATCCTTCATCAACGTATATATTATAAAAAGCAAGTTTGGACAAAAGTTTGGTAGTATACTTTTAAGGAAAAAACTGACATTTTATTATTATTAAATATAATTATTATTCCAATTAATAGTAAAGTTTTGATAATACATTTACAGTAACTCCTTAGAATAACTTATTAAGAGAAAAAGGTGAATTGACATGTGATTATTATTTTAATTAATGTTGATTAATTTTTTGGTGTTATAAATTTAATTAGTGCTATTATTAATGAAGGAAGAAAATGAGTAGGAGAAGATGAAATGTCTCATGATTATTAATCATAATCATCAACATATACATAAAAAGAGAAATTTTGGAAAATTTTTTATTGTACTACCACATGTGTACGAGTCTCTTCTTCTTTTTGTAAAAAAACTTTTTTCGTTTCCTCTATTTACCATCTTCAATATTAATTATTCTTTATTTTTCTTTCAATTCTCTAATGAGGGCTTTATTAGTTCAATATTTATTATGGGATTCATTTTTTACAATTTCAATTTGTTTCATCTTCTCTTCATTAACTCTCTTTTCTTTAGTTTTGTTTTCTACGATTTCCTACACTTTAAATAGAACTCTTTTGATTGAGAACATTTCTATCTTTAGTGTTAATCATGTTGAAACATTGAGTTTCTCTTATACTTGAATTTTTTACATAATGTCAATTCTCTCATTGGTGTCCTATTTCCAAGAAGAGGTACAATACAATTTATTCTCCTACTTTGTAGCATAGTATATGTAATTTCATTTATCTTTTTAAACTAAAACAAAAAGTATCTAGAGAGTCGAAAATAGTTTGAATGTTTTCAAAATATTTTTCTATCTCTCCTATATTCTTCGTATTATGCATATTGTGTTTTGATATTATTTGTTTCCAAATGTTAAATTATTTCATAATTTTTTCCTCCCTATTTTGAGTGTGTATTTACATGCGAGTTGTTTGCTTAAATGTTTGAATATTGAAGTAATATTTACGTATATTTGTTATGTTACTTACACACTCACAGTTATAGGGATATTTTGATATTTTTATGGATGTTACTATATCACAATAAGAATAATAAAAATGTCTATATTAATATATGTATATATTTAGAAAATACTGACAAATTTTAGAATTACGAGATTAAGCAAACTTGAGAATTAAAATCCAAGTACATATTAAAAGATAAGTATTTTTTCCCTTTCCAGTGTTGATTTGGGTTTATTATTTGGGGAAATAAAATAAGTTTGCTTTATTTAAGTATAATTTTTCGCTATTAAAATTTATAGATGTATCTGAAATGTATTTCAACTTCATTCTTAAAAATTATTTGTTAGTTGCAAATTTATATTTTCATTTAAATATAAAATTATATATAAATCGTATTACTCTGTTACACGTGACGTTGAATTTATTCAATAGAATCAATAATTTAGCATTATTTTATTTTACATTCCCTTTTTTCCTTGATTTATTATATTATATTATTTTTGTAGATTTTTAAAATTACAACACGCGCGAAGCGCGTTCAGTTCAACTAGTAAATATAACTATGAAATTTTTTTTATCCTTTTTTTCAACCAAGAAAATGAAAAGGTTTTACGTGTTATATTTAGTATTTCTTGGATGTTCCAACCTTTGATCTTCTTCCATTAATTTTTCTTTTATTTTTACTTTAAATAGAATTTATGTGTTACATTTGGCGTTACTTTAATGTTCAGACTTTTGATCTCCTTCAATTAATTTTTATTTTATTTTAGTTTAAAATTTATAAACAAATTAATGTTCATTACTAGTTGAATTTTGATTACCTATGGTTTCAAGTATTTTGTAGATGTAAACTTTTTTATGTGTCTTCTTCTCTTTTTTGAATTTTAAGATTTCATTAATGAGAATTAGAAAGATTATTCCATAACTCAGATAGAAAAATAAAAGTTTTGCACTTTTAAGAAGTAGGAGCTTTATCATTTTTGTTTATTTTTTTTATTTTTTCACTTGCCTGTTTTTTGCGCTCAATGACCTTTTCATCCCAAACTCATTGAAGATAACCTTAATTATTTTTACTCATTCATTGTGAAACATCCACTTTCAATTTCTTTTTCCATCTTCTTTTTTTAGGAGAGAGAGGGAATGGGGGTTGTTATGTAAAAAATTGATTGTATTATATTGTTCATTTTGTGTATGCGTATGTGTATGTTTTTTTTTTTTGTTTTTTGGAGTTAGAGCAATTATAATATAGAGCTCCAAGGTGTACCTAGTTTGTTAAACATGCGCCAAAAAATAGGAGAGGTACCAATATTTACAGCAATGTCATTTAAGTGATATGCACGCTCTCATTAAAGCCCACTTTCTACGGGATTTTTTTATTTTCAAATTCTCATAACTACATTTTTCTACTAATTTTCAGCCATTAACCATATCCATCTTCCTATTCCATTCAATTCAATCCGTCTCAAACAAAAAAATTTAAAAAACCAAATATTCCTCTCTGCAGCAATTTGGCAACAAAAGCTCTTTGTCGGCGATATTTTTGAAGACGAGTCAAATTTTACATTCAATTTCGTGAGTTTGGTTGCAATATACTTCGCTGAACGTGAAAATTAAGGTAATACATAATTTTATTTATCGGTTTTTCGTGTTTCTTCCATGTATGAAGTTCTAATAATGCTATTTTTTTAAAATATTCATGTAGACGGCTACGATTGTCGATTCTAAATTGAGCAGGAGTACATCGAAAAATGGAGAGGGAACGAAGTAATACTACAATTTTCTTCAATAATTGATGTGTTTTTTGGGTTGTATTATGTAGATCTAAGGTATGTCCATTCGATTGTAAATGTTTGTTCATTAATTTTTTACTTTTGTTCATCGATTTGTTGTTAATTTTAGAAGAGATAAATAGATATGGGCAGTATTCACCATTTCGATATCATTATTCATCGTCGATAATAGATCTGGGCATTATTCATCAGTCTGATTTGTTTATCAATTTGTTGTCGTTGAACATCAGTTTGTAGTTATATTTTTTTGGGGAATATTCATCCGTGATGAGTGGTTATTCATCGAAAATTTGGAGCAAGAAATCGTCAAAAATTCTAATCTTTCCGGCATTGAATCTCAGGTAATAATGATTGTTCATTATTCTAATTAAATATAATTTACGTTTTATGAATATAGTGTACGATATACTGATTTATTCATCCCATTAAAAGTGATTATTCATCCCTTGCGAATATGTTATTCATTATGTTATATGTGTACTGTTGTTATTTTGATTTAGATTGGGTGTATGCAGATATGAAGATTAGTCATCATGTTAATCATGATTATTCATCGTATATTAAGACGTTATTCATTAAGTATTTTGTTTATTGTAGGCATTTGATCTGGATTAGGTGTACACAAATATGATGGTTATTCATCCTCTATTATGCCGTTATTCATCTAAAGAGTGATCTGATATAATCATGTGAATATATATCATTCATCATGTGAATTCGAATAGTTCATCCTTTGAATATGTGTTAGTCATACTGTAAACTTCATTCATCCTGCAAATAAATGTCATTCATTTTACTGGATTATTATTCATCATGTAATATGTAAACGTACACGATTGTAAATATGTGTCAATTGTCATTAATCATGTAAAATTGTGTTATTCATCCTGTCAGTATATGTCATTCATCCTTGTAACATGTGTTATTCATTCCATAGGTGTGTGTATTCATCATGCAAAGATATGTCATGCATCACCAGTGATGTTGTTATTCATCATTTAATATGTACCCCTACACAATTGTTATTAAATAGATTCGATTTTATGTAATTTTAATACTGATTCATCGTTTTCAAAATGATTATTCATCTTCAATAGCATTGTTATTGATGATTAACAGAGTTTTGATTGAATGTGAAATCCCACTAATTATAATGTTCTTTTTGTTTGATCAGCAGCAAAGAAATGTTCATCAAGAGGAAGTCAATCGGTCGGGAATAAAATATTTTGCCAGAGTTGCAGAAATCAAGCAATCAACATAAACGTATCAAACATCAGCAAATCCTTCAAGACCTTATATGTTAAAAACAATGACTAGTTTTTTTTTTATTTTTTTGTCCAGTATAATATATAATTAGAAGTTTGTTAGTTTAGTTGTTGATATTAACCCATTATAATATATATACTCTTGTTATCAAACTTATTCATCTACTAACTTATATTATTCACTCATTAAAGTACAATTATTCATTTTGCAAAACTACAAATATTCTTCATTGTAATATTATTATTCATTTACGATGGGAATTATTATTCATCATATTTGCATCGTTATCCATTTTTATGAATATCGTTATTCATTACAAAATTTAAATTTATTCATCCATAACTTTATCACTATGAGAACACCATTATTCATCCACAATATCATCATTATTCATTGATAAGTATACCGTTATTCATCCAAACAAATATCATTATCTATCAAAAAATTTCAAATTTGACGCTTAATTCTCCGGATTCGTTGTTAATCAGTTGAAATTTTTTGCTCTAATTGATTCCCCATATTTATAAATCTCAATGATTAATCATAGTCAATTTTACCGAAATAAATCTATCTTTATAAAAAAATTATCTCATAAAATAAAATAATATAAAAGCTAACAGAATAAGCAAAAAAAATTTTAAAATTAAACACGTACCAAAAAAAAGGGATAAAATTAGGGAGATTAAATGCCAAAAAAAGGGGGATAAAATTGGGTGATTAAATGCACGTGTAGTGAATAAAAATCCGGACAAAAATGGTTATTTTTTTCTGCCAAGTTTGTGATAAACGCACTGCCTGAGTATACCTTTCCAGGTATACCTAGGGGCTTGATATTATTTACCGGAGTTAGAATATTACTTGTATTTACAATAAATTATGCAGAATATTTTTCACTATGTTATAGCATGGCTGAGGTATGCGCGTTTATTCCATCTAGTATCAACGTTATTATCAGAAAAACTAATGAAAAGTCGAAAAGAATTTTGTAAAAAAAGAAAACCATTTTCATCGTCTCAACACCTAAAGCTTGGCCCAATGACCTCAACTTGTGGAATTTGTTGTTGGACACGCAGGACCTGGTTAAACGATTTGCTCGTAGGATATTTTACCGTTGATTGTCGAAAGCCCCTTTTCACATTGTGCCCAACACAACACTTAAGAATAAATTAATAAATAAATTGATTTTTTTTTATTTTTTTGTATTTTTAAAAAGAAGAAGAAAACGAAAGGAGGAGGAGGAAACCATGTTGTTGGATTGGGACAAATGGAAGTACAGAACAGAGCTACACAAGTCCCTACTTGTAGTTTATAGAGGGTGACGGTCTGATGGGGGCTCATAACACTGATATGTTTCTTCACATCACAGTGTCACATGCTGCAGCAGCTTCAAAGTCCTTGATTAAAGCCACTGGGGGAAGGAGATCAGAGTTGTTGGGACAATGACTGCGAGCTAACCATAAGCATTAATACTCTCCTCTTTGACACTAATTCTGGAGGAAGACAAAAATTGACTTATGAAATTTTCATATGCCATTAATCTGTGTTTTTTGCTCCTTTCCAATCTTGCCTCACTACAGAAAAAGGACTTCATGACTCCCTTAGTCAAATGGATAATGAATGTGAAATGGCTCTCATCATCTACAATGGACCCCTGATCCTCCTACTGAACCACATGGGAAGCAACATGCTCAAATTGATTGCGAATTGACCTTTTCGTGGGATAACCGTAAAAGTTAGCGAATACACATGTAGATAGGTACATCATCTGCCCAACTATACAAGGCAGCCACAATAGATTTCAAAACTTTAATAAGCTGCTGTTAGACATGTTTGTAGTACAGAAAGTACGATGATCTTATATGTAGTAACACCCACAACATATTAATAGGAGGGCTGATATTATGTCACACCTTAGCATTTCAATTTAATCGCTTTCAAAATGAATGATTATCAATGTCTAAGAGGCCAACATTAGTTTGATCCAGATATGCATTCTTCTACCATGCCGTAAGCAGTAATTTTTTTTGAGTGCTTTAGAGTTGAGAAAAAGTTAATCCTGTCTGATGCAAGTCCTAAAGAAGAACACATACTGCCAGCCCAATTCAGAATAGATAATTAGTTCTAAAATCAAGGTGATTAACTATTGAAACATACGCCAAAGAAAAAAGCATAAGAACTGAGTATAATCATGTTAGACTCACAATTGCTGAGGTGGAAGACATGTTTCAGTGAACAAATATTCACTTTAAGTTGCGTTGCATCATCCCATATGATGAACTACTACTGTCTCCAGCTTTCCTATGAAAGTAGTCTGTTTCATTGTTCAAACAAATACATTTTATGGTCTTTCTTTCTCTGCGTGTGCCTATCATCTCTCTCTCTCTCTCTCCTGCTTGGTTCTATAATCTATACGCAGGAGGAGTTGGGAGATTGGGAACCCAGCAATCAATACTTCCCAAACTAGAGATTAATGGATTGTTGAAAATTCATCCACAGCACAACCTTTTGTACATGTACCAACAAAAACCTAATATCAACTATCACAAACTAGTCAATGTAGTCATCATGTATAGCAAATATAAGCATACCCTTGTTTCGAACACTTGGTAGTCATTAAATCATCAGTAGCGACTCAAAGCCTATCTCCTAGGCATCATACTTTGTTCTTTTTATGAGAAACACGAGGAAAATGTTCCTGCAAAAGTCCATGTAAGGCAAAACAAGTAAGTCCTTAGTTATAAGTGGTAAACTATAGAGCATGAACTCAGTGGCTAAGTTAGAAACAACAATGGGGTAGTGTAAATACCTCAGAATAGCGGCTATGGTTATCACTTAAATTTGAAGATTTTACCATAGTCTCCCACTTAGGTACAGAAGCCTTCTGATCCTTCTTGATGTGAAAGTTCTTCCCGTGGTGTGAAGGTGAAAATGGAATTCGCAAGTGGATAGTTCGCCAAAGCCAAGATTCAGACGGTGATTTTGGCAATGGTGGTGCCAGGGGAGACTGTAAAGCTACAGCATCAGTACTATTTTCAGCTTCTGATTCATTGCTCTTGACAAGGGATCTCTTCTCCTCACTAATGCTCTTGCTTAACTCTAAAACCCCTGGTCCATGTGCCGGCACTCTGAGCTTTGACATACCATTGGAAGCCGGAGGAACTTCATGGGCCAACGAGGATACTTTAGCATCCAATTTAGTTCCTTCCTTCATTGCATTAGATGGCTTTACTTCAAGATTACCAATATTATCTGGTAAATTGTCCTCTACCTTTTTTGTTTCTGCTGAAATTTTCAACTTGTCACCAACAGAATTGAAAGGTCTCTCAACTCTGGAAGAATCTAAACCTTTGATGACATCCACAGTGGTTACAGAATCTACATAAACTGTTTTCTCCACAGCTTCATTTGGTGTGACTCCCCCTTGTCTGCTTACGCGAGGGGGGGCAGCGTCTAGAAGATTGCTACACTTTTTGATAAGGGAACTGTACTTCTCAGCTGTAAGATTGTCAGCTTCATTAGGTAAACCAAGAAATCTTGCTCCCTTCCTAAACGGAGAGTGAGGAGCTGCATTTCGATAAGGAGAAATCTCCCCACTTCGAAAAGGCCTGCAAGGAGACAATCCTCCTGCCTTGTATGAGGTATAGGCGAATGGTTTGCTTTCACCTTGCTTCTTTTCAACTTGATGCAGTTCTCGGGTCAAAACTCCAGAATGAAAGATTCTCTTATTGTTAGGATCCCATGCTCGCTGGAAATATTAGGAAATACATCATAATCATCATAAAAAGGAAAGTCAACTTCAAGACCCGGAAAAAAAAAAAAAAACGTAAGAAAAAAAGGGCAGAATTTGGGCTCACCTTGTCAAGAGGTCCACTATAAGCCTTCCGCGTAAGCCTTCCAATGTCTGTAGGAGGAGAATTTGGGACTTGTGACCTTGTTTTAATTGCTGGCACAGGATTAAAAAGGCATAGAGACTTCTTCACACAAAGTCGTGGAAAAATTCCCCAAGCTTTGCGTGAACGCTTCTTAGGCTCATTAGCTTGATTATCACCAACCTCAACTTCGCTTTGACCATCTTCTATATACTCATTGTAAAAGGAGGCAAAATCAGATTCCAATCGATCAAGCAAAGGCTTTCTTTCGCCGCTGACCACCTTTTTAGGCTGTTTTGGCTGTTCTGTAACCACAGGAGGCTGCTTCTTCGGAACATACTGAGGTGTCTCCACAACTGCAGCCTTGGCTGCAGGTAAGAACCGACTCATCATAAAATCTCTAGTCTGTGCATCTGCCTCAAGATCTCCAGATTGCTTCACATTTGAAACCTCAAATTCACTCAAACCACTAACACTGCAATTGAACGAAAATGATGCACTAGGAGAGATTGTATCAACTGCATCAGAGTATGCATCATCAGCACTTCCTGCATCAGATCCCTCATTCGCATTCAGACTTTCCTTCAAGCTGGCAATGAGAGCTGCATGGTCATTGTAGGGATAAACTTGAGATTGAGTCCTGAAACTCTTCTGATCACTACATCTGTCACCAGAGTAGCGCCTTACAATCACATTTTTGGGATCATTACATCTCTCTCCAGAATATCGCATTATGGTATCTGGTACCCTTCCGGGAGGAAGCCTAGGAGCACTTGCTGAACGTTTAGGAGTCTCCGTCTGCTCTTCATATTCACCTTTGGTCTTCCCAGGGATTTGCTCCCATCTAAAAGGAACCGCCCCGGGTTTTGCTACCTCTCCTAGTTCCCACTCAGACTTTTTTGGAGGAAGAGACTGCTGTCTAATTGGACCTGACTTCATAGACAACTTATTCTTCACCTCTGAAAAGCCTAATTTAGAAACAGGTTTTCTAACAGATAGAAGAGGGGCATTAAGGTTCAGTTGCTTCTTCTCCATGATATCACACAGCAAGAAAGATTCAACTTTTCTTCCTCAGAATAATATATCCTGACATGGTTCAAGGTTTAAAAGAAAAAAAATTAGATTGTAACTTTAAAAGTATATAATCCTCCAAATACCAAAAAATTCCAAGTGAAGGAAAAATCAGTAGTGCATAATATGCTGATAAGTCAATCCATTCTGAAACTTTAACCCAAGAGTGTAACAACCATGGCCAATTCAATTTCACATACGAAGAAACAGATGTCATAAGATTGATTAACTAATACACACATACTCTAACTTATTATAGTCCAAAAAAAGACTCCTAACTACAGCAATCCAATAATCACTAATCAGGACAACAGAAGGTATTCGCTGAAGGCATGTCAAGGTATAACTTGAAACTGAAACCGAAATATATCAAAAACAGCCCAAAGATGTTAAATTTCCAAACACACTGAAGATACAGGACGTTATCTCCCACAGAGCAAATGGGTCCAACGTTTTTTCAGGAACCCATTCCTCAAAATGCCCGGGAAGCAACAATTAATAACAATGGAACCCAATTAAGTCGCAGAAAAGACAAGGACTGGAAGAAAAACCCCTCCCATTCTCGATTCTTTATGAAAGACCCAGGCTTTAATCTCCATTCACAACCAAAGAAACAGTAAAGATAAAAAAAAACAAGAAGATCATAACCCAAAACAGCATCCCAAAACAATCATCTTCTGGGTATACGTCACATTGACTCAATTTTACAAACAGGAAGAACAATCAATCCAAGAACCCAAGAAAAGATGACACCTTTGAGAAAACTAGATGAAAAAGTCTCTAACCTGAATGTGAAATCGGCGACAGGAAAAAAATGACCGGCAAAGGGACAGTAGATAAAATTGTGGCCTTGAATTATGGCAAGAATTGAGGAGGGAAAAAAAGAAAGAGTAAAAACAGGGGAAGGAAGAAGGGGAGACCCAAAAGAATGATACTTTGCCAAAAAAGAGAGTATCACTGCTCTCCTCAAGTCATGCTAATGCCCCCCCTTATTATCATTATTCCAACTTCCAAAACAGAGTGTTTTCATTTCTCAGTGTGTGACTGTGTGTGTGTGGTGAAGACTGAAGAAAGGGTAAACGATGGTGGGGTATGAAAGTGAAAGTGAAAGAGGCATTGCAAGAAAGGAAAGGAAGACTAGAGAGAGCGGTTTATTGATTTTGATATTTTGATTATTCTCTCTCTCTCTCTTGCGTAGTAGACTGTAGAATTACTACTTTTTTTGGTGGGGGAAAGGAAAGGAAAGGAAAGTGGGGAGAGGGGGGAAGAAGCAGAAATAATGCCGGTTTGTCTGAGAATGGAGGGGACAAATGTCACGGACAAACCGTTGAACATTACAAATTGTGACAGAATTACTAATATCATTAATATAATCATCATGATGTGCGTATCCTCATCATCAATAAGTCTCGCACAAGAAAGAATTTTTACTCTTACCATTTCCCTTTTCCCCCTCAATTTAGAACAAATTAATCGTTTTTTTGGGGGATGAATTTTGCATACTTTCATTCAAAGATTCAGGTGGGACAACCAATAATTATAGATGTCACACATAAAAAATTTGTTACCGTTATAGTGTTTTAAGGTGTTTCGCTCATTACAGTAACTGTTTTAAGACATATTATCAAAGACGGATTAATACAAACAAACAAACATTTAGAGGACTGTAGGTGATGTTAGGAAATCTACAAATTGGCTTTAATTTCGCGGCTAAATTGTAATCACTCACTTTCATCATCTTGCTGCTGCACATGGAATCAAAGATATGAAAAGGAAAGACCCCTCATTTTCATCATTATCTGTTCCGTTAATTGACGAAGCATCATCCCTAATTGTATGTGTGTTCCTGCATGTGCAATCCTACAACATCATCCCTTTCCTACATGTTGTTTTCAACAAAATTAAACCTATAGCGGAAGGATCCAAATAATATGACTGCGGGTGTTAATACAGGAAATTGCAAGTTCATTCTATTTTTGGGCCAAGAAGAGGAACGTAATTCGTCTATGCTAGGGACTACCATTTTACCTCGCATATCGTGTAAAATGGTAACTAGTTGAAAAGATGAAATTGGACCAACATAATTAGTTGAACTACATTTTGACCTAATTCTTGCTTTAGGTCCTTGATATATAATATCATCAGAATTAAAAAATCAGATCCGGGTTTACCCTTTTATTGTATTATACTGTCATCGCGCATACAATTATGAAAGTTCATCTTCCGTTATACATAATTAATTCCTTTTGTGCATACACTATTCAAGTTTGTAATTAAAAATAGTTTGATAAAATGAATTATTTTATTTTATAATATAGTAGGAGAATACGCCTATCTAAAAAGACAAAAGTTACGCACTGATATCAAGGCGCATTGAAAATAAAGTCTGATGAAAAGAAAACAAATAAAAGAAAAGTCAATCACCAACTAAATATGTTTATTTAAATAAATTGAAGTTAGGCTGGTGTGGCTTGGAGTTTGCCCCATCTTTTTTCCCACTAATATTTGCTTTTAGTCTAGGGGAATCATAATTTAGAGATACTGGAGGTGAAGTAAGTATTCCTCATAAATGTGAAAGGCATTTTACTTTGTGGAAGCAATGAATTTTGGTAGTTGGCTTTTCCGTTAATGCTATCATGTTTTTGAATGAATAATCATATCAACTGTACAACTCCCTCCCCCCTTTGCTGATAATGGAAGTGAGCCCTTGATTTGCCGAGGGCAGGAAACTTTACAACTCTTGATTTGTAAAAAGATAATAGCTTCATATTAACCTATGGGGCATATTTCAATTAGAGGTTTTTTTTTTTTTTTTAACTTGTTTTTATGTCAGATGGACTCTGTTTGAGAAATCTATTTTAGTACTTGTTCTATTGTGAAATTATTATTCAATTAAAATTTTTATTTTTAGTTCAAATAATCGGCGAAACTATAAGACGTTTTCCTTCCGTTGGAAAGAGTTTTTTTTCTTTGAATTGTTGACCTCCTCCAGACCTTAAATCTTGATTACGCTACTTGTTTAAATTGTACTAAAACTAAAAATACAAATTGAATGATAATTTTGAGATAGAATATATTAATGGTGAGAAGCAATATCAAAATTACAAAACCACAGGACATGGAACACCTTCTAAAGATCACACACAATCCATGTGGGAACAATGAAAATAGATTCGACACGAAGTTAACATTGAGGAAATTGAGAAATGGACAAGAAAGTATCAATCTGGTTTTGTTAGTTGAACGAGATGGACAAGAATGTTTGGCACTTCCTCACATGGGATGGTATACGTAGTAGTACGTAATAGAGGGGGATCCATGGAAAGATATCACACGTTGACTGCTACCACCAAAATATAATAGGGTCTAAAAATCTAAATCAACCAAAAAGTAGTGTAAAGTATAATTTTCTTTAGATTTATTTTATTTTACTTATATTATATTACAATAAAGAAATGGGAGCAGCGGTCCACATTTTCATTTTTTGTATTCAGGTGGAACTTGAAGACAATTATGTCAAATCCCCAATCCCATTCCCAGCAGCACATGTTCCTAGATCCACGCTAATTCTACCGCGATTTCAGGATGCTTTTTTTTTTGTGTGTGTGTTATCCCCCCTAAAATATTATTGCAACTTTTTGGTTTTATCATTTTCTCGTATCCTGGATTTCAGCTAATCATCCGGTCTTACACTACATTTTTTTTTTTTCTAAGACTTCTGTCCACCCAAGAAGGACTAATTACGGGTCAACATAAAATCACTGTTTTCTGCTTTTGCTTTTTCCCATGTTTTGTCTATCTTGAAGGCCCATATAAATCACATGTAGTTTCACTCAAAATTAATTGGCAATGAAGGGAGTAGTATATGAGATATATATAGTGATTAAGTTGACTTTTTAACTCTAATGTGGGCTAAGTATCTTTCATTTGTTTTCACGTTCAAAGGGGAATTTTAACACCCATTCTTCAAGCCCAAAGAGGTTGGACAAGGCTCCTTTAAACAGTCAAAGGCCTAATATGAGCCAGTCAAACCGAAAAAATCGCCAGATTAGTCAAAGTCCACCCACAGTGTCCGCGGATTAAAACCCGCTCTGATACCATCTTGAAGACCCATATAAGCTCACATGTAGTTCTACCTCAAAACCAATTGACAACGAGAGAAGTAACAAATCAGGTATATATGGTGATCAAGTTGGCTTCGCAACTCCAATATGAGACAAGTGTCTTTTACTTGTTTTTAGGTTCAAAGGGGATTTTAACTTGTTGTTTAGTTTCCAGATATCATATGTTCACATAACAATCATTTTGAAAAATAATTGAAATTGGGAACACACGATCATTTGACCTGATTCGGTTAAGAATACATTGCAACCACGAAAAACTTTGTCGTATAATATGGGCATCAAGGCCATGTTGGGAAAATTATCATGCTAATGTTCGTATTGAAAGTTAGTGCTACATGATATTAATATATGACATGAACATAAAAATCATTTATATGATATCAATATAATAACTAATACTCCATATTTGAGTGAGTAAGATGAAATACTACTCCAATATTTATAGCACTTAACCCTTGTCAGATATATTCTTTATTCAAATATGATTGTTCAGTTTTAATTCTCACTAGTAATATACTTTGAACCAAAATGAAAATTTAAACTGCACAATTTTTTTGGGGCAAATAAAATATTAACAATGTAGATATAATCGCTTTTATCCTTTTTGGTAAAGCATTTCAATTCAAAAGGATGAAACAAAGTTGTACCTTCCAATCAACCCAAAATGGAGTTCAATTAACCCAAAAAGAGAGTCCATGATTTGGCCCACATTTCTAGCTCGCCATAAGCACTAGTTCTTCCGATTTTTTTTTTTTTTTTCAAATAAAAACATACTATGTCAGTTCCAATGTTCTTACGTACTTAGCCCAAAACTAGCCCAATTAAGATAAACCCATATATTTATTGGGCTTAACCTGTATTCGTCCCAAACTGAAACATATTCCGTTTAGTAGATATAAGAATATAATTAGTAGGAAGATTAAAATTTAAAGATAAACTAGTGTCGAGTTTAACTTATAAGATAGGACGTTATGTAACGGATGTCAAAGATGAGACTGCTGCCTTTTTTCAGCTGATGTACAACAACAAAAACAAAAAAAAGGGGGGTGGGGAACCCCACTAGCAGAATAGGATTCTGCGTAATTTCTCTCTTTTTATACATATAAATGCATATACTCCCTCACACCGATAAAATTCGACGGATAGAATAAGGCAAAAAAAAAAAAAAAAAAAAATCTTTCCGGGGAGAAGATATCTGATTAATGGAAGAAGATCAAGAATCAGCCAAGATCTTCGACTGGAACAAACTCGATTGGGGTAAAAAAATAGCTTTTGGTAGTTACGGTGCTGTGTTTAAAGGTCAATATGAAGGACAGAACGTAGCTGGTAAATTCATTTTAATCCAATCCACATTTTGATTCCGATGGTCTAATTCTATTTTTTTTTCTGTGTTCATGGTCGTTAATTTCAAGGTTGAAGTGAAGTGGAAAAAAAAAGGAAAAATTAAAGAAGAAGAAACGATAATTAACGATATTTGATTTTTTTGATATATATATTCAGTTAAAGTCATGGATTTCGGAGAAGACAGCGCAGCTGTGGCGGAGGCGTTCTCGCGAGAAGTTTCAACTTGGACTCAACTCCATCATCCTAACGTTGCTAAGGTAAAATGATTCCGATTCTTTTTCTTTTTTTTTTCTTTTTTCGTTTAATTAGTTCCGAGAAAATTTCCGATGAATGTGAATTTTGCGAAATCCAAAAACCCTAATTTGAAAGAATCAGATACGATCAGTTGTGGTTGCGGAAAATCACGATTCTTTTTATTTCTTTCTTTTTTTCCTTTCAATTTCATCGTGGTTTCCGCTATCAGATCTCTCCGTTTCCAAAGACAAATTGTACAATTCTTTTTTAGGGCTTTCTTCTCAATCATCATGTTGTATAAATCTTTCAATTAAGATGCTTTAATTATCAACTGAATCATGTGAAGTATACAAGGCCGAATGCATTAATTCGCTTCTATTGCAATGAAATCTTGGGTCCAATTAATTGATTAATTAAATGATTTGCTGGATACGTTTCCAATTCTTTTGTTTACTTCCGTGACTAAAATTCTTGTCAATTTTTTTGGTTGAAGATTTCCTAACTCTCCCCTCTCTTCTTTACAGTTCATTGTCTCAAGAGATTTCATATCAAATAAAGATGTAATCCCTCGACCTAAGAAGCTCAAAAGTGCGTGTTGCGTCGTCAGCGAGTATCTTGAAGGTGGTACATTGGCATCATATCTCAAGAATCACAAAAACCTAGCCTTAACTCACAAAATCCAACTTGCTCTTGATGTTGCCAGAGGGTAAGTCCTTAATTTTGATTCTTAGTTTCTGTACTCCTACTTAATTTAATTAGCTAGGTGAAGTGCAGTATAACCTATGTATAATAGGGTTAACAACAATCTGGGTGGTCTTTGTTTGTAGGCTGTCTTACTTGCACTCTAAAAGGATCGTTCATCGAGATGTTAAGCTTGAAAATCTGTTGCTCGATGGTGAAAAGAGAGTGAAGATTATTGATTTTGGGATTTCAAGACCCGAAGCTTCTAATCCAGCTGAAATGACTGCGAATATGGGCACCAAAGGTTACATGGCTCCGGAGGTTCTCGGCTGTTGCCCATATGACCATAAATGTGATGTGTTCAGTTTTGGCATCTGCCTTTGGGAAATCTACTATCAAAAGAGGGTGGAAACTCAACTGAGTTATACTCCGTTGATCCGCGATGATTGCCCGATTGGTCTAGCCAGGCTGATGAAGAATTGCTGGGATGATCCTCATAGAAGACCCGAGATGGAAACGGTGGTGACGGATTTGGAAGAGCTGTTGGGGAAAGCAGAAGAAGATATGAAGGGTTCAAAAAGATCAATTGCTCAACGTATTGGGTGTTTCGGCTTCCTCAAAAGATGAGAACTTGAGAAGCATCATTGGTACAATGTTGTAAGATCATGTGTAAACTTGAAAGTTCTAGGCTTTTTCAATGAAGTCTAGGACGTAATGTTGTCTGTAATTGTTGGCTTTCTCTAGGGCTAGAAGAAGAATAGCTTCAGTTAGGGTTTCCATCACTATCAAGTTTTAGTGATGAAGAACTCCTCCGTTTTCCAAATGTTCGGAGGAAGTTTTTTACTTTCATGTAAGAAAATTGTACCAAAATTGTTCAGCATATTGTGAAAGAGCTCAGGTTACAAAAACGCATGATTTGTCTGCAATTAATGTTTGTTTTCATTTTTCGTGAAAAAAAAATACATAAATAAGTAGAAGATGCAGGAGGAGGTAATCGTTTTTGTGCTGTTGCTTAGCTAGCCAATTCTCTCTTCTTTGCAGTCCACACTCCTACCAATATTTAGCAAATCCAAAATCCCAAGGTAGTTAGTCATTTAATTAAGGAGTTTTAGATGCATTAAGGATTATGGACAGAAAGTAATCTGACTTTTGTTATTAAAAAAATCCGGTGTTCATTTTGTTCCTCAAAGTAATTATTGTAATGAATGTTAAATACACAACCACAGGAACTAACCCAAAAAACATTACTGAGTGACTTGTTGTTTATATCAATTTTAAGAAGCTTAAATCCTTCGAGTAATCTCATAAAGTTGATAGTTTTTTTTTTTTTTTTATGAATTATAGAATTTCATTTGCAAATATTGATCTTTTATTCCATTTAGTTTAAAACTTTCATCACTCTCTCAGTCATCTTAAGTTAACTTCTGGTTGTTAATTTGTCATTTTCTTTTTGATGGTAGTCTGATTTCTAAATCACAACTGACCATTTATTTATTTAATCTTATAAATCTCTAAGTTTGACATAAACGGTCAAATTTATCTCTAAACATTGAAATTTTTGTTTTGGCTCTTTTAATTGAATATTTTCATCCCTAATTGGGTTATCTTAAGTCAACTTTAACGTTTGACACTGACGAAATGTAATGACATAAATGAAATAATATTCTACAATTATCTTATAGGAAAAGGATTATCCTTTTAGTTCTACACAGGAAAATTGGTTCGCAAAAACGTCCCGTTCGGTCGGATAGTCAATCTCTATTACTAATGGAAAACGGAAACAGGAACAGGAATGTAACGAGGAATAAGGTATATCGATGTGTATAAACTCTAAAAACCTCACACAAGATAAACAATCCACGAAAGAAAAAATAGAATTTCTACTTAATTGAGAAAAAAAAAATATTAATAGAAGAACATGGAGAAGTTGGACCCGGAAAAGCTCAAGCTCGAAGAATACATAGCTAGAGGTTCTTTTGGATCCGTGTACAAAGGCCTATATGATGGACAAGAAGTAGCAGGTGATTAATGTTCTGGTGCTTTTTTTTTTTTTTTTCCCCATTTCGCTGTTTTAATTTTGTTAAATTGTGGAGTATTTTGATCAATCATTTTTGTGTTCTTCATGACTAGTTTCTAACTAAATAATTCACTGATGATGTACTCAGCCAAAGTCATGGAATGCGGAAAGAACGAGGCGATGTTCATGAAAGAAGCTTGGATTTGGAGTCATACTTGATCATCCTAACGTTGCCAAGGTGATTATTATAAATATTTGTTATTATTATTAGTATACCGCCTTCTTTCGTCTCAGCCATATAAGTTTGTATCATTTTAATTCAACAAATAAATTATTGTTATTGGGACATAATACATAATTTGGCTCAAATGATATTTAGCTTACTGACAACCAGTATCTCTTCAATCTTCAGCTCATCGAAAGTTTCAGATATAAACAAGCTCAATCGTAACGATTTCAAGAGTGATAGTTGCCTGGTGAGCGAATATCTGGGAGATGGTACCTTGGCATCATATCTTAACAATCACCAAGAACTACAACTAGACGTTCTCATCCAATTTGCTCTAGACGTCGCAAGAGGGTATAAATCAAATAATTTGATCTTGTTCATGTTGTAATTAACTTGTAACCATCTGGGTTCTTACTATTATTATTATTATTATTTTTTATTTTTGACTTTGCAGGTTGTCTTACTTGCACTCTAAAAAAATTGTTCATGGCGACATAAAGCTTGACAACTTGTTACTTGACAATGAAACAAGAGTAAAGATTATAAATTTTGGAGATTCGAGACTCGAAGCTTCCAATGGCGCGGAGATGACTGAAGATATTGGAACCAAAGAAGGCTACAACATTCCTGCCTCAGAGGTTTGGACTCTTGGCTCAAGTGGTCGTAAAGGTGATGTTTTCGATTTTGGCGCATCTGTGTTGGGGGACATGATTTATTTTCCTAAGAGGGCGGAACCCAAAATCCTGTCACAAGAAATGCCTGAAAGCTTTGGCCAAATTGATGGGAGATTGCGTCAAGGATGATTCTAAAGAGAGACCCCAGATGACTGAGGTAGTGAAGAGAGTAGAAGACATCTTAAGAAAAGTTGAAAAAGGAGATGGTTTCAAATCTTTGTACAGGGTGTTTCAGCTTTCTCAAACGATGAATATACTGACAATAAAATCATTTGTATCAAGTTGAGTTGTTACGCAAATCGTTATAAGAAAACACATGCAACTCCAGTTAATTAATTAATTATATCATCTATTAAAATTAAATAATAAACTAAATGATTTTTTTTTGGGACCGAGGAAGTACCGTGCTTCTTTAATTATAATTTATTATTAAAGTAAGACAATTCAGTAGGAATAATGAAATAATAGTATGGTGAAAACTGAAAAGGAAGAGATTACATCAAAAATGGGTTGAAGGTCATAAATGGTGTTTCTTTTCTTCTCAGCTGGACGAAGCCAATTGATTCTGCTTCCGTTGACTAGGTTGGATATCCTGTTTGGCTTCATTGAATTTGTTCGAAGGAAATTTATACTTGGCCATTTTTCTCTTCTTTGCAACCACTCCAAGCAAGTCACCAACATTCTGCAAAATTTAAAAATCCCAAAGTAATTAGATCATCCCAAGTAATAATACTGCCCAACTCGTCCAAAACAACAGTCATGTTTGTTAATTAGATCAGAATAAAACGTATTAGTACATCCATAATAACTATATAAAAGGCATATCCTTTGCCATAAAAATGATGGCAGGCATTACCATGAGACACAGGCCGTCGTGAACATCACAAATTGGATAATCACTGGGACAGCAGTAATCAGTGCCATTACAACAAACACCATTCTCATACTCACAGCAACCTTGTACCAAGCACAAGCCTGAGAATTGAACCAGACAACAGCAAGTCTCATCTGAGGCGCAGTAAGAGTACTGTCCACAATCACCTGACGGAGGCGAAGGCGGTGATGGTGGAGGTGGCGGCGAAGGATATACTGGCGGTGATGGTGGTGGATTAGGCGGCGGCGCTGAAGAACCGCCACTTTTAATTGGATAAGAAGCCATAGCATTTATTGCACAAACACCATATTCTAAATCAGACTTCCTTCTAATGTAAACATAGCCCTCCATTCCCCATGAAGTTCCCCATGAATTCTTCACAATCCAATAGTCCTCACCACCTTCACTACCATACCCAACAATCAATACTGCATGATCTATATCATTCGGATTATTCGAGCATTCGCCATCATAGATCCCCTGCATCCAGCAAGTTCCAGATTTTTTCGGGCACTAATTGTATGCACTACTCAGTTGGATTATTGCTCAAACAAATTAAGTCAATCGGACTAATAACTTACCCCTGTATATAGCTGAAAATCAATCGCAGAACCATCAATTCCAACGCTAACAGGTTGCTTGATAACAGCACAAAGCAGGGCATTATCATCCTCTGCCACATCTGTGTAGTCATCAATACTCACAATCTTCCTTTCTTCCTGATCATCATCAAATTCATTGGTCAATTGCTTAGTAACAAACACAAATAAAAAATGAATTTGAAATATGTTGAATTTTCTTTAGAGTTACTTTGGTGGCATTGCAGGTGCCATCTGAGCCAATGTAAGGGTAATTAGATTCAGTATCAATCCCTCCATTGGTGATCACCCACTCGAAAGCATAATCCATTGATCCGCCATCACAGCCATCGTTTGTGGCGTCACAATCCACAAGTTCTTGCTCTGATAGGCTTATTAGGTCTCCAGTGGCTATTGCATTTGCTCCTTCCATGGCTCCTGTTGATGAAAATGCCCAGCAACTTCCTATATGCAACAAACAGTATCTTACTTACATCTTAATACTCCTCCTGTCCTTATTAAACATTTTGATTTATCTTAAATTTCACCTAATATATTTTTATTGTCAAACGAACTTTTCATTGTTAGTGGTCTAGTGTTTATTCATTTTTTTTTTAAACAATCGATTTATTATAAAGGAACATTCATGATGTAACAAATTCAAACTTTCAAACACCGCTGACTTCTCCATGGAAAAATGGCATAATTTAACTCATAATTAAGTTTTAAGGAAGTTGCAATCCTAATTATCTTATTACAAATTATTCTAAAAAAAAAAATCTATTTTTTAGCAGCCATAACGTTAGTACTGACATGTTGTTTGTAGATTCCTACGAAAGAAACAATATACTAATAAGTAGGACTTAATTGCCAAAAAAATAAAAATAATAAAGAAAAAGGAAAAGGAAAAAAAAAAAAAATCAGTTTTACCACATTGTCCTTGGTCCTTGACACCAGTCACAACTCCGCGTTTCCTCCAATCCAAGAAAGATGGAGTCTTACAAGAAATCCCCATGGTTTTTTTCCTTGGCTGTCTCCTGACATTCTTAATTTTGGATGTGTACTTGTTCACGAATTCTTGATTCGTCAAATCAGCAAACTTGTTCAATCCCAAGAAATGCTGCCTAGCAGATTTCCTGGCCGAATTCTTCTTCATTACATACTTTAAATTCTCCCGAAAAACCCGAAACCTTGACTCCGACTCAAGGGAATCCTCGTACACTTTCCCGTGATACACCTTCCATTCTTGGAATAATTGATGGACGACCCTTTGATCTTCTAAATCAAGATCATTCGTGTTTGCTATGATCGAGTAGAACTGATCATGATCAGTAGTAGTAGGAAGGCAGGAAGTCAAAGTTGTGAATGCAATCAAGAAGAAAACAAGAATACAAAGCCCGGAATCATGAATTGATCCCTTCATCTTAATAATATAATCGATCAATGGGGATGAATGTTCATTCTTATCCGCATGTTTGTGATATATTAGTAGCTCACTGAGACTGAAAGTAACAATGACTTCACCAATCGGTCAACAATTTAGTAGCTAGCCTAGTACAAAACATTGCGTGACTGTGTGAATAGATGGTGGTTGAAATGCAACTTGAAAGCCGGTAGTTATGAGATTCAATTATCTCCATAACATTTCCTGATGGGAAGAGGAATATCTTTGACCTTTTGGGACATTTTTTGGGCTAGCACAAGTTTTAGCATTAGAGTTATTCGGTCTTATTTTACACTTTGTTTTGGACTTTTGTAGCTTACTTGAATTGGCTCTTCATAATTAATCTTTTGGGCTTGGTTTATAGAGTTGCAATATATAAAAGTAGTATACAAGTAATAATCGTAACCTCAAGTCCATTGCCAAATTCTTTTATGGATTTGACTTTAAAACTAACATACCACACCAAATATTGCGTTATAATATTAGGGGATAACTAACCAGATCAATAGTATACTTCTTTTATGAAAAAAAAAAAATGTATCTCGTGGTCCAGGCTACAATAGGCCAACTCGTAAATTTTGATGGCAGTAAGAAATGACACTTGCTCTGAAATGATCTTAGCAAATTTAAACGGCGTGGATTACTATTTCTTAACACCGGTTAATTACAATTCTTCGAAATATACCCACGTTTAGAATTTACTTTGTATGCCTTTAATAGAGAGTGTTGGTTGTACAAATAAGTCACCATAATAATAGGGGGGCAGGTGGCCTTTTTTCTTCAATGATACGATAATGATTAGAAATGGCTATACAAACTCTTCTGATTAATTCAAGTGAACTTGATATTTTTGGTACGTATATCTTATGGTTTCTAATTGAGTAGACATCACCATTTTTCCCCCTTCATGATTTCGTCATTTTTTATGATTTGTGGCTAATGATAGATGATCCCTTTTCATCAATTAATTACAGTCACAAACCAATTCAAAAGGTGGATTAATTCAGAAACCGATTGATATATGCATATTAAGAATGTATTCATATATCTTAGTTAAAGTTCTCTACGTTATCAGCTTATCATCAATTGTCTCTTATATTTGGTGTTTGCTTTTTGTTTCAAACAAATGGAATCAATACGATGATGCATTAATCATAAATTTGAACAAGCTGATAACGATCCCTCATTATTGGTTCGTGACATGGCTCGGTTTAGGCTACGTGTGCTGATAATTAATCAAACGTTCATATAGAAATGGACCTCAAATAATTAATCATGTTGTCCAAATGTGTATTCTCATTATTAAAAACATGCCATGAAATCCGTAAATGATTTCTTATATGATTTACATTTATGAAATCGATTGGGACGAAGATATGGTGACGCTCTTTAGTCTTTATTAGTCTCTTGACACAACCTTCTTCATCTTGCCTTCAGTTGTGACTGCCAACTTATAAGTCTGGAAGCTCTTTCCGGGGATGAAATATATTGTACAATGACACACGTATTTGGAAATGAAAAAACAGTATGAAAAAATAGCTAATACGCTCGCGAGTCGCGACCATTATATTTTAGAAGTAAAGAAGTTTGTTACTTTAAGGAGGACGGAAAAAATCATTTTTAACTCCAATTTAATTTAAGAGCATATTCATATTTATAATGTAACAAATTCAAATCTTCAAATTTTCAAACACCTCTTCGTAGAATTTAGGAAAGTTGCAATCCATCACAAATTATCCAAATAATGCTATATATGTTTTTAAAGGCTCTGGCCTCTAGTCTTCTGTACCACTTTTGTGTAATACCAGGTGTAATATTAGTTAAATGAATGACACGTGTAATTATTATTAATACTAACATTTGGTAAGTGAACTCATTTGGAGAAGTGATTAAGCACATGTCAATTATTTAAATAGTGTCACATGAAATATAACACAAAAATGTCACAGAAAATCTTTTATATTTATGCCTCTTGGATGAAAGGAAGTAAATAATTCTTCTTTTTCGTTCTTGGTGTTTCTCCTTAATTGCTGACACATAAAATTAGGTGCAATTTTTAAATAGCTGGCGCTGGTAGCTAACTATCAATCTCCTAAACCAACTTTGGTTAATTAACGAAATCAAACAAATGGACAACCACAAAACATCTACCTTAAATTACGATTATCTTCGTTAACAAGCTTTTCCAAAAGTTAAACCCTTTTGATTAGCAAAGCCATGGTGCTTTTCCACGTACAACATCTACAATGCCAGGTTCTTTAAATAGCACTGCTACCTATCCATTCTCTCATTTTCCTTTTGAATTACGAAACTCAGTTACTTGAAATGACCAACTACAAATGTATTTTGCCTACGTTACTTGATTAAATCAAACGCCATTCCATCCTTAATGGCACATCGTATTCATCATCTTGTGATCAAACAGTCTCGGCATACACAATGATTAGTTTCTTAAGTATTCGTTGTCAATTGTAATTAGAATTTCAAATTTCACAATATATATATATATATATATATATATATATATATACATATTCCATCGACGAAGAACAACCAATAAAAATTTCTATCTAATTCACAAGTGGTTTAAATAACAATATCATTTATTTTAGGGCGTATTAGATGGTATATAAATATTTACTTCAATTTCTCTTTATGCTTATTTATAAGACACAAACTTAATCGAATGAAGTGTAATTTATGAACTTGACTATCTGACCATTAGATTGGACTCCGTTTTCTCTGATTTGTTGGAAGTACAAGTTGTACGGAAAGATTAGTGACAGATCAGGGATTTAGATGAAGTATTAAAAGGAAGTTCGTTTTCTCATGTATGGCCACATATAATTGTTTAACCAAACCAACTAATCTATGTGTACTTCTATATATACACATTGATCAATGAACATCATATATACACTTCTATATCCTACGAGAAAATTACGTTTCTACTTTCTAGTACCTTTGACCATTTTCTAAGAAGTCTTACTAATATCACTACAATACAATCATTACTAACTTGTTTACGAAAAAAGGCCTATGTTTGGAAAGATGTGCAAGTATCTCTACTTTTAGTGTTTGATCTATTAATTTTATTGTAATACTCACTTTACCAAATGTTTATGTTTTTTTTTTTTAATTTTATCGAACTAAGTGGATCCAACACAATATAGTAATTTGTTCATCAAGAGTGGACCTCCTAAGTAAAGCTCCTTTTCCATGCAAATTAAATACTTGCAAACTACTCCCTCATTCCTTATTATAAACATTTTGATTTGTTCTAAATTTTATTTAATATGTTTTTATAATTAAAAATTAAAAATTTTATTTTTAACTGAAGAAACATACTACATAAAATTCAGAACAAATCAAAATGTTTTATATAAGGACCGACGGAAGTATATGACAGAGATAGATTGTTATCAATAATCTTTGAGCGACCGACTCATGTATGAATAGTCATGTATCAATAATATATATTTCTGTTAAATCGGGACTGCATGATAAGGAAAATTTGTACGCATACCCTTTGCAGGGACATAAACAAATTTGTACGACAAAATTAAAAAATTTTAATGCTTCAAGAGATCGAATGGGCAGTGCTACACAAAACGTGACCACTCAAAAATGTTGAAAAAAGTTTATTCAATTTCCTTTTAGGAAAAAAAAAAATGTTCTGAATTGTCTGGAGCAAACTCCTTGGCTGGTCAATCTCTGCAGCAGAAACATTAAATTTGCGGCAGTACAATGCATGCATGATTGGGAAATTCCAATCAATATCATCTTCTGCACAGTACTCATCTCTCGACTTAATAATCATCGATCCAAACCCTTTAATTGAAATCTAAATCTATCTAGTGACAATTGGTTTTGAGATAGAACCCTATGGGCGTCTGTATGGTATCAGAGCCAGCCCGCCGACATTCAGACTCTAAAAAAGCCTAACAAAAAAGTAGGGCTGAGACGTGAGACGGTGCCTGGGCTGAAAAAAATAGGACAAGTCCAACCCAAAAAATGCGTTGGACTTGCGGGGGAGTATTAAAGAGTCCCAATCCCACATCGGTGTTGGGAGACTCTGAATATCAATATATAAGCTTCATGGGCTACTCCCCTCATGGCCAATTGGTTTTGAGGTGGAACCTTATGGGCTTCTGTATTGTTAACAAAATTTCTCAAGATCGAGATCATGTCATTTCCAAAACAAGGTTGATCACATTCATCAATGATGAGATATGTTTGGCTATCAAGAATTCCTAGAGTATCTCGTAATCCCGGAAATTGATTGCTTCCAATAGTTACTTAAAATAGTTTAGCCTTATCTTGTAAGGTTGTTGTAAAAAAGCTCTCCTATAAATAACGAGCTACTCATATGAATATTGTATCCAGTCAATCAATCACAATATAGCCTTTAGATATTTCTCTCTTTATTTCTTTATGTTATTCAAATTCTTATTTTCTTCTTGGTATCAGAGCAGGTTCATCATGCTTCTGTGCCATGCTTCCGCGTATTTTTTTTTCTTCTTTCAACAAATAAAATCATGATTAGTTCAGTCATAAATATTTAATTGTGTCATGTTTCAATTCCAAATTCATTCCAAATCACTCTTTTTTTTTTCTACTACTAATCCCAAACTCTTGTTTGATTCTCCCAACAATGTCCACAAAACCTACAAATCATTCAATCAATACAAAACAAAGTCTTCTACCCTAGACTTTGTGTTTTTTTTTCCCCATAAATCAACTTTAGTTGATCCACAAATTTCAGACAACGAGGAAAGCCACCTCTGAGTCAATTCACAAAATCTCCATTATGGCAAAAGTCTTATCTTCTCATACAAGAAGAGTTTTTGACTCATCATACAAAATCTAACAATAAATTCAAACCTTTTTTTGTCCAAAACATGGCTAGAATCAATGGACCACAAGAAGATTTTTCACTGTCGCATGAAGATGAGAAGCCGTCAACACACTCGAAGCAAACTGAGTCTCCAGCCCCGACTCAGTTTGAGGGGGGATGTTAACAGAATCTCTCAAGATCGAGATCATGTCATTTCCAAAACAAGGCTGATCACATTCATCAATGATGAGATATGTTTGGCTATCAAGAATTCCTAGAGTATCTCGTAATCCCGGGGATTGATTTCTTCCAATAGTTACTTAAAATAGTTTAGCCTTATCTTATAAGGTTGTTGTAAAAAAGCTCTCTTATAAATAACGAGCTACTCATATGAATATTGTATTCAGTCAATCAATCACAATATAAACTTTAGATATTTCTCTATTTATTTTTTTTTTATGTTATTCAAATTCTTATTTTCTTCTGTTGGTACGTACCTGATGATCGATCAATATTTTTGCTACAGCCACTTTAAATTCATCAAGAAATTACGTGTGCGAATTCTTTTTTCATGATCATCTAATCTGAATAAAAAGAAGGTCCATTATAATTTCTCAAATATATATATATATATATATTTTGTAAAGTAAATATTATTTGAGGAGGAAAATAAAAATGAAATGGCAGCCACTCATCATGACTGATATTCTGATATCATCAAATCAAAATTATTAATCATTATTCATTTTGCTTCTTATCGCAATTCTCAATTATTTGCTTGACAATGATAGTTCGATTGTCCCTTTTCTTCAAATTATATACACGTCAAAGATTTGATTCATTAGAAGTTTCTGCTAATCAGCATATACTATGTTACTCCAAATTGTATGAAAACTTTGGATTCATTGAAAATTTTTAAATTACGGTGCTTCCAACTTGGCAACGTTATCTGATTTATTAGTACGTCCTCGACCTGATAGTATATAATTATAAAATAAATTTTTTAAAAAAATAAATGCTTTTTTCATGTGCTAATAGATGCACCCGTTAAAACTCTGGATAACACGCTTGCATAAAAATAAGTTCATCCTAATACTTTAATAACATAGCTTTCAGAACCAAAAATCAAAAGAGTCAAAGAATTTTTTTTTATTTTATTATTATTTTTTTTAAGAACAAGGACTAAATCGAATCAGAATGCAAAGTTGAACTATCGTTGGTAAAATAACATGAATGCATTGTGACAGCTACTTGCTCTAAACAATGATTATCACATTTGCCATATCAAGATGGAGGGGAAGTTAAATAAGAAAGCACAACTAGTTTGTAGGAAAACCTTGATCAATTTGTTAATTGCTTCTGATTATTAAATTCGATCAAATGCATATTCCAAGTTCTTTTTTTTTTAATAATATTTATATTTTAATATATTTATTAAAAAAAAGTAGTACATAAAATTCTTCATAGTACGTGAATATCATTTGTAGATATTTTGTGAACAAAATAAAATAGGCCGTCCACGTGGGAACCAAAATTAAATAGCCTCATGTGTCGAACAAATAACACTTCCACCTAAAAAATGAAATGACGTGGATCTATAACAAAATTGTCGTTTTGAACATGTCATTCATTTTGTCCACATACATATATTACAGATCTATTCCCAAATTTATAATGAACGGCAGCTGTCTCGATCTATTTGGCTTCAACAAGAAGAAATTCCCACATACGTACACATTCACACTGAACCCAAATATATAGCGATTCGTGCAAGGATTCTACGAACCCCAAACGACCTATTTCCCTTTTACAACGCGATATCATTTCCCATTTACTTATGATGTTATTCAAACTAATAAAAGACGCGTTAACAAGAACAGAGAACTTTTTTTTTTTTTTTACTGAACTGTGTATCTTATTATTTCGATGAACAATTTTTACTGATAACTAGAATAAAAATAACGGTTGCGAAATTAAACAAAAAAATGGGAAAAGAAAGAAGAAGAGTGCGAGAGAAACTAAAACGATTGTAGGATACAATGAAGAAGTTAGTAAATAGGCATAGTTAAAAGGGCATGAATTTCTATGTTATAATTGTCGAGTTTATTAATTTATTTAGTCTAATGTAATTTTATTTATTTAAAACTCGTATCGAAAATAAAGAAACACTCGCTATTCTAGAAAAATAGTCCACGACAATTTTTTTTTATATTTATATTATTTTTAATGTAAATTTCAAAATTCAATTTGAACTATATGTTTTTTTAGAGACAGAAATAGTATATTACATTGATGAAGATTATAGATCGTAAAATGTAGCAGATTTTAATAGTTGCACTATTGCTCGCTGGATCGTCCATTTTATTCTGTTTCATCATCACTCGTTAGAATAGGGTGGGTGATGATATCACATACGTTCAAAGCAAACAAACGGTGGCGATTCCAGACAAAAGAGAATATGTGAGATAGGCAATTAAGGAATTCTGGGGTGCGTGTTTTCATGCTTTGATTACCAAGAAACGGCGGAAAAGGGAGTGAAATTGTTAGGGAGAATGTCACGTGAAAAGAGGGTTTTGGAATTTGGATTCTGGATTTTGGAGGAGGGAATTGGAGAGCAAATACAAATGGCTGCTGTGCATTATATATATATATATATGTATATTGTCATAATTTTAATTAATTAATACTGATGGAGCCAAATGTTTAAGAATATTACAGAGAACGAAAATATTTGGTGAATGAAATGTATCAATCATGTTATGTTTCATTTACGATTCAACCGTATTCAGTAAGTTAAATAACATAATATAATCTCTCAATTGTATTAGAAGCGTCTAATGAAACCGAGTAATCTGCTGAAAAATTTGCTTCTTGAAATATATATAACAAATTTGCAAAAATTGTCAAATTTTTACGTACAAAATTTGTTGTAACGTAAAGTGAGTTGGTGCTTAAGTGGCCATGCTCTAAGGTTGCGTAATCGGTTTGTGATAAGAAAGTAGAGTTAAAAAAATACAAAGGGAGGGGCAATTGCCACAACGAAACAAACTTATCATTGCACATTTTGGGCTTCTCTCTTAACAATTTCAGTGTCTTTACTCTCTTCCTCGAGAAATTTCTGGATCTTGATCGATTAATCACCATTCAGAATCTGGACAAAAATCGTGGGTTCGGGGTTTTTAATTTCCAGTTATTTTTCATCGATTATGAAGGAAAAATAGGAGGGAAAAAAGAAAACAATGATACAATACACATAACAAGGTATAGAAAGCCAAAAGGAAAAGAAAATAAGCAGTGAAATGTAGTACTACATCTTGGCGTAGTTAATGGAATTGTGATGACATAACAAAAGCCACTATGTATGTAAAATCACTATTCCAATTGTATTCATCAATCTTATGTCATGGAGATGTGCTGTTGTACAATAGCAAATACGTTGTTATTTTATGAACGCGTTTGTGTATCATTATTTATTTCACCAGAACAAGTATTTTTTTTTTTTTCTGTTTTAAAATTATTATTCACTTTAAATTTTCACTTTCAGTGCAATTTTTATTAAAAATAAAAGTTCAAACTGAACAATAATTTCAGGAAGTAAAAAGTAGTATATGCATTTTCGTGTATGTAAAAGCATAAAGTAATTTCCATTGTAATTTTTGGGGAAGAGAAAGAGGTGTTAGCAAATGATAATTGGGTTAGACGCCACCTTAATTAAATGAGCCACTTGTCACGCAACGAGGATGAGTTCAACAATGCAAAAACTCTGCTCCACCTTACCCCCTCATCATTTTGCAATAAAGCTTTTCATTTGCTGCTGGTATAAATACCCCTCCATCCCCAATTCCTCATTTCCTTCATATATAACTAAAAGAGTATTCTTTAGCATAAGATCAGTATTCTTGAGGTGACCAGCTTACAGGAAGGGAGGGTTTCTCTAGAAACCTAACCACTTCTTACAAAGAAGAGAGGGAGGTTTTTTTATATATAATTTCTTTTTTTTTTCTTTTCCTTCAAAAAGGAAAAGAAAATATTTTACCATGGGTGTTTTCAACACTGGCCACCCTTGGGAGCTTGCCTTCGGTATCTTAGGTCAGTCATATTTCTTCTTTGTCTTTTCCCACTATTATTATTATTATTATTATTATTATTATTATTATCATGGATACTTTCTTTTCTATCTAGCTCTTTTGATTCTAATTTTTTTTTTCTCTTTTTTCGTTTGCTCTTGTGCGCAGGCAATGCCATATCCATTTGTGTATTTCTTGCCCCATTGTAAGTTTATTACATCAGTTTGATTTTAGTTTTTTTTGTTCGATTATTTTCGTCTTATCAATAACCAAAGTACTTAAATTGTATTGGATTCCATGTTTTGGTGCAGGCCGACGTTCATTAGAATAATCAAAGAGAAATCAACAATGGGTTTTCAGTCGGTACCTTATGTGGTAGCACTATTCTCTGCCATGCTTTGGATGTATTATGCCCTCCTCAAAAATGCCATCCTTCTCATCTCCATCAACTCTTTGGGATGCCTCATCGAGACCATTTACGTCGCCATTTTCATCTTTTATGCTCCAAAAGAATGCAAGGTAAATTAATCATCATCATCGTATAATAACCTACCGATTATCATGTAGTTCTCATAGAGCAACAATTTTATTTAATCGAGAATATTGATTAATTGGTCATCTTTTTTTTTTTTTTTGAATTAAACACAACAGAAACAGACGATTAAATTGGTGAGTATGCTCAACATTGGGGCATTCTCCGGAGTTTTCTTGGTGGCTCAATTCGCTCTACACCAAGCACCGCTTCGAATCATAGTTGTTGGATGGATTTGCGTTGCTTTTTCCATGGCTGTTTTTGTTGCTCCGCTAAGTATTGTGGTAAGTCAATAAAACCCATCTATTTAGAACTAACTAATAAAAAAAAATCAACTTGATTTTCAAGCTTCAAACAGTACGCAAGCATACCCCCAAAAAAAAAAAACCAGTTTTTAAAAGAAAGAAGATTAATTCGGGTAATTTTACTCACGAAATGACGTGAATATTATCACAATTGCGTGCAGTTTCAAGTGGTTCGAACTCGAAGCGCAGAATTTATGCCTTTCGGTTTGTCTTGTTCGCTAACAATAAGCGCCGTCACATGGTTTCTTTACGGTCTTCTAGCTCGTGATATCTGTGTTGCGGTAAGTCCATAATTCGGTTATTCTCTCCGTTATAATCCCTCATTTTTAAGTTTATCATACGTTAAAAAAATGTCAATAAACAACCATATACGTATACAATATATAAATAATTAAATTTGAGATTTCTTTTTACTTTATCTTACTTGTGTTTCTCTTGACAACATATGTACTAGATTCCAAACGTGGTGGGATTCTTCCTAGGATGTGCCCAGGTGGTTTTGTATTTGATCTATCGAAAGCCGAAGCCAATTGTGGCAGAGGAGGTTTCAAAAACGAAATTGCCAACACCATTGCCAATATCATTGCCAGGTGAACATGTCATCAACATAGTGATGATTGGGAACCCCGAACAAGTTCATCCAATCGAGAACTTCCACGTCGGCTGCGAAGATGCTGACAAGGACGAAAAATCAAATAATAACAATAACATAAGTATGGAAATATTGGGAGAGAAAAAAGATGATCGTGATCTTGACGATGATGATAAAGGTGGTGTGGATCAACGGCCTTGCAACGTTCCGGCCCAAGTAAATATTGTGCATCTTGATTGCTCACCTGCACTTGTTGCTTGTCCAGCTTAAAAATTGTAATTTAATTTTTGCATTTCTCTCTTTTCTTTTCTTTTTTTTTTCTTCTGTCTTTTTTATCAATTATTATTATTATTATTATATCGCGAAATTAGTAGCTCTACTGTCTATTAAGTCATTTCTTATTTTCCCTCCCTCTCCCCTTTGTAAAAGTTCCCTTCAGTTTGGTTCCACCGCCATATATTGTGGTACATATATATTAATGAAAATGCATAATTAATAGTATTCTTGTTCTGTTGTTTCTTTTTTGCGTGTCAAATTACAATCACATTATTGTGTTACGTAGACCAAAATTATTGTATAATAATTTGCTGTTTTAACTAACAAAGAATGCATACATATATATATAATTTTATTTATATATTTGTATAATTAGATAAAAAAATTATATAATTAGAGAAATGGGTTCTCTTTTCAACCTTTTTTGTTTGTTTGCTTTCATCTTTTTGTTCATTTTAAAATTGTCTTTTTTTTTTCCTCTTATTGTGTTTCCAGTGCACCTTCTGAAGTTCTCCATATAACGTTACGTATTCAATATAACTTTTACGATTTTATATTGAAACCAAAATGAAAACAAAAAGAATATGAGTGCATTTATATATATATAATTCACTATCATGAAGAGGAAGGTCATATAAAATTTGAAAAGACTCAATAAGGCTTCACCGAGCTTTTGACTTCCTTATTTATTTATTTATTTTTGTGGCATATGCAAAATCCAAGAGCTTAAAATAGATATACACCTGCAACTTAAACATGAGCAACCTCTAGTTACATACTTGCATCATCACGTAACTAAAATAAGTATCAAACTAGTAGCCAGTTTGAGACCGAATCGTTCTTGTGGGGGGTATAATATAATGCAAAATTAAAGTCATTAATATAAGTCATATGCAAAATATAAGTCATTTTGATTAAGGACCGAATCAAAATTAATATAAGGACCGAATCGTTCTGGTCCTTAATATAAGTCATTTTGATTTGTCCTATATTTTACTTAGTACACATTTTTAATTGACGAAAAAATCTTAAAAATATATTTTCAAATTCGTTGTATTCTCTTGATTGTTATAAAATATTTTTAACGTTTTTTTGTCAATTAAAAATACATAATAGTGATACCTAAGACAAAATTAAAATGCCTTATATTAAGGACCAGAGGGAGTAGTATTTATGCATGGTTATAAGTTTTAGACTAACTGAAACTTCAACGAGTGAATTGCGCTCAACTTTTTTTAAATTTTTTTTATTTTTTGGAAAAATGTAATGAAAACTGAACAAATGTTATATTGTTTATACATCACAAAAGTAACACAATAACAGCAATCTTGGTTCAGTAGCTAATCTCCCACCCACAACTTATAGGCTTACTAATGATAATCATGTTTCAAGCCAATCCCAAATTAATTATGGTTACTTCTACAAGTAATGGTAAATTTTGTTTCACTTATCTAATTAACATACATCCAAAATCAATTGACTTGCGCAGGAATCCTTGTAGAAACTTGATGACATGACTGATGATTAGAGGGCATCGGAATTCCTTGCATTGGCGAAAAGAGACCCCTTGTCATACTCCATGAACCAGATAAGGGGTTATTGTTGCAGAATTCACTCTGCATAAACTCTAAAGCTGGAATGGATTCTCTAAGGTTGTCTTGAATAAATGGATGGTTCAGAAGTTCGTCAGCCGTCCATCTTGAATTTGGATCAAACGCCAAACACCTCATCAAAAAATCTTTCCCAATTGGAGAGATGTGATCTGGAATATTCTCTAACTCCCACCGATTCCGATCCTTCCAAATCGGATTCCCACCATTCATCATCTGAATAACCGTACATCCCAATGACCATATATCGGCCGGAGTATCCTGAATTTCTTGTTCAACTGATTCCGGCGCTGCGTAATGCGGCGTTCCCCGGAAACCGTTTATGGGCACATCGGAGTTAGACTTGCTCAACCCAAAGTCGGCGAGTTTGAGAAAGCGAGAACGGCCCTCCTCATCATTAAACACGAGAACATTGTCCGGTTTAACGTCGCAATGAATTACGCCTTGTTGGTGTATGAAAGAAAGCCCCTTGAGAAGCATGAATGTGTAATATGCCACATCGAACTCCGGCAAGTTTCCTTTGTACAGCTTGATCAAATTAGTGAGCGAACCATTGGCGAGTTCCATGAGAAGGTTGTACATTGGCCCGTCGCTGCCTTCGGAACTAATGTCGACGCCGTAACACTCGACGACATAGGGATTTCCTTTGAGTTTATGCAAGATTCGGCTTTCCCTCTTCAAACTGTCGGAAAATTTCAACTGCACCGCCTTCACCGCCAAGGTTACCGGAGATATCGACGACGAGGAGAAACAACTAGTTTCTGTTGCTAAGTAGACAGTACTAAAACTTCCGTCGCCTAAGGTTTGGACTTTCTGCAGCCACATGATTGGTTGTATCTATTACCGAGACAGAATTAATTTTGAGTTGCTGATTATATTTGTTGATTGTTGTCGTAAGTATACAAGGGAATAAAAAATGAACGATACGGATCACATACCATATATATATATATATATAGGGAGAATAACCTGACTGACCAATTACGAATTGGAATAGGAATCAATTTTTCGAATTAGGAAATAACCTGTTGTCATCCGATTGTCGCTATTTTCTCTACATGTATCATCTTTCTTAATTAGTGCTCTCTCGGTTTTCATAATTATTCAGTTAATATTGTTAGTACAAATTGTCCTAAAAGTTAATATTTAAGAAAGAGAATCATTTTCGGATAAGGGAGATAGAAAAACCTCAGGTTCAGTCCCGTGCTATTCTTCCGTTGATACACTTTTAAGGGGAAAAGAAGTACATATAACCTCAATTTAGGGTCGATATTATACTACTCCCAAATAATTTTTGGTGCAAAATAATAAGAGTTCTGATTTCGTTTCACCTTTATCTACCCTATAATAATTCACCTCTCAGGTACAAAAACAGCGAATCTTTCTATATGTTTCTCGGGAGTATTGTGAGTAAATGTTATTATATTACTCCTAAATAATAAAAGAGTTCTTTCTTTTTTTGCACAAAAATAATAAAAGAGTTCTAATTTCGTTCTTCCTCTGACTACCCCATAATAATTCACCTCAAGGTGCAAAAACCGCGAATCTTTCTATATGTTTCTCGGGAGTATTGTGAGTAAATGTTATTCACAGGATCTCCAATGACTAATTCAGTCATTGTGAATAACAGGCCAGAGCAAAAAAACTATTCCGTTCTGCAAATAAGCTCGAGGAGGTTATAAGTTAAAACATGCAGTCCAATAAAAGTGAAAAGACAGGACTCTAATCTTGCCAATTGATACCTCTAAAGAACTTGCTAAGGCAAACCCACCCACGGACTCCCGCCTATCACCCACGAACTCTCGCTTGTAGATTATTGCAGTTGGCGTGAGTTTACCCATCTTTGGTGGAGTTCTCGGCGTTACCCAAAAAGAAAAAAAAACTATTCCGAGGACAGGTTTAGATCAAGTACGAATGAGCTATTTTCACTCGATCACAACCATTGATTGATAAAAATTCTTTGTTATCTTCGTTAAGATCTTCGTGCTTAATTAATACTGCTGGTAATCACTAAAAAAGAAAAGTCAAAGATCAAATACATGTTTTGTTTTGTAGTCATTTAAGAAATGATAGTATTAGTCCTTAATTGATCAGTTTATTGAAGCTATGATTTGTCGATCTGTACACTCAAATTAAGGGCAAAAGTTATTACAAAAAAGGAAAAAGCCAAAAAAGTAAAAGAGAAGAAACGGCTAAATCTTCAAAACGAGATCACCTTTTGGATCAACGGCCGCCATCTTCTCGACGATTCGAGCCAAATTCGTAAGATTAGTCTTTATAACAAAATCAACCACGTCGCACGTATCGGTGGGATTACTATCCCATGGAACATCCACAACATACGATTCCATCACCACCGTCGGATTATTCCGATCATCGTGATCCTCATGCAAAGTGGTGGTGGATCGGAAATTCTCAAGCCTTTGATCACCCCCGATAACACTAAACACTATGATGTGCGAGTCGCCGTCGATTTCCTCGAGTCTTTCGACGCTCCTTTTCGACGGCAAACCCGACACCATGGCCACCTCCCGGACGCTTCCCGGACCGCCGTCCCCGGCCGTGAGGGTGCAGCTCTTGATGAATTGCTTGTACGCTTGCGGGTTGTCGAAACGGCATAGTACGGACCACACTAGAGCTATTGGCGCGTCGATTTTTTGGACAAGGGTTGATGTGCACATTTGGGGTGGAAGGTTATCATAGGTGTGGGATTTTCGCTTCATCGTTTCTAAACATGTTAATAATGGTTTTGGTTCTTCACTTTTTCCAGAACTTGACATTGTGGAAAATTCTTTATTTTTTTTGAATTTTTTGAATTTTGGGACTAAGTTGACACCCTTTAAAATGGTTCATTCATGTGACAAAATTTCGTAAGGATAAAGATGAGTGATTTTGTTTCCACTATTAGGATATTCTGGAATCTTTTTCTCCGTTTCTGGAGTAAAGCGCTTTGTACGTTACACAAAACGTTAAAATCGTGATATTATTATGTCAAGAAGATGACAACGTTACAGGAGTACTATTTAATTTTCAAGAAGTTTTTTGGGGGTATTTTCTTAATTGTGTTTCCTTTTTCCTCATGATCTGTTGGCGTTTAGTCCTCTTTACTTTACGTCACCAATCTCTATCTTTAAAACAAAAATAATACAAAAACCTTAAAGAAAATGTTCTTCTGCTTGTCCTCATTCCATTTTTTAAAAGTCAGCAAACTTTGGGAAGCGGGAAAAGAAAGTTCCGAGGTTACTATCCAGAGTGAGCCACAGAGAGGGGGGGGGGAAGGTTGCATATAAATCCAATATGCGACCGATGACAAAGATTTATATGGTAGGTAATACTACCAGAAAATATAAAATGATTCATATGGTAAAATGAAATGTAAATTGAGAAATACCATATGGATGTAGAAAGAAATCAGTCGAGCCTAGAGCTCTGGTGCAAATTTAGTTTGAGCTTCTTATATATTACTAATTCTTTTTTTTTTAAAAAAAAAAAAGAAATAAGGAGTAGTACACACATTATCAATAAAATTCAAAACTCAGTGTAAATTTCTTCTTTCTTTTATAACAAATAGAAGTATTTGCATCTTTTATTACGTTAAAACCACTGTACTTCCAAAGTGAAATTAAAGAACTATGATACGTATGATAATGATAAATAAAACTAACAATTTTAATACAAAAAAAAAAAGAAAAAAAATTCCTTTCTTTTTTCTTCAGGACAGAATGAGTATTCGTATATTCTCGATAAACACATAATGGGAAACAGTAATGTTCTCGATCTGAGGAATCATTACACTGCTATGAGCTATGTAGCTATATCTATCAAAATTTGTTGGTATTTCCCTTGGCGCCCAAGAAGCTATTTAAATCCAGATTTTTGCTGGAGCTAAATAATATGCCTTGTGCTGAATCAAGGGCATTCTCAGGAGGTAACCTGAATTCTAGCTCGAACTCAATGGCTTTTACCGCCATTGTTTCTCGTTATTCTTTCGACTCGGGCATTCTATACATCTGCTGCATTCTAATTTTAGAACAACAGATCAACGAGAGATTCAAGCATAAACTATAAAACAACAGTCCCTAGCTCTTGTTTGCGTGCTAATTTTCAGTGGCAATTTCGCCCTTATTGTGTTTCATATTGTACTATCCTATCCTACGTGTTTCACTATATTTATGAAATAATCTCCCACTATGTATTCCAGGCTTTCAGAATGCGAGAAGAACTGCTCCAACAGACACTTCTGCAAGCATGGATCTTAGTGAGCACACACACAAGTATAAATGTGGTTGGCACTTAATATGGGATCTTAAACTTTAGGGCATACCTTTTCCAGAAATGCTAAACGTCACAAGTGCTGAGTGACACGAAAATTTGATAAAAAAACCAGTCAAGCTAGCACAGTGTTGATTGACAATCAAGTAGGCGCAAGAGAATATCCCTGCAGCTTGGTCGTTCATCTGGTAGTCCCCAACAATCTGGAATAACAAGTATCAGAAATCGAGTTCACAGGAAGACAGATAGTGAAGAAATTTGAAAATAAATGTTTATCAAGATAGACCTGTAATTAATTTGCCCAGAGGACCCTCAGGAACTTCCAGACTTTTCCCATCATTACCCACTGCATACACTACCTGGACAGAAAAGGTGATTAGTGAAAAGCCAACCCAAAGTTTTTAGGCTTGTTTCTTTACAATGTATTTTATATGAACACTCACTTGGGCAGATGGTATGCCATCCCATGGCTTATTGAGTGTACATAGTTCCCATATAATCACACCAAAGCTAAAAATGTCACATTTTTCGGTGAAAGGTTCATTCCGTATAAGTTCAGGGGCCATCCACTCTGGAGTGCCTGCAGATGAAGAATCTTTCATAGGTCTGGTTGTCATCACGCGAGAGAGCCCAAAATCACAAATTTTGACCGTCCAGTTCTTATTCACCAGACAATTTGCACTTTTGAGATCACGATGTACTATTTTCATCCGGTGTAAGCACATTAGACCCCTAAAGCATAGAATTGAAAATTCCAAGACATCAATGTTAAATCTTTCCAACTTTCCAATAAAAACAGAACTGAATCTATCAACAAATCAACCATTATTGAGTATACGCCGGGGGTAAGCGGGGAACCACTATTGATCCTTTAAAATAAATAATAAAAAAATGTACCTGCATATTTCACATAGCATTTTGATTCTCCGACGCCAGCTTAGCCTCTTTTTCTGCCCACTCACATGAATGAGGTAATACAGGGATCCCATTTCCATGTATTCTGTCACCATGGACAAATGTGGAGGCTTTGTGCATGCACCGAGAAACAAGATAACTGCATTCGGAAGACCTTAGGTAAGATGTTAATCATATGAAACATCTACTTACATGTAATCCTGAGTGGTTTGACCTTTTTATGTATTGTAACAGTAACTTTTGTTAAGCACTTGAGCATTTATTCTTTTTAGTGTGTTTGACGCAAACGCGCTTCTACAAGTCCAAGAAAGTTATTAAATGATTCTTGCAGTAACAAGGAGAACTTAGATGGTAGCATGGATTTGTTCTGATTAAGTAAAGAAGGAAGATTACCATTTGGGTGACGAACACGGCTGTAAAAGAACAAATGTATTGTTAGCCAGGTATGTATATCGATCTGAAGGGTAAAAGTAGATAAAAGAACCTTAAAAAAATGAGACTAATTTTCTCTTTGGAATTGTGAAACAAAAATAGACAGACCTTAAGATGGATATTTCTGTGCAAAAATCTTCAATATTCTCTACAGTTAAGTCTTGCTCAAGAAAAACTTTGATGGCAACTTGTATTCCATTCCACATCCCACGGAAAACTTCCCCAAAGAAACCTGAATCAGCAACAGAAAATTTCAAGGCTCAAAAAATAGTAGAAAGTTCGTGAATGATTTGGCACATATAAATCAGAATGGTGAGGGACACATAACACAAGAAGCAAAAAATTCATGCATAGAACTGAATAAAATTTCTTCTACTGCACACATTCCCCTTACTTGCTGACTAAAGAGCAATACTTTACACCGAAATTCAAGGAATTAATTCCCTGGTGAAATCTTGCTGACAGGAAAAGCTGACAGTCATTCATGACAACAGACCACGAAATGAACTAAGGGCCAGCAATTTCATGAATGAAACAGAAACAACTAGGCATAATGATTCCAATGGTGCTTCAAAATTAATTCAGAAAGATCTACATTTTGCTGTTTTAAATTTTCAAAGCTATTTGCTCATCTTAACTTGGTGAATCAGCTTAATGCGGAACACCAACAGTTTACAAAAAACCATATTTAGCTAATATGTAATTAGACTTACCAATTCCAATACGTGTTCCAACAGTTAATTCAGAAAACTCTATGTTCCACTCTTGAAAGGGAAACAACTGTTTGTTCAGAATCTTTTCCACTTCAAGCATCTTGTTCATTTTTGAGATCATATCTGGACCTCTCAGAAATTCTGCTGCCTCACACCTTCCAGAGGCATAATTTGTAAAATAGCGAGGTGATGAAGGTAACGACATTGCCCTCTGAGAATTCATAGGTTTTTCTTGAAATTTTTCTGTTGTCACTCTTTCACCTTGATCATCTGGATAAAATCTCGAAACCTATAGTTGAATCGTCATAGGAATAATCAGAATTGGAGAATGATTTATACTATGACTGAATCAGCACATCAAGGCAGCAACATGAAGCAGGATGCAAAAATTAGGTTCTTCCATGAAGTGACTAAGTTGCTGAATAGAACAGTTAAAACAGTTCGGTTTAACCGAATAACTATTGCATCAACAATCATCTTCTTCGGAATGATTACGGATATAAGAAAACCCAAATGCAAGCTTAAATATACAGTGTTAGCACAAAAAATAAAGAAAATAGATAAATGCTAAGATGATACCGTTTCTTGATTATCTATATTGGCATCCTTCTCAGCTCCCAAGCAGTTACTACTGGCATTCACATTTTCCTTAGAAACCTGATTCCTTTTAAGTGCACCATTCATTGCTCGAACAGCCCTGATTCCAATAAAATCCACTTGTTTGTGAAAAATTCCTTTTCGTAAACCAGAAATCGAAATCGTTAACAGACATTATGTATCTAAACGGAGGATAACAAATAAAACCGACTGAAAAGAACATGAGGTTAAAGAAAATTCCAAACTTACACCAGATAGGCTAAAAAAAAGGGTGTACCTTACAATATCATCACCAATCTCAGGAACCATGCTAATACAGCGCCTCCTTCTCCTACGTGCATCAATTGGAGATGCCCCAGCGGACCTGAGATGACACTTGGACTTATTTAAGTTCATGAAAATGCAATTACAAGAGGAACCACATTTGAACAGATTTCAGAATGAAGCAAAATGTGTCAGGTCAAATTTAAGGAAAAACCATGTACTTCTAAGATAATTCAAGTAAGCCAGAATAATATTTGATGGTACTAAATTCCTTCGTATGTACTCTTTACCATTAATTCTCCTCTTCTGCATATCAGTATACTGCCAGTTTGAGCTTTGCATCTCTTTAAGTAGAATTGTTGTCTATGGATTTATGGTAGTAGCTAATGATCAATCCGATAAATAAACCACGAATATAGTGCCAATTCCAAAACAAAATAGCACTTAACCTATGGAGGAAACCAAATAGTATTAGCTGTCTACAATAGGAAGAGAGCTACAAAAACAATAATCCATTTGCTATATTTCCTTCCAGTATTCTTGTTGGTTCCTTCTTATTCACAAGCTTTTCATCATTAAGGGGAAGTTTCCTTTCTCTTTGCAGCCAAAAGTTAACAACTGTTTGGTCAAGAGGGAGAAATCCGATACAAAGAAATTACAGGCTAGCAGTGGACCAGACAGAAAAATGAAAATTTTACCTTGAAGTTATAACATTATTGTTGCACTCTTTGAAAGAACGTGTGCGACCCCCAAGCATGGATCTCCCATGGCCACGGAAGAAAGAAGGCTCCGGACTGCAACAGAAAATGCACCAATCAAAATGCATATTTAGGGTGATGTCACCCAATTTCTACACAATGAACATCAGATGTTCAGCTACAGCAAATAAGTTTCATGAGAATAAGCTTAATGGGCACTGATTGACACCAAAGTGCTTGGAAAGTGACATCATTATGCAGAGTAAAGTCTCTTGAAGAACATAACTTCCAGACTACTTTCAAGCAAGTTTTACAAATAGAGTACTTACAATTGCCCTCCACTATATTTTGTATTCAAGAAAAATATTATTAAATCTAGGCCCGCTAACCTTCCCAAAGCCAAAACATTTTCACGTAAACCTCTCTGATGGATGGCAAATATTAGAATATGAAATAGAAGTGATGCACAAAGAAAAAGATACAGAAAGCAGAAAAAGACGCAATGTTGTTCCTCTTTTTTCTTTGTTTCTTTTTTTTCCATAACATAATTTTATTCCTCAAACAGAGGCAGATTCCACAATTTGACTGTCAGAATAAGGAAACACCACAACCACTAGTAATTTAACAATCAGAAGGAAAACACACAAAAAAAAAAAAAAAGAGCACACACATGACAGTACAAACTTGTCCTTCAAATTCAAATATTAAGAGAATCACATTTCACATGGGATTCCCAAATCCCAATTCTAAGAAAAGAGTTACTCAAAAAATTTTGATACCTTGAAGTTGCTGTGCTTGGCTCAGCAATGGCATGCTTATGGCTCAACCACCATAATCCATTTGTTACATCAGGTTCACTATGCGATACGCTGAATTTTACCAAAGAAAGAGAATCATGTAATTAAAAAAATCAATTAGCAAAACAAATAAATTATCCTTGACGTCACTTTTACATGACCACTTAAAGAACAGTAATCAAGAATATTTTATAGTTCATTACATATTCAAAAAGTAAATGCTTACTTCGACTTCTGCTCAATGGAGGCTTTTGCTTTCACCTGGACACTCCTCATAGATGAGCCAGAAAAACTTGTGGAAGCTTCTAGCTTACTTCGATATGTGGGCTGCAGATACTCTTCAAAATCAGCACTGCAAAGCATTTGAAAAAAAGATGAAAACCAAGTCTATTGTAATTATAAGTTGAAGGCAAGAGATAACATAATCTGTGAGCACACACACAAAAAGAAGGTGCAACTCCTGTTTAGCAGATTTTAATAAAAAAAGTAAAGACAAAGACTAAGAGTGCGTATTTACCCTTCAATATCGACTTGGCCTGAAAGGCCGCAAATAGGACTACATGGTTCCATAGGAGACTCATACGAATTTAAGGCTGTCTCACTCTGAGAAGCAACCATGTGACAGTGAAAGACTGCTTCTGATGTACATGGTGTCAGTTTTCCAGGGAAATGCAAAAGATCTATTATAAATTCCACTGAATCAACAAATACTGTAACACACATGTGCTTGAACGAGTCTATTCGCTCCACCACACCTTCCCGAGGCAGACCCTGAGAAAAAGAAGATGTAAACGATTGAAAAAAAAAAAAAAAAGAGAGGCTAAAATAGCCTTCAAGAAGCATGTCAACAGTCTACTGTCAATGAGAAAAAGATTCAGACAACAAAAATGCAAAAAGAAATTGATAAACCCATGATCTAGGGAGATACTTACCACCATTAATTTACAGTCAACACCTACAGAGTCTGCTAAAACTTTGAACAAGATTGCCCTGGAGTGGCATGTTCCTTGCTTTATTTGACACAACATTTGGATGCCATGATTCTCCAATTGACGACGGACTTCCTCAAGGCCATCTTTTGGCATGCTTGCTTCCATATTTGACGATTTATAAAAATCAGATACCTGTTAGTATAGAATTTTCTTCAATTGGCCAAAGCTTCATAAGTTACAATTGCATGGAAAAACAATCATTAGTAAGACTTACCAGTGCTGCTATCTTTTTAATGGCAACAGCAGGGCTTGAACTTGGTCGTTTTACCAATGTCAAAGCAAGCTGCTTCAACATTAAAAGCTTCTTATCCTTGTTTGAGTCAACCAGAATAACATTGGGTCTGAAGCCTTCTGACTCTAGATATTGAAGTTCGTCTAGAGTGGGTATAGTATCATAAAACTCTTTGAATCTTCTTTCCTGGTGAACAAAGCAACGGGAAATGGTGTTGACTGATAATGAAGGGGATTCTCTATAACTAAACACATGGATTTAAAGGAACTTTCTTTACATTATACTCTTGATAAGAAACGACACACATATACAACAAGCTGTCAATGTAAATGGTATGCATGTCAAAAGAAATAAGAGATTCGATAGGGAAAAGCAAGAGAAGAGACGGTACATGGAGGTCAGAAAGAAAACTAGAAGAGATACTTCAGGGACAAATATCCAGCAAACCAAGACGATATATCTTTAAATAAAAATATACCTTACACTTAACAATCCTAGAAGAGAAGCGAACTCGAATGTTAGCGGAAAAGAACTCCTGTTTCCGTTTGTAACATGATAACATTGATTTCTATGACATTACTACCTAGGGTCAATGTAAATTTTGCAAACACAACAATTCAAAAGTATTGTCAATTCTCTACGGGGGTGCACTACTTTACCGGAGTGATGAAGTAAAAACCATCAGGAATCGGTTCGGCGAGCTTTCCAGTTGCCCAAAGAGTTTGTGATGCTCTTTGTGAAATTGGAACTTCTACCTCTGACTCAGGTGGTGACCCTTTAGACTTTGAGGTTCCTTTGGGAGAGACCATTGACTTCAGCTGCAAATTTTCCATACACTCAGAGAGCCTCCAATAGTCATTTAAAGGCAGTGTTTCCAATTGGCACCTCTGGTGACTCGTTCCTTCCATGTGACTATGGAAGTTTAAAGATGATTTTGTACGAACAAAAAGCTTCTCTGAAAGAAAGTTCACAGGAGTGTTAAAGGTAAACACAGGAGACAATATATATGAAAATTTTGCCCTGTTTTTTTTTTTAAAAAAAAAAAATTCAGATTTGCATTCTCTGGAAAGAGTTCAATAAAGAGAACAGCAAGCATTGTGCATGATATATAAGGTTTTCCTTGTTCACAATGGTTTTCATAAAAGAAAGATTGACAAGTTAAAACATGAAGAGCGTACACTATACTGGGATGACTTGAATCCTACATGACAGATTAGATAGCCAGATAGGAATTGAACAGACCTAAAAAGACATAAGAAACATGAGAAGTCTTCCAAGCTTCCTTAGGTATTTCACATTTATTATACTTGAACTATGAGAGGTACATGAACTCATCCCTCTGTCACTTGATCAAGATTCAAGCCTATAATTAAGTTTAAGAATGTTGCAGCCCCTAAATAGTTAAATTTGCATTACTACATGATGCACCACTAACCAACTTGTGGATTCCATGCAAAGAACTGAAATTTCAACTCAGGACTAACAAGAAAAGAGAAACAATCTGGAACAGCAGAAATGTTCCATGGGATTCTAAATTTCTCTTCACTCTAATAAGTCAAACTTATGTTAGGGACAATTGTACATCAACCTAAAGGGTAGTACATCAATTTCAACCTCAGCAAACACATTGAATTTGCTAAAATCTTTCAAGGAACACAAGCTACATAAATCGGGATCTTGATAAAAATTTATTGAGTGACAGAAGATTCAAACAGAAGAAACAGATTATAATCCAGATCGTCAGCAACACAATGTAGTTGATACCGTACAAGGCTCAAGATGTTCGTGACTTCTGAATCGTAGTGACATTGATATTTAGAAAAAAAAAAAAAAAAAAGAAATTTCCATAGGATCACAGATGGATTCATCTATTAACCAAAAACATGTTGTTTGCAATTATCTGCAGGTCCAAAAGGAAACAACTAAGTTTTGATTGAAAATGCAGTAATACAAGGAAACGATAGGGAAGAAAGAAAAGCAGCTGAAAAATCTGTGGATATCAGTAAATCATGTAGAGATAGTAAGGATACGAAACAAAGAATTAGAAGGGAAAGTACTTCATGACTTATCAAACCTGGCTATAGATTAGTATATTTTTTAATTCTTTTCATTAATTTGCAGAAAAGCTTGAAACTTTTTGGCAATCCAGAACGGGGTAAATGAGGACGCGACATAGAAATTCAGAAAAGAAAAACAAAACCCACGAAGAAAACATCTAATCTGAATCCGCAATATGCACCCATGAATTCACGATTAACGCAGTTACGATGCCAATCACATGAAATCAAGGTTTTCTACATTTCGACATTGATAATCTGGGGTCACTTTTCAAGCTTTCATTAAATGATTTCTCCGATTTCTGAAAATCAAGTTCGATTTCACAAGCACATTAATGCCATTGAGAAGAAGCGCCTAACCAAACGAATGTAAAAATATAACAATGCCACAGAAATTGAAACTGGCAAAAAAATCTATACACTTACGCTGTCGAGCAGAGCAGTCATTACCACAAAGATGGATTCTTTGAATCTTTTTTTTTTCTTTTTTTTTTGTGGGAATCAAAAATGTTTTTGAATCAGTGTTGGAGCGCCGACTATTTTGCTCATGCGGGGGTCTCTGCTCTGCTACACCACTCTGTACTGTGTGAGTGTGTGTTTGTGGGTAGGAAGTGAAGAGAGGAACAGGAAATAATACAAAAACTGGATTCAGTTTGTACCGTTAAATGCGATGATGCTGTTTTTTTTTTTTTTTTTTGATTAGTTGTCAGTTGGTCACACACAGACTGACTCTGCTAAGATGCATGGATTATGGATCCCACGCCCCTTCCCCCTTCTAAAGTCAAATTCCCTTTTGGGCTTTCACTGATTCGATCACTCTGTCTCAAGATTTCCTGTTCCTACTTGCATTTGATTTTATACTAGTTTTTCTATTTTTGGGTCCATTTCCTCCTCCTACTTGGATTTGAATTTGTCCTAATTCTTTATTTTTGGGTCCAAAAAGATGAAGTCAAATACATCCGACTGTGTAGTGAAATATATAGAGTTCTATGATCAAATAATAACTGTTCTATGATCAAATAATAACTTAACAATGGTGCTTGATGAGGACAGAAAACTCACCCGTTGTTATTAGGGAAATTTAGAATTTTAGGGCACTCAAAATTTACTTTACTTGAGTTTTTCTGGAGTAGAAGTATTTGAAGTTACAAATGGTACACGATGATAATTTTCTGACATAACAGCCACTAAATTGGTATGCAATTATCTTTCTCCTGTAAGTCTGTAACTATAAACAAAACAGCTTGTGTCATTTCACAAGATTACAAACAGAATGTTTCCCAAATTTTATTTTCACAGTTTCTCATTTTATCAATTTTTGACCTGAACCTTTCAGGTTTCAAGAACAACAGAAGTCGGCAAAAATAAGACTTCCCTTTTCTTCAGGGTGCTCTAGGGTCCATCCCATGTTGCCAAACATAAACAAGTTCATCCCATCCGGTACTAGCTAAAAGTCCATCCACAAGTACACTCATGTCTACCCCGACCGCGAACTCTGTATGATGATCGTATCGTCCAATAAGCGCATCCTCGACCATGTAGTCCCAAAGACAAACTGTCATATCGTACGAACATGACGCAATCACGCTTGCTCTATGTGGTGAAAATTTCACCTTCCTTACAGCATATCCATGTCCATTTAAAACTGCCACAGGAACTCTAAAATTTCTAACGTCCCAAACTTTAATGGATTTATCGACTGAGGCTGTTGCAATGATGCAATCATCATACTTATTCCAGTCACACGAAAGAATTTCAAACTCATGCGCCGGTAGAATCATGGTAGATCCTGCAAGAAAATTGCAATTCATGATTTCCCTAAACCGTAGTTGTAACAGAAGGCAATATTTTTTTACGTGGTATAAGGATTTTTTCATAAACATCTTAATTAATGAAATCCTCGAATATAACACATATTTTCCCAAGTTGAAGAGTTATTGTATCAATAAAGAATAAGATTTAAACAGGGTAGTTGGATGTCATGCACCTCAGATGCCAGAAAACTTTCCTGTTGTTTTTTAATACAAAAAGGGCTGCTACAATAAGATCTAATAGGACACTACAACAAAGAAGAATGTTAACCTCAAGGAAACAAACATATATCAAAGTTTATAGAGTACACTGATCCAAACTCTTTAACCAGTTTTCAAGGTGTTTTTCAGCTAGTTTCACATCATTATAACATTTCAATGTTTATGCCCTACAATCTTTGCAGCAGAAGAATCCTGACAACCTTCTACTTCAGCCACTTCCAATTTGTCTATGTTGTGATGTTGCATTTCTACACTGTCAAACCAGTACTAGTTTACTAAATGGTAAATAATCTGCATCAAATTTTGTTCTTTATGCCACAAAATAAACCAATTTTGTCGTTGACTTCCAACAATTGCTCTGACATCAAGGTTTTAATCATGAATGAGTACTTATTAAAACTATGAACTCGTGTGACTGCTAATCCAAATAAAATGCTTTAACTTTCTTCCTTTGATAATTTATTTGGAAGGGACTGCACCACCTACCCCTCTTGGTGATGCACACCAGATCGAACACAATTATGACATAAATAAAGGTGCTAGAACTGAATAACACTTCATCATCTCCTAAAGTTTGACCTTTCAAGGAGGAAACAGAAGTTTTCAAAAACTTTCTGAAGAAGGTGAAGGAAAATCAAATGGCAGCAAATAACTTAGGCTAAGGTACCAGAACTCAATTCAATCTAAACTTGAAACTGAAATACTAGTCCATGTCAATATGCTTTTCTAGAGTAATAAACTTTTAAACTGAATTCTGAAGCCTAAATTGTATGTTCATCAATAATATTCTTTGACTAAACCTCCCTCAAATTTCACCCAATGTAAGTATGAGACTCTAGGACTCACTTCACCAAATTGTCCCACCAATCACCTTTAGTAGTCTATCAAAACAAATCCAGCAGAAGTCATCTCCTGAAACACTTCACTTTCAAAAAAGATTAAGACCGCAACCTCGAACTATAGAAATTATCCAACCTAGCCACTCCTAGAGAATATTTTTCTAACAACCAGTCAATTTGCAAATCATCCCACAATGAGGACCCCCCTTTCGAGGCCGCTTTGGAGAATTGATTTTGTTAGTCACAAATCTCCTGATGGAAAAAGAAGTCCCTTTAACAAGTTGCAGCAAAGAAAAAAAAAAGAATAAAGAAAAGATATCAATCAATCAATCTTGAACCCAATAACTGCCTAAAAATTAAAAATCCTTGACAGAACTTTAAGGTAGTGAAATGGTGCTTCTACTATAAAGTCTGGTTCCACAACATCTCAAAATGCTTTGAATGAGACATTTGATTGAATTGTAAGAGCCAAAGGGGGCAATATAACATTATCCTATAGAGAAAAATCAAACAGTATGAAATCATTAGAAAGTAACATCTCTTATGTTTTCATTTCCTTAAGGAAACTAATTACTGTTACTGGCTGAAAGTTCAATGTCCTATCTGGATCCTGCATTGCCAAGTTCTAATTGAAGATTAAGTAACATAACAATCTCAATTCTCAGAAGGGTTCAAGTTCTGCCATTAATCTCCATCATTCAAAATCCAAGCTAGTTCTCCAACATTAAATTCAGAAATGAAACAAAAAAAATACCGAATCCCTAAATTCAGAATCTTTATCTGGCTCCATAACACTATAATCCCAAGTAAGAAACTGGTAACATAATATCAGCGGATAATTGCAGAAATCCACATATTGAAAATAGAAATTTTCGAAATTCAAGCTCTAACCTGGTTCCCTGATATCCCAAATACGAGCAGTACAATCACCCGAAGCTGAAGCAAAGACATCCGCATGTCGAGGATTCCAAGCAGCAGAGTAGACACAATAAGCATGCTCCTTGAAAGTCCTGACGCTAGCAGGCCTATCAACAGTCCAAAGCTTAACAGTATCATCCCAAGAACTCGACAGAAACGAGTCTTTTCTGACAACATTGAAGTCAACTGCGTGAACTTCCCTGGTGTGTTCTTGAAGGGACCTTATGGGGTTTGCAGTAGGGGGCAGTGATAAGTCGTAGAGCTTCAGTGAGCCGTCGGCGACGGCGGCTATGATGAGAGAATCGTGGGATTCCGACCAGCAGCAGTCGTAAACACCGTCGGCGGTATCGAAGGATGCGATTTCGGTGATGGGTTGGTTGGATTTGGGAGCAGGGGAGAGCTGGAGAACGTGGAGACGGCCATTTCCGAGGATACCGAAGTTCTGGGCAGTGGCGACGGCGAGTTGGGATTCGTAGAAGGGACTGAATTTGACGGAGTAGCCGTTGAATGGCACCTTGAAGACCGTCATGGCTGGCGCTGTGGACGGGGGTGGTAGGCCGCAGCCGCTGGGGATCTTCGGGTAAAATTGATATCTACTTGGATTTTTTTATATTTGGGCGAACTACATTTTACCCCCCGAGTTTTGGCCCTTTAACATAATGTACCTTGAGTTTTGGGCATACTACAAAACCCCCCTGACATTTGGTCCGTTTAACTGAACAGACCTTTTTCACCTGAAAAATGACATCAGCTGCTAATATCATCCAAACTTTAAGGTGAACTGACGAAAATGCCATTCTATTATTGAACTCAATTTGTTTTAAATAATTCAATAGAAAATCTTATGCTATTTCATCCCCAAAAACCCCAAATTAAAACCCCTAAACCTCTAACCCCTAAAAATTGGCACCGATACTGCCTTCTTCTGGGCACTCTTCCTATTATTAATTCCTCCCATAGAACAAAAACCCAGGAAACAAAAATTGCAAAATGGGGTTAAAATTTGAACCCTCACGACTTTCATCATCATCCTAAAAATCTCAACATGAACTTCATCTCTTTCCCACCAAATTGTCACCTTTTACGCTGCCAACACCTTCATCTCCTCTTCGACACATGAATATTATCCATAGCTATCACTTTCGAAATCGCCCATACTATTGGACAATACATCTATCATCGCCTACACATTTTTTGGACTGTACAACATATTGAAAATAGCATATGAGGAAAACAACACACTAACATCAGTTTGACCTTCAATTATTGATGGGTTGAAGAGCATGTAAGCTTCAAATACATCCAAAATCCATTCTGTCCATCAATTATAGTCAATTTGGAGGATTGACCGCAAAATTTATGTGACCGGATAGAAGAATGGCAGTAATTTGGTTTTGATTCTGGTTCATGGAAGATAATGGGGCCTTCTATTTTCAACATATATTTTTTTTAATTTTTTTGGCCAATATAGCCTGAGGTTTTTTCGTCATTTCTTAGGTTTCCGGCATTGACCAAATGTTTTACCCTGTCAAAAAGGGAAATTGTAGTATGCCCAAAACTCAAGGTGCAATATGTTAGAGGGCCGAAACTCGAGGGGTAAAATGTAGTTTGCCCTTTATATTTTTATTATTTTGCCAAAATTAAAAAAACAAAAAAAAAATACCAAAGTTTCCTGTTTTGATCCAAACCGAAAAGAGGTGTATACGAGTAGATGTAACTATGTAAGTATGAATGATAAATTTTGATCCAATGGTTTTTTTCTTTTCTTGGGAAATTTTAATATCACTAAATAAAAAACAAAACAATTACAAAAGAGCTCAGCTTAATTCCATAACAATTCTTGAAGTGAATCAATAATCTCAAACTATACTCCTTATATTCTAACACGATTATTGTCTTTTTAATTTCAGTATAATTTAAACAAAAAAATAAAAAATCAAATTAGACAATTGTTTTGAAACAAAATGAATAACAACAATCAGTCTACTTAAAGCATTCAGATGTCTCCTCTAATCTCAACTTTACGAATATTTTTTTCTTACCATAAAAAGTAAATAAAATAAACAAGCAAAATGCCATAAACAACATTGATCAAATGGTTATCTCTTCACCTGTCAAAACCCATTGCAGATCTCTTTACCGCTAAACACTATAGTTAGACTAATAAACTTTCTATTATCCATCTCTTTGTTTTCTTAATATTACCTTATTCGAAACAAAAAAAAAAAAAAAAAAGGTGATTGAGTTTTTAATTTCTCTATTCAAAACGGAGAAAATCTCCAAATTTGATGCGCACAGTTTTGTCTGAACACGAGAATAACAAAATTCAAATTTTAGTCTCTCTTTTGGTGTGAATTGAGGGGAAAAAAAATAGTTTGTGCAGGAAAATTTTACAAAAATATTAATATGAAATAAATCATAACCGTACGTAATTAAACACTTTAAAGACTACGAAATAATTAAGATTCACTCTTAAAAAAATTAATGCGTTTATCTTAAAAATTAGCCCACAGATGGAGTATAGAAGAATAAAGACTCAAGAAAACTGTAGTCTAACACTACTACTAGTAGTAGAAAATTTGGTCACAAACACATTTAATACCAAAATTATACTCCACTGTGGGCTGGGCTACCCAAATTGCCACAGTCCAAAGCCCGTCCACTAAAAAAAAAAAAAGTCGTATAACTCTTTAATCATATTTAGGTTATATGATTTTAATTAAGAGTTTAAATCATGTTTAGTATAACTCTTAAGTCTATATAATCATTTTTTAGTGCAATAAAACAAACCCCACTAAATTTCCAAACCCATTTAATTCAAGTAAATTTTAATTACCATGTAAAAATCGACCATCGAGAAACCTCAAGTCATCAAAGAGCATGTTAGATATAAATGTTGAAGACGATAACTGTGTAAATAGTTTACATATATCCATACTTTTTTTTGTGTCAAACAAAATTAATCTTTTGAAAACTCAAAACATAAAAATGTCGTATAGAAGCTAAAATACAACCAATGCTGAACTAAAGAAAGTGAAACTTTTTAGCAATATTGTTAAGAAGCACAAAGCATCATTGGTAGTGTGATCCAAAGACCTCGGGAATTTGTTGTTATGGATCTCCCTGTCATAAAAATAAGGAATTTGCATTACAACGTTCTTAAATTGGGGATAATTGAAAATGTGGTTGATTCCCCCAAGTCAAAAAAGATGCACAAAAATTTTGGGGGGGATGTTTCTTACCACTACTAGGTTGGCTGGTTTGGCCTTTTCCGATTCCTCAATTTGGTAACCCATGTCTGCTTTGCCTTTGGTGTGGTGCTGAATGCTAACTAAATGCTGATCCATTTTTATTGAGAAAATGACCCTTTAATTTCTTCCTTCTTTTCGTGCTTGTCATCGATTTCAGTTCACCAAAATGCAAGGAAGATTCTGTCGGTATAGTAACCCAAATACATATAGGATATATAGGAGTACATTCTAATTCATGCATCCCTCCCTTCCACACTTTGTTCAGATTTGATATACGCGCGCGGTCATAGGAACTTCTCGCTACTGTGCACAAATTTGATTCATCGCATTAAATAACTATTCTGTTTCTATTCCAAAAATAAGCCGTTTTACTTTTGGAGGAATATTTCAAAACATAAGTTATTTTAAGATTTTAATATAAAATTATTCACTAATAATTTCTAATTTTACCTTTAATAAACAATGTCAATTTTTTTTTTCAATTAGACTTCTTTATAATTCCAATAAACTTACAAAGGATATAGGAAATATTTGACACATAAAGTAATTATTGAATGGTTATATTCTTTGTTTAGATGCAAAATTTAAAATGGCTTAAGTTTTAAAATGGAGAAGATTATATATATATATATATATATATATATATATAGTAATAAAAGTAATGTTGACACAAGAGATTATTTAGGGCCATGCCTTGCGTCTTTACAGATTACATGCAGTTGAGCTGAAAGAGGAAAAAAAAAGAAGAAGAAGAAGAAGCTAGGAATCCTCTTAGCTATAGCTATGGAGGTTGCCAAGAAGCTAGGAATCACAAAATTAATTTGTGAGTCCGACTCTTAAGTGGCTATTGACATGGTTTCACGCTTGATGGCATAATCGGAGGTACTATTGGATCTAGAATTGAGAAAAATATACAATTTTTTGCAGTCAGACTGAGGGAAATACACAATCTTGACAGGGGTTATATTTTTTTGATGTTTCCTAAATAGCATACCATGTTATTAGTATAGGATTCTAGGAAATCCCTTTTATGTACTAGATGAGGCCTTAGCCTTTTTGTTCTATTTATTCACCAAAAAAAAGAAAGAAAAAAAAAAAGAAAATTATACACCTTCCGTCTTGAGGGGGAAAAAAAATCATATCTATTTTCGCATTATTATAATTCAATAAAAAAAAACATGCTAGCTCCTTTCAGTAGGAACGGGAAAGAATAGCGCTATACATGCCACATTTCCGCGAAATTAAATGTAGCCTGAGGAAAGAAAGGCTGAGACGCTGAGAATCAGATGATTGTGTATCGCATTTTACAGCCATTCCCGGTGAGCTATTCTGGGAATATTAGTATCATTATTTACATATATAAAAGGGAAGAGAACTAACTAGATTATAGAGATAAAAGAAGAAGCCAAGAGAATTTGGAATATGACCAAAAAGATGACAAGACCAGACTGAGAAGTCAGGCATGTGAGGATAAAAAGAATGTCAGCAGTATGACTCCCTTTTTGTTACTACTACTTCAGTTCTTCTGACCAACATTACTATAAACCAATTCTTTTCCAAAAATAAATGAAAAGTAAAACAGAGAGGAAGATCGTAAATACTAGTATTTTATCGGTTCCCAAAAATAACCTATTTTGTTAAATTAACTTTTTAAAAAATAATGTGTTGTGTTAAACTAAGACAACGATTGAGCTAAACTTGCATTTCTTCAAACGTTGATCACTAAACAAAGAATGCTTTAGTGAAAAAAGGGTCATTACAAAAACATACAAATTAAACAAGGCTCGTCTTATAGATATGGAAAAATTCATAAGCAAAGATACATTTTATTAAAACAGAGAGGGATAACATAAGTTCTTCAAAAGAAGTTTCCAGGACCATCGCATACGTTTGGTTTACAATTATTGAAAGCATTCAGACGACACCCAATGAATAAATGTATGGGTGACACGATCCATATCGATCAGGATTGTAACATTCGAACTGCTTTTTTCCCATTTCTATAACAAATGTTTATAGCCGTCAAAGTTTTAACCTAATTTATCAGTTACAATATCATTACCTTTATCATTCTGCTCAAAATGTTAATTTACGGGTCCAAAAAAAATGTCTATAAGAATCAAAACCAAAATCGAAAAAAAAAAAAAAAATCAATACTAAGATAGAAATGTACAAGGAAGCTAGCAAGGTTACAGTATACATATTGCTGTGGATTCATTCATGGTGATATATATATAAATCCCTAAAGGAGGTGGTTTTTGGGATGGAGCCCATGCTTTCCATACTTCACATGATGCCCACTAACATCTACATCTTCAACCATTAAATCAATGGAGAAAAATATGGGGCCATTCTATAACTATTAGCTGTTGCGGATGCGACACTACTCACACACTAATTAACATGCATTTGATCATCATCACCTTCATAATCCCCATCTCCACCATTTTCTTACACTGTTTTAGCTAAAACTTGTTTTTTTCCATCTAAAGTAAAGCCGACTTCTTTCTGTTTCTCTGCCCCCACTCAGCATATGTAAAATTGTAAATGTGTAAAGAAAATGTCAAATCTGCTGTTTGTATGTATATAGATACCAGGTTCCTTTTCAAACTGATGAGGTCGAACATTTTCTTTTTTCCTTGCCCTTAATTATGTTGTTGTTTTGGGAAAGAGGTTAGATTGTGTTAATACTTTTCTATAATTCCTCCCACATCTTGTTTATTTAAATTTGTAAATGTATGGGATCATCGATCAATTCATTTCAATACACCAATATAACACAATACAGCTATATCGAATAATTGAATACGTAAATAAATATTTTTATATGTATTAAAGACTTGCCAAACTATTAAAAATCATCGTGATCAAATATAAATTTAATCGTCTATTTGTCTCTAAAAATTTGTTCACATTGAATTTGAAATTTTTACTAAAAAAATAATACAAATCTTGAACTTCAATATATTGAGATTATTTGTTTAAAGACAGAAGAAGTATACCGCTCTACTAGGGCATATCCACCGCACATAATTCTACGATAACTAGTACTATCACAATGATATTATCATTCCATATATGTATTGCAACTTTGGCACAACTACCATTAAGTTTGAAACTGATACTTTTGGTTTAAAAAAAAAAGAGAGAGAGAGAGAAAAGGAATGAGAGCTCGTAATAGGAGGCATACACACAGTTGTTGATTTTTAGAGAAGTCGAGATAATGTAATCAAGTACTCCCCATTCAACTTCCCAAATCTCTATTTTGTACGAAATTCTTAGAAACCTTGGGTTGGTAACGCTACTACGTACACACACAACCAAATTAAGGATCGCCACATGCACGAAGATTAATGGCTTCTATATTCATCCTAACTGATGGATAATCGAGTTATGGAACACGACGAAAATGGCTTCTCGCATAGGTCAAAGCACTAGTTTCACAAACCTCTAAATCCACTTTGAAGGAAAAGAAAAGTAAAAAAAAAAAAAAAAAAAGTAGCCCATCACACCTCACTTTCCAATGAAAGCCACAAATCCACATGATCTTGTTTGCTTGGGAGATAGATTTTCTCAAAAATCACAATCACAAAAAAAAAAGAAAAAGAAGATCTCTTATCATTCTTCTATATCTCCCCTCCCCCCCCCCCTTCCAAACTCTCTCTATTGCATTTTTCAGCACATTCCACTTATTCCATGCACTCAAAAAACTTCACCTTCTTCATCATATTTATCCACATTTCCTAAAGCCATAATATTTGTGAGATATCTTTTTTTACAATTGGAGGCTCCTGGAATTCAAGCCATAGAGGTGTCAATTTCTAATTTGTTGATAAATGCACTTGTCTGCCAAAATGATCCCACTAAAGCTGACTTGGCGGAGTTCAATCATGGAGAAACATGTGTAACCATAAGCCTCCAACCCGTTTCATGCCCAACCTCAAATTATTGAACTACTTACTCATCACTGAATGGAGAAGAAGGGGCAAGGGGAAGCTGTTAAGGGTCCCTGAATAAAATGATGGATCCAAAAGCTAGCCAGAGTACAAGTTAGTAGTAGTATAAGGTGCCATAATGATTCATCTCCATAAATTTTAGATCTTTATTTTTGTTTCTTTTTTTTAAATGAATCAATAACTACCCCCCTCCTTTTTTTTTCCTTCCCTTTCTTGTGTGTGACTCAACCTCTACACCTATTTTTTTTAAAAAAAAAAAACTAGGAGAGACAGTAATTTCAATTTCGCCCAACTGAGTTGCCAAAAAACAGGAGACAAATAAGATTAAAAAAATAGAAATAAAAAAATCTATTGGAAAAGAAAGGCACAACCTGAAATAATATAATAGATTATAGAAAAAGACCTCTCTTTTTCTACACTGTTTATAATTTTTTTTTTTTTTTTGCCTTTCTTTTCATTTCAATCTTTTTCTCTCCTTTTCTCTCTCATGAGAGAGAACCATAGAGAGAGAGGAAGAAAAAGGGATACAAAGGCTTATAGCAAATGAAGAATACAATTAGATGCTGCATATCCTGCATTCTTCCATGCGGATCCCTCGACGTAATTCGCATAGTTCACTCCAATGGCCGCGTTGAAGAGATCAGTGGAAGCATCACAGCTGAAGAAATCATGAAAGCTCATCCGAAACACGTTTTAAAGAAGCCCTCTTCATCATCATCATCATCGTCATCATCATCATCTTCAGAGCTAGAAGAAGGGAATATTTGTCCAAAAATCGTTATAGTTCCGCCCGATGCGGAGTTACAACGTGGGAAGATTTACTTTCTGATTCCGGCTCCCGAAAAGAGCCATAGTAGTAATAAGAGCAGTACTAAACGTGCTTCTTCCAGGTCATCATCGAATTCATCCAGAAGGAAAAAAAGGGAGGCAGCTGATCATCGTCATCAAGGCAATGGGAATAATAATAATAATAATGTTAATAGTACGAGTTTTATGGTTTCCGATCGGTATTTAACTGAGATTTTATCGGAAAAAGTATCAACGCAAAGGGATCGGAGGAGAGGTCGGTCTGGAATTTGGAGGCCTCATTTAGAGAGCATTTCTGAGACCTCAGGTGAAACTTGTTAGTCATCCATCATCAAGGGTTTTTTGTTGTTGTTCTTCTTCTTCTTTTTCAATTTCATTTTTTTTTTTGTTCGACATTTTCCAGCTGAAAGTTCTGTAGGAGTTCTTCGTGTTTAAGCCTACACGATTTTGTTGTCTTTCAATATGTTTTGTGTATAAAAGGACGGAAAAAAAAAAAAGAAAAAGAAAGAAGAAGGTGATTTAATTAGGAAAAAAGAAAAGAAAACCCTTGAATTCAGGTGTTCTTTTCAAGGTCTTCGCCTAGCTTAGCTAGCTGTATCTTGAATTCAAGCTTGATCATCAAAGTTTGCAAAACGTTAAGGCAAATCTGGAGAATTAATGTACTCTTATGATCATGCCTTTTGAATTTGTTGATGCAAATGTGATCATATACTTTTTAGTGTTGCCCAATGAAAGAGATCGACCAAACAATATTAACGTTTTTTTAGCAACCTTTTTGATTCATCAATTGGCATTATTTAGTGTTTTCTTTAGTTAAAAAAAGACCATGCCGTGACACTAATGAATTAGTTTATATTTCACTTTTGTCAAAGTGGTGGGATTGCTTTCGGAGATAAGCAAAAGATCTATGTGATCAAGACACCTTTAAGTGTTTGTGTAATGGGTGGTGGTTCTTGATCATCATGGATTAAATTAGGGAGGAAATTATGGAAGAAAAGGACTTCATTTTCTTTTCTTTTCTTTTTTTCTTTTTCAAGTGTGTCGGCACTGGGTTTAAGCATTATGAATCAAAATATTATGACTTCCGCCGTTGTGAATTTCATATTTCTTATGGTACTTATTATAAAGTATTTTGATTTTGTTTTAAATTTTACTTAAAATGTATTTTTATTTAAAAATATATTTAAAATATATTTTCACATTCGTCGTATTCTCTTAATTATTAAGAAATATTTTTAATAGTTTTATTTTAATTAAAAAGATATTGTAAGTGAAATTTAGGACAGACATAGGACAAATCAAAATGGTTTATAATATAGATCGGAGGGAATATATAATATAAAAAGCTGATAAAATTGTTCCTAGCTTTGTGTTGTTGGGCATTATTACATAATAATAATGCATCAAACGCTACATACATTTAAGGTAATGACCATGATCAAAAGCACTTTCATGCCCCACCCCCAAAAAAACAATTTCTGTATTACTTTGATCAGTCTTGTGGTACATGACATCCAATTCGTAAAAATTAATTAAGAGACTTGTTTGATATAGATTCATGAAGATTAAAACTTGTACAGTTTAAATAAGGCATAATATATGTCGATATGACAACACTTAACAGATGCTCGATCTATCTCAATTTCATGATTAAGCTAATGACAAAGTAACCTTTTATCATATAGATTAGAAAAGGCTACTTAGTTGTTATGGATATATATTATAGTATTTTTCATTCAAAAAAGAAAAGAATACAGTATGGAAAAGTTCATAAGACGTGGATTAATCATGAAGGATGCTGGATAGATAGAATAATTGTTGCTAAAATGATTATTTAAGGAATAGAATAAGCATTTCCAAGGTAGCAGCACTAGAAGCAAGTGGGGATATTATTCTTGTAAGCCTTATTGTTTATAAATAAATTAATAGTAAATGAATGATACCAAATGCATCTCAAAAAGTTTGTATGGGGGACTATAGGCATCTGGAACTCATGAGCTTCATTCAGGTAAGGTCTGATCCAAAAGATATGGGGCCAGTGAAAAGTTGGCACAATCATTGAAATCTCATCTGCTGGATCATTTTGGATAAACTGCTGAATGCTGATAAGCTAGCTTAAGGGAAGGAAGAAACGATTACACCATTCTGCCATATGATCATAAGAAACTTAATTTATTCTCTTTTTAATTTTTTTTTCTACCTGAAATCGATCTCAAAGATAGTACAGAGGTTTAAAAATCAAATATTATACCTTTACATGTTTGTCAAAAGAACTAATTGGACCATTCGAGTGTTAACAAGATAGGTTTCTCTTTTTTGGTGCATTATACATTCGGTGTCTAAAATTATTGTTTCGATTAATTTGTATTTGAGCCGTGTAGGTTTTTCTTGATTTAAGGACAAGAGTTTGTATCACATGTGGAAACCAGAAAAGGGAGAAAAAAAATTTAAAAAAAAGGCAAAACAAAAATGAATTTGGCTTAAAAGTTAAAACTGAAAGGAAAAACTTTGAAAACCAAGAAAATGAGAGGCAAAATAGTGTAAAAGAATAAAGTTATGGTACTAAGCTGAAGCTTTCGGCCTTAAAACCAATTAGCCGATGATTGCGTCATTGAGTGATGTTGGGCTGCAACTGGACTTTTCACTAAATCCGACAAAACCTGGAAACCGTCGGCCCACAACCCTGATCCGTTCCACAACTTATAAAAAATGCCTACTCAACCCACCCTAATTGGTCGATAAAATTCACGATAAACCTACCCATCGGTGCTGCCGACTGCCTTATGGCAAACTTCTCGAATTAGCAGTAACGAAACTAATAATTAAAAATTACTACATTCAATTCCAAAATGAATCTTGTAAAAAATGGTTTTTTCAGGATCAAGGGACTAATTAATTATGATTAAAAAGTAATCCCTCTGTCCTAAAATTATTGTGCAGTTTAAGACTTCATTTGTAGTACAATTTGAACTAAAAATGAAAACTCAAGTTGGACAATAATTATGGGACGGGGGGAGTAGTAATTCAAAGTTATTCTTTTGGAGAATTTTCCTTATCAATTTTCTATCTGTGTATAGTCTGTAAATAATGTATAGTTTTGGAAATGGTATAAATTCATAACAAAAAGTTACAAAATCAAATAAAATCAAACATATTATGTCTAAGTTATGCTTTTTGATATTTTTTTTTTGAAAGGAAAAGGTGTTCACTCGCCCACATGTTTACTACATGAAGATGAGCATTTTTTTAACCAACACATTAAAAATGAAATCATCGAAATTTTGGTAACATGCTTATTAAAATAAATAAAGAAATATAGGCAGAAATGGAATTAGATGAATTAATGAGGGTGCAACAACGTGAATTACGAGAAGAGAAGAAAAAATAGCAGTGGTGGCGGCCGGACGTAACGTAAACAAAATAATGCACTAGTACAAAATTAAAAAAAAAGGGAAAAAATAGAAAGAAGGGAAAAAAAACCGTCCAACTATGGACTATCCGATCACCATCCGAATCCTAATCCAACACACGCGTTCGTCGCCTCCACGCGCCCGTCCCCCGGCGACTTCACCGAGTCACCTTTCCCATTCCTACCCTTACGTCAATGTGCTCATTCATTCATCGCCAACCGGCACCCTTTCCCCTTTCACCGATATCCCACCCACTTCTCCTCCTCCTTTTATTTCCTCCGAATTTCCTCTGTTTATCTCCGATTGTATTTCACTCTTTTTCCGATAGATCTGTTTCGTCAGGTTCCTGAATTTATTAGAGGTATTTTTTAATTTGTTTTTTGATGGGGGAATTCAATGATATGTCTCTTGTTCCGGCACCGTTGATGCAGACGCCGCCGACGAGGCCGCTGCCGTTCCGTGAAGATTGTTGGAGTGAGGAGGCTACGGCGACTCTCGTTGAGGCTTGGGGACGCCGTTACGTCGAGCTCAACCGTGGGAATCTCCGGCAGAAGGATTGGCAGGAGGTCGCCGACGCCGTTAACGCCCTCCACGGTCATACCAAGAAGACTCGCCGGACCGATGTTCAGTGCAAGAATCGGATTGATACGTTGAAGAAGAAGTACAAGATTGAGAAGGCTAAAATCGCCGAGTCTAACGGAACCCTAACGTCGTCCTGGCCGTTTTACTCGCGGCTGGAGACTTTGATTGGACCGAATTTGAAGAATCAGAATCATAAGGGGTCACCGTTGGTGAATTCTTCGCCGTATTATACTTCTCCGATGTCGATTCAGTCTCCTCCCATGGGGATTCCGTTGTATAATAAGAGGTCGCCTCTGATGTCGCTGCCTCCGGTACCGCTTGCCGTTGAGTCGCCGGCGGTGGTTTTGCCTCAGAAGAGACCGTTTTCGGGTATCAACAGTTCGAGTTTTAGGGATAATTATTCATTTACTGCTGCTGCTGCACTGCGCGAGGATGTGGATGAGGATAATGACGTAGACAGGGCTTCTGAAGACGATGAGGATGATGAGGTTGAGGAGAGGGAAGAAGGCACCACGGTGCAGGAGGAGGGGATGAGGAGTTTAGCCAAGGCAATTGAGAGGTTCAGTGAAATTTACGAGAGGGTTGAGAATATGAAGCAGAAGCAAATGGTGGAGTTGGAGAAGCAAAGGATGCAGTTTGCCAAGGATTTGGAAGTGCAGAGGATGCAGTTGTTTATGGATACACAAGTCCAGCTCGAGAAAATTAAGCACGTTAAACGATCTGGATCAGATGGTATAAGAACAATCTATTAATTCTTATTAACTTGGTCGTTGTTCTTTCAATTTTATGCTATTATGTTACTTTTAATTTTAATTCTTTGCTTAAGGTGAATTCGATTTAGGGTTTTGGTTAGTATTGCTTTAGATTGACATCCTGCATTGCCCAAGGGTTTTGGAATTAGAGCTGTTTGCTATATCAGTCCTGGTCAATAGTTTGCTTAAAGGTTCTTCAGCGAATGCTTATTTATCTATCTGTGGGATATAGCTAAGTGGATTGTAACTTTTTGTGATCAGAATGCTTGTTTATCTATCTGTGGGGTATACCTAAGTGGATTGTAACTTTTTGTTCTCAGTGATCTGTATAGAAAGATTTATGGTGTTCAAAAATTGTTAGGAAGATGCGATTGTTCTGTTATTGTTATTATATTTTGTTAACGAGTTGGATTGCCCAACAGCCTTGTATTTATGGAGAATTGTGACTGTGATTTGAGCTTCTAATTGTTGTGTGTTAGAGTTTTATGAATAGAAGATGTCTCATCTTGCACAACTACAATCTATCTTTAGGATTTTGTGAATAGAAGATGTCTCATCTTGCACAACTACAATCTATCTTTAGGATTTTGTAAAAGTATTTTATGAAGTGTATCTTGGCTTTGTTATCCATTTTAATTTATTGTTATGTATTTTTAACAAAATTTGATCCTTTCACATTGTGATATGGGGACATTGTAAGCAGCAATATTTTGGAATATGAATGGTAGTTGACACAGAAGCAGTTCTTTTGGTTCTAATGTGTTCTTCCTTGTTATCACTGTGGCAACTTCCTTCTTTTCACCTGAGGGTATGAGGTCACGTGGTTGGTCTGTTTTATGATAGAAGTATAACTATTAAAGTATTGTCACAGAAAGTCATGATTATTGCTTGTCTCACTCATTTTCCTTTCTACTTTGCTTATCCATGGTTCATCTTGTCTGTTTGCATACGTTGGATGATGGTTCCTTTGGTTGATAATTGAATTTTATCTAAGTTTAGCAAATTAGATGCCTTTTCTTCGTGGTTTCTTCTTCTTTTCAGCTCGTAAGTGTCTGTTGTTTGAAGTCAGTTTTTGGAAATCAAGTGCAACCCTGTTCTTGGCAGAAATCTGCTTTGGAGTTACAAATTTGGTTTTATATGTATGTAAATTAAGTATTTGGTTCTCTTCTGTGTGAATATGGATGGTGATGTGTTTGTATGAACTTCAATGTCATTGTCCTGCTTAGTTTGATCTTGAATATGCAACAGAGGTTCACTGTTAATGTGTGTCTGGTACAGCTTTCTTCAATGACTATTGAAAACTTGATCTGTATGCTTATTACATGCTGTAGAGAATCCGTAGCCTTGACAGCATCAAATATGTTGCATGCAGATATTTATAGCTAGTTACTTGCTTGAGGATGTAATGGTTGTCAAATCTCCAGTTCTGCCTTGTGTGCTTTCAAGTTTGAAAGCTTGTGTACCTCTGGAGGAAGAGACTGGATTATTGTTCTTATTGAAAGTATCAGCCACGACAGCCATTCCACGTCCCGGTAGTATATTGTAGAAAAACTATGATTATCTATTTATTGTTGCCATTGTGGAATTGTAGTTAGAGGATCAAATATGTAGTCGTTTGATTGTGCCCAAAGCTTGAAGCTAAATGTATTGGGCGTTTCACCTTGTTTTTTAACTACTAATGCTTTTTTTAGCTGAACAAATTACTCTTTTGTAGTAAGTGCGTTGAAGAATTATGAGTTCTGATGTTTAAGAATTAAGATAGGCTTTTCTCATATTCTTTCCCTCCTTGGCACATGATAGCTTTGTGCAATGTGGGTGTTGAATCTAGATGGGGGTAGGCTACAGCTTTAGTAATGGAGAAATGGAAAACCAAATTGTAACGCAGATGTTAAACAAATCACCAATTGTTTTCCATGTTGGTTCCTCCTCTTTTAAGTACAATACAAGAGACAATCGCCTAAAATATTATATTACCTCCGTCTTAAAAAAATAGTCCACATTGAGTTTTGAGTTTTGTGCTGTTTTTAGTACAAATTTGAAAACTCAATGTAAATTATTTTTTTGGGAAGGTAGTACTAAAATAGACAGCTTGTAGGAAACACTGACGATATGGTTTAATTCCAAACAATGGATTGCCTAGACATTGTAGTTTATTAAGACTCCTAGCTCACTTACTACCGGTCAATCTCATCATAGGTTTCGCTAAAAACCTGAGAGCCTGCAGTATCTATGAATTACTCAACCTTCCTCGGACCTTTTCATCATCACTAGGACAAGATGATGATACAGAAACTAAACTCGGAAAATAATCGGCTACAACAGAATCCCGGATTGTTTCCCAGTCATACAGGACCCACGTAAACAATCAAGCGAAACAATGACCTTCAGAAGAATAGCCCCCATTCTGCCGAGTTGTCCTCGCCGTTAACCCTATGATTCTGTATGGGAGAGGAGCAAATGCCAAACTTCTTCCAGAAACAAACTTCTCAGTCCAGAATAGTTCCCAAGCATTATTGCTGAACACCCAATGCTTATTGGCTTGAACACCCAAATCTCATTATCTGTAGATGGAAAACGATAATGCCAATTAGAAACAGCGACAGATCCTTGGAATAGGAACAGATGTATCGGATTGTGAAATCCAAGTTTCGAAAACTTTCGCTGGGGAATCACTCGAGCTTCTTCCTTCTTCAAGTCCAAAACAATCATGAAGTTATATCCATCATACGTTTTTAAGTCTTCGTGAACCAACCAATAGATACAACCCTTATGAACCAAAAACCGTGATTTGACATTTGAAGTGTTCCTATATAGTCGAATTACCCCAGTGCAATAAACAATCCTTACATACGCGTCTAAATCGAACCAGGGCCTCCCCAGGAAGCCTCAAGAAAATTTCCATGATGATGTCGTCGGGTAATTCAGGGCTCGATGAATTGACAGTTTCCATGGTCTCCAATTCCATAAGCATGAAACGCAATTTTTTCACCCTATTATTGTTGGGGACGATGAACTTTTTATGTGTATTATATCTAAGAAAAGTGTTACATATTGTTTCGCTGAGTTACGATTAGGTACTATGCCATAGTATTTTTTTTTATTTGTTTTTGGAAAACACCGTAAATATATATATATATATATATATTTTTTTTAAAAAAAATCCACTCTAATGGACTTCACTTAAATCTGGGTAAAACTCCCTATAAACCGGTGAGAATTGAATCATGGTCTATTACTAGAAAACACAACATCCTAACTAATTCAATTCCCACATCGTATAAATCTTATATCGATACTAGTACTTGTCCCACGCGTTGCATGGGTGTGTAAAATGAGAGGGAAAAAAATCAAACTTTTCCTATAATCATCACCAGTGCCGTAACTGTCAAACCAAATCGTTCAAACCAAATTAATCAATGCAATAGTTGAAATTGGCCTATATATGTCGTGAGTTGAAAGTTTTTATTCAAACAAAAAGGAATAAAAAACAAAAGAGAAGAAAGGAGAGTAGGATATCAAGTTTAATACCTTCGATAGCCTATGTTTTTCAAACCGGACCGGAAGGTGAACCGTTAGCGTGACTGGGTTGGTGGGTTTATCAGGTTAACGGGTTAGTTCGTTCCTCGAAACCAGTGAAAATCGGTTAAAATAATATTAAAAATATTTAAAAATTAATTTTTTAAAAAAATATTCAAAAATCGGTTCAACCGGTACCGGTTTCTGGTCAAATCGCGGTTTTGTCTGGGTTTGACCGAGTTATACAAGATCCGATTTTTTATGCAAACCGGACCGGTGAGGCTTCCGATTCTCGGACTAACCGGTTTGACTGCCCGGTCCGGTCCGGTTTTAAAAACACAGCCAATAGCGGCGGCGACAACAGAAAGTATGACAGTAGCAGCGGCGGCGGCAGCAGTGGCAGAGGGCGGTGAGGTGAATGATTTTACATTCATCTTATTTATAGAAGAAAAGAAGCGTATTAGAGAAGATTAAATGAATCGTATTAGAGAAGATTCGAGATTTGGAAGATTTGATTATGATATACATTTTTCAAATTTAAATATTTTAAATTTTAAAACGTATTAAAGAAGATAATGATCACATTATTTATAATAAAATAATAAAATCCAGATTAACAGAATTACCAAATTACTTTAACCGTTTAATGAAACTCAAACGTAGAGGCGACATGTGTCCCTAAAAGCTATTGATGGTTTAACTAAGTTGAATAGCTTCTGCAAACCACTCTCCTTTAATATATATATATATATATATATATATATATATATATATATATATATATATATACTAGTGATGTCTGATCGCGCAATGCGCGACCCTGGCCCAATATATCTGTAGATTTTAGAAATGTTTATATCTGAAAAAAAATATTTTGTATTTAGCTCGATATATTTTAGAAATATTTGAAGAATTTAGAAATATTTTATAAGTGTGATCACAGAAATGTTCGTATTTGGCATAAAAAGAAATTATATTTGGCTCGGTACGTTTTAGAAATGTTTGAAGATTTTAGAAATATTTTATAAGTGTTACTTTTTAAATATAAATAAATTTGATCAAATATATAGCTTGAAGTAGATGCTAGACAAAATATAAAAGCATCCTAATAAGTTTAAATATTAGTAAGATGATTTATTGATGTTCTCCATTGGTTGTGCCAAATCAATACTTAGTTTTGGAGATTTATAATAACTTTGTAGTAAGATTCCTCCAAGGGGTATACGCTTAATTGTTGGAACTATTTCTTCCAAAAATTTATAGGTAGTAAAATATCAAAAATATGATTTTGAAACTGGTTAATTGTTGAAACTGGTTGATCACAAATATGAGAATGAAAATAATATAAATTTGCATAGGTTTCAAGTTATAGCAAAAAAGAACTCACCTCATCATGCCAAATAAAAAAGAAAGAAAGTAAGAGATAGCCCATTAAAAATTGAGAAATTTATTTATTTTTTGTACATAAAAATGATGTATAAAAATATAAATAAACGTAGAAACATCATTCCTTCCCTCTCCACATTAAATTCATAAAAGGCTTCCCCATAAATTAGTCAGAAGAAGTGACATGAACTATTTATATGATGAGGAACTAAAAAAAGTCCAAAAACCAAATCCAAAAAAGTATATTATTGAAAGTCTGCACAGAAAAAAACGCGCTTCATTTGCAAATAAAATAAAATAATAATAATAATAATTAGTCAACTGGGAGTATGAAACAAAATCAAAAGTAATTAGACAAAGAAAAAACACACTTCATAACTGACCAAAAACCCAATTAATCAATTCAATCCAAACAGAACTAAATTCATACAAAAATTCTAGGCTAACTAACCATATAAGAAATCACATCATATTACCTGACAACGGCTACGGTAGCTGTAACGGATGGACGCATAAAAATAATAGTAATAACACTGTTCTTGAACGGAGAAAACAAAAAATAATAAAAGCCAAATAAATGATTTGTGAAAATTAAATCATTTAAATTTTAATACCTGTAATGGCACCACCACAACGGCCGAAGCAAGATCAATGGGAATTTTTTTTTCCTTTGTGTTTATATAGAAAGGTAAAGAAAATATTTTTTGAAGTCGAAATTTTATCCGATTAGGATGTAGGTGATCATTACTACTGGAAAGATTGAACATGCTAATAGAAAATGAGTATATTTCACCACATATTCTCAATTGATGATTGATGGAGGAATTTTTTTTTTTATTGAGGAGAAGGGATTGATTAGAGAGTTGATTATCATGGGGATGGGGTTGAGGATTTGGGTTTTTTATGAACCCGTAGTTTTTTTTTTTTTAGCGAAAATAGGAGGTGGAGGTAGATTTGGACTGCATTAGACTTTTAAGTCTAGGAGATGTGTAAATAAAAATTTATTTTAAAAATACGATGTGGAAATACCACATGGCAAATGGTGGTGCTTTCTCTTAAGTGTGGTTTTTGTTTCTAATATAGTAAGATATAGAGGATTCTGTAAGAAATTATGTGTTCATACTATGGCAGCAAAAAAAACTCACTGTTTTTGTCCTACCATTACAAAATTGGATTCAACCTTCAACCAGTCGCCAGGAACAATTGCGGGGCTGAATGTTTTCCAAGAATTACTTCTTAGATTATACACTTCAACCTTGAAGCAATCGCATAATTGTACTACCCCGGTCAAAAACAAAAAAAAATCTCCATTAAATTTTGAGATTTGTAGTTTCTCTGTCTAAAAAAATAATTCACATCGAGTTCCCGTATTTATAATAAAATTAGTACAAATCTCATAACTCAAATAAACTACTTATTCAGAGACAAAGGGAGTACTATTTTTTTTGGACATGGGAGTATAATTTTCACAACTTTATATCATTGCAGTGATTATCAAAGTAAAATGCAACAACGTACAATATTGTCAGTCGTCAAAATTGCTCTTAGGAGAGCCCTAACCTTGCATATGTACATGTTTTACCTAATTTCTGAAAACAAAGAAATCCATCACAGCAACCCACCATGCAAATTTTACGGTCTTTGGAAATTAATCGATGGCTTCAGAAAATGAAGATAACAACTAGTACAGGTTATCAAGAGAAGTAGTGTAATTATTTATGTGAATTAATAACATAATAAAAGATTGGAACAATAATTAATTAGATCAAATTCAGATTAGTCGGAGCAATTATTTCAGACACTTAGTACCTAATATACCAAAAAGAGATTGGAAAAATATCATTGCGTCATCATCCTTAAATTAATCCAAACATGATATTACCAATAGATAACTGCGAAGGTTGCACACCAAAATGGTTATGATGAAATGGAAGGGACTCCTCCACCCTTAACTATAGGTCGAGGGTTCGAGCCTCGTTATGGACATGGAGCAATCTTAAATACTTTGGCTAACTGTCCCATCTATCGAGGTGCCTACAATTTAGCGAGGGGATTAGTCACTTGTTAAGGTGTATAATTTGTCCCACATTGCCACCGTGAAGAGAAGTGACTCAATATATAAATTCCAAAGGCCACCCCACTCATTGGCAATTGGTTTTGAGATGGGAGGCCAAAGTACTTATATACTTTGACATGGTATCAGAGCGTGCTGGGCCTGTGGTGGAGTTCTGGGCCGAAGGTGGCCTGTGGTGATTTTATATTCTCCCACTTGAGCTTTGATTCGTGGGCTTGTTCTGAACTGATCCAGCGGTATAACTGGTTTTCTCCTACTAGAGCGTTGACTCGTGGGCTTGTTGTGGACCGATCCGGCGGTATAACTGGCTTTCTCCCACCTGAGCGTTGACTCGTGGGCCATCTGTTCTTGTCATGATCCAAGTCCATTGGGCAAAAAAAAAGTTCCAAGACCTATTGGACTTGAGGGAGGGTGTTAAGGTGTATAATTTGTCCCACATCGCCACCGTGAAGAGAAGTGACTCAGTATATAAATTCCAAAAGCTACTCCACTCATTGCCAATTGGTTTTGAGATGGGAGCCCAAAGTACTTATATACTTTCACATCATTGTTGCTGACGGCCCTGCAAATTGTTGCTGACGGCCCTACAAATATGACAAAAAAAATATTAAAAAAAAACTGCAAGCCATCGATGTGCCTACAATTCAGCGAGGGGGATTAGTCGACAATCCATCGAGATGCCTACAATTCAGCAAGAGGGATTAGTCACTATTGTCGACGGCCCTGCAAATATGGAAAATTGTTTTTTAAAAAAAAAACTGCAAAGGTTGCAATAAGTATGTCAACAATTAAAATAAATTTATTCACTATCTCACCCATAAGGTCGAAATTTTCATAATACTTGTCGCTATCTGTTTTTCCCAGAAAAATGCCGATCGAAGTGAACATTGAGGACAGACTTCATCAATTTTGTCAAACAGAGCCGTTGGTCGGTCACTATATATGGAAAAGTCTTCCTTGAAATTTTCGACTTATTTTGTTTACCCCCTTTCTTTTATTCTTTGTTTCTTCCCTATTTAAATCAAACTATAGTACTAATCCTACAATTGAGTACAATGTAGCGTTGAGGTTGACTTTTTCAACCGTACCTTACCTTAGTGTTCATGATCAGGATACTATGTGAGTACTTCTTGTTCTAATAATTTCTTTTAAATTCCTTGGCGATTGGTTAATCAGTTTACTTCGGTGGTATTCTTAATATTCCCTTACTCTTATATATATATATATATATATATATATATATATATATATAAAACAATCCATATAATAAGTTGTAGATTATACTATGTAACTTATAGTATTGATTATTTTTTAAAACAAATTGAGCATTTCTGCTAAAATACTACATTCACCGAATAATAACTAATCCGAAGACAACGACAAGTAGGTGTCTCTTCCGTTACCATTCTTAACAACTTCACGAGCTAATGCATAGGGCTATAAATAAGGCCACAAAATGTTCAAGCTGATCAAGTTATCAATCATATAGTCAGTCCAGAAATATAGATCATTACTTGTACCCTCTCCTCTAGAATCTAGATCACTCCTCTCGGAGCTCCATGGCACAGCCTAATTACCCACCCGTGGACCAACCACCTTACCCACCCTACCCACCAACCACCGGACCGCCACAGCTATTTTACCCTCCGCCACCGGTAGTACCCACACCGTATCCTGACCCGGCTTCCACAAAGCAGGAACCAAGTGGCAGTCAACATGGTTATGCAACTGCATATGCATATCCCTCGCCCGCAGCACCCCCCGTTTACCCACCCACACCCATCCCGGCAGTAAGTCCAACTCAATCGGGCGTAGCTACACCTATTCCGGTGGTGGGGCCTCAGTATTGTCTTCCTCGTCCGGTGGATTTGATCATTGTCAGAAAACTCATGACTCTTACTGATGATTTTATGGTAACGGATGTTGCCAAGAATACCATGTTCAAAGTCAAAGGAAAATTCTTTAGCCTTCATGACAAGCGGGTTCTCTTGGATGCGGCTGGAAGACCTGTCATTACTCTTAGCCATAAGGTCAATCGATTTCTTCCTCTCCTTCTTTTCTTTTAAATCAAAATGGTCAACCTAGTACTACATCCTAAATTAATAGTCTCGTTCATATAATAGTAGATACTCACGTATATCTTGAACTGGAAAACAAACAAATAAGTCATATGTATAATCCTTTTTTCCCCCAAAAGGACTGCATACATTTTAACCTTTAACGCAATTTACGTAGATGTCATCATTACTCGTGCCGAAACGGAAAAAGTATTAGAGCTAATATTACGAAACACAAGATTAATTGTTAAGGTTTTTTTTATAAAGTATCAGTGCAGAAAAAATAGTTTCGTTTTGTATTGATAAATTAACAAAAAGCTAATTAATTTTATTTAGGACTGATAGAGTAATTATGGAGTAATAGGTCTTATTATTACTATAAAGTTGTGGTGGATACAAGCAGGTATTTACGGCACACAGCAGATGGCAAGTGTTTAGGGGGGAAAGCTCACACCCTGCAGATTTATTATTCACTGCAAAAACCTCATCTATGATCCAACTGAAAACCAAGTTAAATGTGTACTTAGCCAACAGGAAGTCAGAGGACTTTTGTGACTTTAAGGTCCACGGAAGCTGGACCGACCGATCTTGCGTCGTTTATGTCGGAGAATCCTCCACCATTGCTGCTCAGGTAAGAACACGGCCACACGCGCATATCATATGAGTATAGAGTTAATAATAAAATCATACAGTATAAACACTGTACAAAAATGACTCGAAAATATTTGGAAATAAAGGTTTTTTTTTGTGGGTTTCATGGTTTTATTAAGCGTGCGAGAATCACAAGACAGATTATTTTTTCCAGCGTTTATCTTTTTTTTTTCCCGGTTATTAGTTATTATTATTATTATTATTTTTAACTATTGATTAAGTTTGAGGAGTTTGGAATAAAAATTGGTGATTGCAGATGTACAAGAAAGACACAGCCGAAAGTTTCTTCCTAGGAAAAGACACATTTATGGTCACTGTGTATCCAAACGTTGACTACGCGTTGGTGGTGGCTCTTATTCTCATCCTTGACGCCATCAGCACTTCGGATGATAACTAATTGAATGGGCTGCCTCTTAGGCCAATGATTTCATCCCTACTGTGTATTTCTCTCAATGTATGAATATTTTAATTTGTACGAATGTTACCTTTCAAAAAAATTAAAAAGAAAAACAATTGTATGTGCATATTATAATTGTAAGTTCTTTTTTTTTTTTTTTTTTGGTGAGAAAGAGTACCTGTTTATAGAAGCTAAGTATCTAAACTATTACACATTGCTTTATTATAAGCCATATTGTGCAAATCTAAAGCCTGCGATCTACTATAGTTGTAATTGTTTCGTAACAAATAGTATTTTAAAAATGTTATATTAAATTTTTTAAATTTATAAATTTTGACATACCGTAAATACCCCCAATAATAGTAAGTTAATGGTCAACTAAACGGAAAAATTGACGGAATAGTAAATTGGGACAAAAAAAGTTATGAACATAAATGTTTGGGACCAATTCTTCAAATGTTAATGTTTGGGACTTAAAAGTTAATTGGACCAAATTTATGGGACTAAGAGGGTCTACTCTTTATTTACTTGTGGACAAAATGATATATTTTACTTTCCCAAAATAATTGTCCATAAATCAGTTTGGTAGAGAGGGAGTATATAGCATGAAGAGATGAATAACTCAGGCACAAGGAAAACAACAGCAACAAAAGGCATAGGATAGGTGTTGCTAAACTCTTGAAGTTGAGAGCCTCCAGTAAGGATGATGAACTTCTAATTTTCTCTCCTCGGAAGACCTTCTTCCCTTCATTAGGAATTATTACGTATACTAATTAAACTCGGAAGATAATCAGCTACGACATAATCCCACGCTCGCCGGATTTAGTAACCACAATCAAATTGAAGCCCACATCTATTCATTACATGATCTTCTTGATCCCATAAAAACACAGAGCCATTATCAGTTGAACTCAAAAAATACTGCTTATTTGTGCTCATTTTGACCCGGGGTGTTCTATAAGTTGTTCTATAGGGGTAGCGCGATTAGCCTAAGGCAATCTGCTGGTAAAACAGGCGTCTTGGTCTAGACTTTCTTCCAATCATCCTTGCTGAACATCCCATCATTTCCATCCATATGTTAAAATTTTCTTGAACATGAAAAAAAAGTGAAAGATATTTGTAAATAGTAATTTTACTTGACCAAATATACACCCCATTTGTTACTTTCTTCATTGCCAAATTAGTTTTGACGTGGAACTATATGCGGCTTATATAGGCCTTCAAGACTCAGATTTACTGGACGAAAAACAGGATTGCATAGGTAGATTTGACTGACAGGTTTCGCCTAAATAGACAAAACAAAGCAGTCCATCGCAACAACCCACCAAACGAATGTCACTCTTTAAAGATGAGTCGATAGATCCGGTTCCACCGGAAGACACCATCTTTAGACACTAGCTGGATTAACCCATTTATCTTTTCTCTAACCCGAAGTCCAAATTCCTCAAAGTCAGGACAATAATCTCGAAACAGGCCTCTTATGTTGTTTCTCGACGAATTTCTTCTTCTCGGATAAAAAAAGGTGGAAGTTGTCGGGAGAGGTTATGACGTTTTGCCAGGACTTACATACGCAACGAAGTCGAATTCCAGCAACTTTATAGGTAGTTTTAGCTTCAGGAAAATCTCGATCAATACATTGTCGGGTAATACTACTTGCGGGACTGATGACCTGGAACTTTCCAGGCCACCGGCCATGATCGTCATCCTCATCAATAGAATTTAGAAGTTTTTTTGTTTACAATAAAAGAGGCGATAAGCCTAATTTCCAACTCGTATAGAATGGGGATATGACATTTATGAGTAGTTTTATGAGTAGTTTCAGAATTGTTTTTCAGTGACATTTATGCAAATCGCGTGGCAAGTTATTAAAAGGAAATTTGGATTCGATTTGGGTGTTTGGACACTCAGGATTTGCTTCCTAAATTAATTGCCTATCATTCACTGAATTATTATATTTCCTCAGAAAAATAGTTTCTATTGTGATATGCTATATGAACTATTTTTATAAGACTGTAGTAATAACTTTGAAAGTTTTTATCCTTTCTAGTAATTGAAACTAAGTATTCACCTTCGATTTAGAAGTTAAGCTGTTAACTTTTTTTTTTGTTTAGCACGATTTTCAACGTGAAAAGATGACTAATTCTCTAGGGCTAGCGATATTACCAGCGCAAATATTAACTACCACAACAATAATAAATTGTTTTTACCATAATAATCTTAGTGTGTGTCAAACAAGCTCTCATTCTTCTTTTGTCCTTATTCCTTATCTTCTCCTTATCAGATTTTATCTAATTCTTATGAATTCCTCACTTCAATTCCCACTCTTTTTTTATCCTTGCAACCGTAGCCTAGGAATATGAAACAAAAGCATATGTAGATTGGGTTGTTGATGCAAAGGTTAATTTTACCCCACTCTTCCCTCCTGTTGACAACTCTGAGAAACCAATCTAAAAGGTGTCCGCAAAGAACGTGATGTCTAAAATGGATTCCCAATTCATTAGTTCCGATGAATGCCTCTTCTATACGTATCTGCACATAAGTTGAATAACAATAAGACCATAGAAAGTAGTACTTTTAGGTATTCAAGCAAGTTTTCTATTATGGTGCATTGAGATATTATAATTGATTAATTAGCAATGGATTTTATGTGCTCCGCAAAGATAGAATAATGATTTTGGCTGTCACTGTATTTCTTCATTCCGATAAGTTTTGGTGCTTTGAATTTAGAATTAGTTGGATTATTAAAAAATTATAGTCTTTCTCCTTCATTTTGAAAGCAATTTATCAGGAAGATGGTGATAAGAATCAGTCGCTTTTAACGAGGATCAATCAAGTGATTAGTTATCATGTGAAAATTAGTGATCAAATGATTAGAATTGTAGTCTTAAAATTTTACAGTGAGCAGACAGTGACTTAGTTGCAGAACTCTACAGCGAGGGAGAAAAGGGTTTGACTCTTTTAAGGGTATTATGGGTAAAAAAAATTTATTTTTCTCTAGCAGCTAATTTCTGTACTGGCAATATGGATGGCCATTCTGTAGTGAGCTGAAACTTTGTGAATCCATTCTATCTACCAGCAGCCTAAGACCACTCTACTAAGACAGAGACTTTTTACACATTCTTTTACAAAAACACTTCGCACATCAGCAATTTTATTTTTTTTCCGCTAATTGGTAATAAGCACTCCTGCTGTTCCAAATTTATTTTCCTCTTTAACTTTTATTTTTAGTTCAAATTATTAAAAGTGATATTTCATACTAGAGAGATATTTGGAAATCATGACTAATTGTGATATCTCATGCTTCATCTCGTATTCAGATTTCAATTTTGTTATTCCCACTAGTTTCTTGATGTAGTTTTGTGGCCTTGTTTCATTTTTATTTTCTTGTAATCGATATGAAAAAATCAAGCAATAAACACACAAATTATAATGAAATATATAATGGACAAGAGATCGCACTCATTTTTGGAAAATACCCACTTACCGTCTTACTGATGAACTAAGCTTTGAAGTAGAACTACATATTATCGAATTAAAGATCTAAACAGAACGTAATACACTTTTTAACTGTCTGCAACCCCCGGGTGATGATAATGCTGGCCCCTTTGGATCCTGCAAAATACTCAAAACAAAAATAAGAACACATATATGAAAGGGGATGGGGTATACATACAATACGTTGAATAGTCAGTCCCTACAGCATGTTCTGGTTCTCTGTTTTAATTTTAAAATTTTTTAATTTGTAGTCGGATTTCAATCATTCGTAACTAATAAAATTTAAAAATGGATCGATTCACCAAGTTAAAATTATGTCTTAGTCACGTGAATTTGCACCTGCCTAGCACACCTGATTGTAGCTGATTGGATCGATTCTATTAGTCCATGGACTAATAGGATCATATTATAAACAATCAATAATTGAGAATGAATATCTCTATCTAGCTTAGGATTCCTTCTCCAACTAAGTGATTTTGAGAGTATATATAATAAATAACAAAGGCAGTAGGTGTAGGTGGAGCCTAGGAACATATATAGTAATTCCTCGGATGCTCACTATATTCGGGACAGCCATCAATTATTTTATCTCCACAATTTTATTGACATGTTTCCCTGTATTTGAACTGACCAAAAACAATTAACCCATCCCGTTAAAATTATTACTGCATTTACTCCATACACACTTATATATACCATGCACCATATACTCTTCTTGTAAAGTATGAGAATCGAAACCACTACCTTTCATATGGATTAGTTAATTGAGGCCGTAGCTCCTTGAGTTTACTTTTTTCTTTCTAACACTAACATTTGAGAAGAATGAGATTCATTCATTCTAACATACAAGATCATCAAACAAGAAAAGTAATAACAAGTTAAACTAGCTAAATTCATAAACTGGCCAAAAAACAATGTGATCAATTTTACCATCAAATAGTATATCTTTCGGATGAAGAGAAAATGAATGTGACGAGGAATTTGACAAGCCGTGTACACAATGATGTTTATTGGATCCGAAGAAGAAGACAGTATGAAGGGTGAAAATATTTAGTGGATTATGATTGTCAAAATCTTAAAGCATCAAACTAATAAGAGTGAAAATATTTAGTGGATTATGATTGTCAAAATCTTAAAGCATCAAACTAATAAGAGTAAACCAAATAGACATTTGGTCATTTTTATTCTCTTCTGAAGTTATAATTTGAAGTTGTACTGGAAAAAGCTTATAGTTTAAAGGAATAAATCAACCCTCGTAGACAACAAAAGTACCTTTACTAGCCATTTTTGAACAAGATTAAAAGGGGAAAAAAACTACTGTATAAAATTAAACAAACACTGGGCCTGCTTAATCAAGTGATTATACTATGATATCTATATCTTCAAAAGGTTTTATGTTCCGTATCCCTATTCTTCTAATCTTACTATCTAGTCAAATATGAAAATGGAACAAACATGCTCGAAGATCATTATCGATTTTTTTTTTTATTCTTTTTTTTGGGGGTTGGGCTAAAACATCCTTAGATCAGAACATAATCCCCCTTCCGTAGATATTGCACATGTTTATCAAACATGCACATTTAATCTCTATCTCAACAAGAAAATCAACATTGAATTTGAATTTTGTGTAGTATTTTTCTATGACGGAGGGAGTAAAAATTTTTTTCCCCAAAAACAAGAAAAATTTAAGCATCTAACGGTTAAGGTTTACATCATTCGATGTGGGTCATCGAATTATTTATCACTATCTTAAGAAAGGACAATATGTCACGAAGTGACATTTTGGGGATGCTAAATAGAAATAAAAGGCATTTTTGTTAATAAATTCGGTCCTTCAAAATTTTTCCCCTTTGGGACAATCTAGCAACCTGGGTCAAAGCTGTCACAAGAATACTCCCATGAACTACTTGAATACATAACCAGCACCGATAGTGAAAGCAAGAAACAAAAAAGGGCAAAAGAAAAACTTGTGGTTCCGACTACGGCAATTTATGAAGCACACCAAACTAGGTAAAACAGTGATTTGTTGTTGATAAACAGAAGATTTATGATTTGCAATATGTATTTTGAGAGAAAACAGCTTCTGTGGAGAAATTGGTTTTTTCATACGTATTCATGCGGGGGCACAAGATGTAAGATTGATATGCAGGGTAACACCCAACATGTATATATAGGCCGTGGGGGGCAGAAAATCGTGCCGAATCCCAAAAAGAGCCAAAAACAGGATGCAAAAGCTGATTATTCAATTAAAGATTAAAAACAAAAATTAAGAACAAAATTGGCTTAACAATTTTTTTATTTATTGCGTCTACTAGAACCCAATCCAAAAAAATTATCGTTAGATGATTCAACCTTATCACTTTACTCAATCCTTGTAATACGAAATGAATAGTGTTTTTCGTATTGTGTGAGAAAAAATATTATATTTCATAAAATATGAGAGAGAACTTACTATTTAGCATTCCCTGTATGTAACTCTTCTCAGGTTAATCTGATACATAATTATTGTGCTAGCTACTTGTTAGGGTTTATATTTTGGAGATCTAGGGTTTCTTTTGGATCTGAAAAAAGTATTTTGAATCAAAAAACCCGGAGGCTACTCTGGAGTCCTAGTGGTCCAGACTGAGATGATGTATTATTATACTCTGACCAAATGCCTTTTCATTATACCCTCTACTGCGTACGGCATCAACATACGGATCATCATCGACGTCATATATATTTCAGATCCGTTGTGTTATTCTACATAAATTTTTCCACCCCAAATGATATTTTCGCATTAATTAATTAATATTTCCATAGAACTTAATACGTTTTTCTCCACAAAAATTTCTTCTAACTTCGAATTTAAATATTATAATTGATTATTACGTACCCTTTGTTTGAGCTTAGCAGCTTGCGGAAGCAGCAGCAGCAGGAGTAGTAGTAGAAGACTGCTTGAAATGCTTGAGATTCTGATTCTTCTTCTTCTTTTTCTTCTTGTAAGGAATCCCTCTAGCTTTAGCTTGACCTTCCTTAATCTCGCGTAAATAAACTCGAATCGCTCCATTCCCAAAAGGGTTACTCTCCGGTAAACCTCCGTTCTCTTCATAAGCAGCTCGAAGCCGGCCGATCAAAGCATCCAGGCTGCCCCAAGCTTGCCTGAGAGGACAAGTACAAGGAGCAGGAGGATCGGGTTGTCCGAAGAACACACAACCATGTAAATGAACCTTAGTCTTTCCGAACTGATCCAGATACCGAAGGAACTCAAGCACATGGTTGCAGTTACACTGGGACAAAGTAACCGGTGGCCTTTGATTCTTCAAGTACTGACCAAAAGTGTTCCAATCCCTACGTTTTTGAGATTCGTATCGGCTTAGAATCGTTGGTTGTTGTTGTTGTTGTTGTTGTTGTTGATGATGATTAAGGCTTGATTGTGAAGATCCTCCTTCCATAGGGTATCTTGGAGTTTCAACATTCGACATCATTTCTAGGTGTTGAAGAAATTATAAATTAAAGGGGAATTTTTCTTGGCTAGAACTTCATAGTAGTAGCTAGCTAGGAGACGAAGAGAGAAATTAATGATAACACCAGATTGGATTATTGGAAGGAAATATGGTTCTTTGTTGTGGGGAGGAATTAAATAAAAATGTTGAATTGAAAGACTATAATTTTGTGCTTAATAGTCTACTTGATGGGACGTGGTATGGGGTCTTTACTTATGCTTTTTGTTCCTTTTTTTTTTCCTACCCTCACTTATGGTAACTTTTTTCTCCCTTCTTTTCTTCTTCTCTCTTTTTTTTTTCTTGTCTCTCTCTCACACATTATTTTCAACTTCCTTTTCAATGGATACACTGATAGATATGGTGCTCTATATATACATTAATTTGGGACGATGCATCATCAATTCATCATCATAAATCATAATCATCGATGACAAAATATTTTAGTGATTTTCCACTTCTCAATATCGACATATTATGGGTTTTTAAAATTTCCTGGCCCGTGCCTGATCGGAAGAGTCGGTGGGAAACACAATACTTTATTTTCTAGTAAATTGCTAAATTACCCATGTAGTTCCTTAATTGATTTCATTGATCGTTTGTCTCGACAAACTTTTTGGATTTGGCTCCCAAAATTTAGGCCCATGGGGAGTCAAAATAATGACTTGAAACGCGTTGCATTCGTTCTTCATCAATTGACTTGTGCTTTATGGCAACCACGATGTATTGAAAACTTTTCAAGAGGAAAACTCTAAAAAAATGAAGCTGTCAAAGTAAAAGACTACATATTCCAATTTTTTGTTTCCGTGTGTTATGTGGCAAACGCATCAAGAAGAAACCATTATTAAGAACAACGCTTTCTTCTTTTCTTAAAATAATTTTGTTGAGATTTTCCGAAGGGGTAGTGGAGTGAGAAATTAATCAGAGAATCATAGTGAGAAACAATAAAAACTATTTAACTTTTTATGATCATGCTAGTACGAAGCGAGCAAAAGAAAGTAGCACAATAAGTTTTACTCCCATATTGTAATTTTTTTTTTCCTTCAACTTCTGGTTATTGATTTGAAAACTCGAAATGTATGAGGTTTTCCAATTACACCTGTTTCCATTCCCTGTCAACTTAACTTCCCAATTCCGTATACAACGTGATTCGACGTAACTCTCTAGTATATATATATGCGAAGTTAATTTGGGTTGTTGTCATTGGGATCCATCAATTAAATTGTTTCGTCTTGTTTTGTTTTGTTGTCTTTGTCATTGCCTTAGCGCAATTTTTTTACACAACATTTTCTATTTTCTGACTTTATATAAATTTATAAACAACTTAGTACTTGTTTGGACAACCTTTTGTTTTAGTTTTTGATTTGGATTTGAGAGGAGATTTAAAAGGTAGTTTAGTTTTTTATTTAGAAAGTATTATAGTATAGTGACCATTTATAAAATTAAAATAATTCAGCGACCAAAATGAAGATTTTACAATAATATAACGACCGAACATAAGACTTTACAATAGTTCAGTGACCAAACGCAACACTTTACAATAGTTTAGTAACCAAACGCAATGAAGACTTTACAATAGTTCAGTGACCAAAACGAAGATTTTACAATAGTGTAATGACCAAACACAATATTTTAAAAGGTAAATTAAAAAATTGTTTGGATAATTTTTTTTCCATTGGGTTTTGTGTTTAAAAGGTAAAATAAGTGAAAATAGAAAATGAGTTATTGGACAAACAAAATCTTAATTTTCATATTAGACATTTCTTAAACATACAAAAAAAAAAAAAAAGTCACAGAACTGAAAAACAACAAATTTTGCACATTTTTTATATACTGAAAATTGAGTGAGATGTCAACAGAAAAAGGCACTAGTCACAAAACACAAAACAAGATTACAATCCAGACAGACGCCTGAAATTAGTTTTTACTCCAGACACAATATGAGCAATTATTAAAACAAATTGTAAGAGAGAATAGGAAGCATTGACCCAAATGTGTCTCTACTTAGAAATCTTGATGTAGCCGAAGTGAGCAGAATTAGGAACCTTAACCAAAGTGCCCAAATCAGCAATTATAATATAGAGCTCCAAGGTGTACCTAGTGTGAACAGCACACTCCCGTAAAGAGGGAAATTACACTTATTTATATCCTATGCCATTGACAGGAGTTATACGCGCCCTCTGATATGTGAGACTTTTTGATTTCAAATCCGGATAACCACCATCTTCTCCTATTTTCTAGCCGTTAACCAAAACCAACTTCTTATTCGTTTCAATCCATTACGTCTCAATCTAAAAAATCCCAAAAAAACAAAAAATCACAACCAGCGATACATCCACAGAAGCTACCATCGGTGAAACTTCCAAAGACTGAATCGGAACGTTCATCAAAACCGGTGAATCTTGGTTTCAAGTTTTCATACTGAAGATGAGGATTAAGGTAAATTCTGGTCAAATATATCGGTTTTTCTGTGTTAATCCAATGTATAAAATTTGATGAATATTGTTTTTCCTTTAAAATATACATTCAGAGGCCTATGGCTGATGATTCCGAACCGAGTATTAGCAAATCGGATGATGAAGGGGAAGCGAGGTAATACAACTATTCTCTACAACAATTTTTTTGTTTTTTTTTTTTGTGTGGATTATGTAGATCTGAGTTATGTTCACTCGATTGACGATGTTTGTTCATCAATTTTAGAGATTTGTTCATCGATTAGATGTTGTTTTCTTTTGGAAAATTAGTAGATCTCGATATTATTCATCAGTCTGGTATGGTTATTCAATGTTGACATTGTCAGATTCATCGTTGACCATAAATATATATTATCCATCTGTTAATTTTCTTCATTAGTTTGGTATTTGGTCAGATTATGTTGTTTTTTTTGTTTTTTTTTGATATTCATCCGCAAATGGATGTTATTCATTGGGTCAGCAAAGAACAGATCATAAAACCAGCTATGTACTATGCATTAGATATGTATAATTATTCATCAGTTTCGTATAATTATTCATGGTTGAAATTGTCGGATTTATCGTTTACCGTAACTATGTATTATGCATCCGTTAATTTTCTTCATCAGATTGGTATTTGGTATTCATTATATTGTGTTGTTATGCTATTCATCCACGAAGGGATGATATTCATTGGATCGGCAAGTATTATTAATTTTTCAATTTTATAATCCGACAAAAGTACAGGTATCTTGTCACTGTCAAAATGTGTATTCATTATCGATGTACAGTTTTGCATTAATTCACAAAAAAGTTGTTCGTTAATTTTGTCATACATCTGATACATTGATATTAATAAACACAATTAAAAAAATCGTCCAATAATGATTATTCATCTTCAATAGTATTGTTATTGATGATTAACAGAATTTTGATTGAATGTGAAATCTCACTTATTATAATGTTCTTTTTGTTTGATCAGCAGCAAAGAAATGCTCATTAAGATGAAGTTGATCGGTCGGGAATTAAATATTTTGTCAGAGTTGCTGAAATCAAACAATCAACATAAACGTGTATCGAACATCGGCAAATCCTTCAAGACCTTATATATTAAAAATAATGACTAGTTTTTTTTGTCCATTTTTTGTATAGTATAATACATAATTAGAAGTTTATTAGTTTAGTTGCTAATATTAACCCATTGTAATATATACTTTTGTTATCAAATTTATTCATCCAGTAACGTATATTATTCATTCATTAAAGTACAATTATTCATCTTGTAAAACCACAACTATTCTTCATTGTAATATTGTTATTCATTTAGGATGAGATCATTATTTATCAGGTTTGCATCGTTATTCATCTTTGTGAATAACGTTATTCATTATAAAATTTAAATTTATTCGTTCATAATGTTGTCACTATAAGAACATCATTATTCATCACGTCCATAACGTTGATATTATAAGCAGCAAAAGTCTCTTCCTCTTAGTTGAAACATCGTCAAATAAGCACATTATTTGTTATTCATCAATAACAACTTGTTATTCATTACTTAAAATAAGATACTCATCATAAAATCTTAACAAGATGATGCACTATCCGCCAAAAAACAACAATGAAATTCCTATTTACCAAAAACCATATATTACGCATTACCTTACGCATTTATATTCACCAATAAAACGAATACATTCTACATCATTCATTTTTCAATAATTGCATAACATTATTCATTGTCTGAACGTTGGTTATTCATTACTAAGAAAATACACATTGATTCTCCATATTCATAAGTCTCAATGATTAACCATAATCTATTTTATCAAAATAAAATCCCTCGTTATAAAAAAATTATCTCATAAAATAAAATAATATAAAAACTAACATGATAAACAAAAAAAAAAGGTTTAAAATCAAACGTGTGCCAAAAAAGAGGATAAAATCAAGGAGTTAAATGCCAAAAAAAGGGATAAAATTAGGGAGATTAAATGCCAAAAAAAGGGATAAAATTGGGTGATTAAATGCGCGTGTGGTGACTAAAAATCTGGACTAAAATGATCATTTTTTTCTGCCAAGTTTGTGATACACGCACTGCTTAGGAGCTTGGTATTATTTACCCCAAATCAGAGACAACCAAACACTTAGGGCGGCTACAACGGTAAGTTCATTGAAGGTTTATGTCTGCGTCCGGGCCCTCAGTTCATCCATAAACTACATGTTCACCATTGTGGTCCGTTTATAGGTTGAGGAAAGTTTACAATTATAAACCCAAAAAGTTGGGGTCACGATGTGAGGGTCCAGGGGCCATCTTTTGTTTTTTTTTTCTTTTTTAAAAGGAAAGCGGGCCAGCCTAATTCTTGTTTTCTTATTTTTTTTTCTAGAACCCTAATTGTTTGTCCAGAAGCCCATTTCTTGCTTTCTTTCTCAACGGGTACTTTCTTTTTCCTGAAAAATGTGCCTCTTTTTTATTTTTGGAAAATTTCTTGTGGCCTGAAAAATTGTACAACGGCTAAAAAATTAGATATTTCTTCTAAAATCTGCAATGGTTAAAATTTGCAACGCTAAAAAAAATAATTTTTGCATTAATTTTCCAAACTTTTTTTTTTTGAAAATATACTAACGACTAACAATTTTTTCTATAAATACCATCTACTTCACTTCATTACTTCACTATCTCATTTTTTTTGCCCAAGTCATCATATATTATATTTCAATCTCTTCATTTCTTATTCTTCTTTGCCACACCATGGATGAAAACAATAATCGTAACAATTTTTTTAAGCCAACAAATTCCCAAAATCCATTTAATTTTCAAATTCATTCCCTTTCCAAAACCCCCAAAATTTTGAAAATCGCTCACTGAATCTC